CGTCTCTTGCAAAATCTGTTTAATACTAACAGCTATTGGGCCAGGCTTTTTTATTTTGGGCTTTATTCTTAATTCCAATTAGACAATTTCAAACAAATTAGGGAAACTCCAACAATATCTAATGTTGGATGAACTATTAAAGAAAAACAAAATTAAGAAAAATAAATAAATAAATAAAAAGATTGATGTAACCAGGATTCGAGAGTCCCTCACAAAACCAATAGAGCCAACGGATATATTTGCTTAAGCTACAATTTAAGGGCTTCATACATAAAAAAAAAGATCATTATTTTTCCTCATTTCGTCAAAACGGACGCGATGAAGAACATCAATACACTCATCACTGTAATTTCTGTGTTACCTGGTTTCACTATATCTTCTGATCCTTGCTTAGGGAGATGAAATACAGTAGTATCTGCGCAATATCATAATGATGTCAATATCGAACAAGCCTTAAGCAGAATTTGTGCATTATAGGTCAATATCTAAAGTTTTTCGATCTCAAACTTCCAGAAACCAAAGCCAACATCTGGATATCGAGTTCTATTGTTAGTTTATAGAAATAAAGATCGGAAAAAAACTACTGATCTAAGTTAATAATGTTAGATTTTGGACATATAATGTACAATTTTGCGTAAAACTTGTTTGGTTTTGATTTTCTAATACTACTTTGATTTGATTGATGTAGTATCTGGTAATCAAACTTCAAAGCCAAATCTTTAGTGGTCTTCAGTTCTTAAAAGCATTTTTCACAATGACATTAATGTTTTCATGATCTTGCATTTCTTAGTATTTGTAATAACGGTTCTTACAAAATGAAAGGATTAAGAAAGATACATTTTCAAAACTAATCCGGTTAATTTCCTTACAATACTTGAGAAACATATATATTACAATCATTACTTTAGCTTTTGTATTGTGAGGTTGAGAATCATGCCCGGCCGACGGGAGATGGGCAAGAGATACAACGGCCCAAGATTTTTTGTTTTTTAAAAAGTACTTAAAAATTTTTTATACTTATTTTTAAAAAATATAACCCATAATTATATAAAAAAGGTCCCAGTTTTTTCTTTTAAAAATTATGAAAAGCCCAAAATTTTAAAAAGAATTTGTGTTTAATAATAAAACGTCACAGAATTATTTAAAACTGGTACCAAAAACAATTTGTAGTGATAAAAGGCCAAAAATGTTTTTTGACCAAAAGGCCAAAAATGTTTTTTGACCAAAAGGCCTTGGTTGTTTTGGGCCGGGGCTGTAGAGAATAATTAAACTATTTAAACAAAAATGTCTAAAGAATCAACTCGTTTTGTTAGGTCAGCCCATGTCGTTGACACTAACGCTATTAATTAAGTTAATTAAACATTTAATTTAATTGGCCGTGTTTGTTAGAATCCACGTGTCAATGACTATTATTCATGCTCAAATACGGTAACATAATGTTTAAGGGCTTGATTGGTTCTCCCGCTAGCACCCTCCTAGCGGTTGCTAGCGGTCGGTTGCGGTTGTTAGCGGTTGGTACCAATCATAGAAACCGCTCCGTACCGCTTCGAACCGCTCGAAATCGCTGAATTTCAAAAGCTCCTTCCCGCAAGCGTTTGCGGTTGCGGGCGGTAGCGGTTGGATTAAAAAAAAAAAAAAAAAAAAAAAAAAATCAAATGTTTACTTATAATTATTATAATATATATTAATCTTATATATATCTTTCATCTTTTTATCACGTTCTCATCAGAAACCCTAATAATATTCTGAAACTCTATTCTCTCAATGTGTTCCACCCAAACTGATGAAAATCAAGAACCAAACGTAAGTATCATATATCCTTTTATTCATTCATCATCTCATGTGTAACTTTTTGAATATTTTTCATGGCATCGTTTTTTTTCTTTTCATTACGTATTGCTTTGCTTTTTGATTGAATATATGTTTCGATTTGTTTTCTCGAATAGAAACTCACTTGTTTTTTAATTGAATTCAACGTTATTTACAGTTTGTCCCATTACTTGATGCAATTTTTGATGTTAAACCAGATGCATAAAGTACTATCTTGTTACAAAATTTCTTTATTTTTGAATAATTATTTAGTACTTTATTTATAGTTTTAATTATTAAGCATGTTCAATTTTTCTAATATTATCATAATAATATATTGGTGTTTTTATTTCCTTTTTTGTAATATTTTTTATTTATTTTGGTCATTTTTTATTTAACTGCTACCGCACCCGCTGGTTTACCAGTCATAAAACTCCCGCAAACGCACCCATTTTCAAACGCTAAACCAGTCGTTCAAAACGCTTGGTAACGCTTGAAGCCGCAACCGCCCGCTTCCGCAAACTCCCGCAACCGCAACCGCAACCGCTGCGTTTAAACCAGTCAGGCCCTAAATGTAAAGTGTAAACGTATAGTTCACCACCATTTAACTAATCTATCAAAAAACTAATAATAATGTAAATAAATTTTGACGTAAAAAAAAAGGACAATAAATATTAAAGCTAATTTATTTTCTTTTATATCACAGCACTTATTTCTGTAAAGAACTGCAAATTTAACGCCTACCAAAAAAAAAAAGAACTGCAAATTTAACCATGACAACAACAAAAAAAAACGAAAAAGAGAACTGCGATTTAACTTTGGGTTTCTTTAATATTTCACATTTTAATTCCATGCACTTCAACAGCTATTGTTGACATAAGATACCAAATCCGAATAATGGTTATTCATTCATACTTATCTCTTAACATTAATTGTAAATCCAGCCAAGCATGGTCATAGTTTCAATTAAATGAAATTAATTGTAAGGTTGTCAGCTTTTATTATACTAGTAGTTCGGAAGATATTACTTCTTCCGTGTTATTATATCTTTATTATCAATTGTTTTTAATAGGAAAAATTATAAATTTATGTTTACCAATTTCTTCTTACACAAAAAAATTCATTAAATAACTTCACATGGGAAATTAACTCACACTGCAATATTAATAGCTTGCTTTTGGTGTGAAGCTACGTGATATTGCAGTCACAACAATTAACTTTGACGTAGCCATTCTGTTTAGTATCTTGTAAGTTTTTTTTTTTTTTTTTTTTTTTTTTTTTTTTTTTTTTTTAAGTTAAAATTTTATTAAAATCTCCCAAATGGGCTTGGCATAAGCCTTACAAGATAGCGGCCCAGTTACAAAAGGCCCAATTTAGAAAAACAAACTAGATCGGAGAAGAAAAATCGAACCCTGCTGATGGTCATCTGCAAGGTGGCCGGAAACCTTAGATCCGGCGGACTTAAGACCCCCAGCTTCTCGGCGCCTTGGCAGAACGAGAAACCCTACCAGAAGAGTCCGGCTTCCGACAAAGACTCATTCCGCCAACGCACCAAAACCACCAGAGATCTTCCGGAAAGCTTAGCCACCTCGACAGGCGGTTCTACCGGAGTCGGGTCCCGACCTAGCAACCCGACCCACTGGAGTTTAACCTCTTCCGCCCCACACCAGATCTCTCCGATTAGACCGAGCAGAAGCACTACAACCGGACCGGTGAACACCAAACACGGCGGATCCAAAGGGTGGTGGCTCAGCCAACCCATCTGAAAACGGACTCCGTGTCAGCCGAGCAGATCCGGAGATCTACCGTTAACCACCGCATCACACCGCAAAACCCACCTACTCGCCACCAACTTCCGCCATAGTCGCTTCAACAGGAACGACGGCTGAGCCTTGAGGATCTACGAAGCCCTCCACGGCGTCCTCAACCTGGAATCACGGCTTCAAGACTCCTCCTCCGTAACACCTGATCTTCGACTACATCGGCGGCGAGATCCACACCGCCACGGACGGAGCAGAACCCCTGCTCACTCCTGGAACACTAAAAAGAAGACCAATACCTAACGATGATGATCAAAGGATGGGGAGGGAGAGATCACACACACCGACAAAGTTGCCGGAGGAGGAACCTCTCCCTCATAACTAAAAGAGCGGCTAGGTTTAGATGAGAGAGAAGAGAGCTTTTTTTTTTTTTTGGGCCTCTCAAAGGCTTTTTTCCAACCTAGTATCTTGTAAGTTTCTTTAGAAGATTTTGTAATCCTGTGATTAACATTAATATATACTGTATACATTTAATTCTTTTCCTGCTCCGATTAAGACACCTTTTACATGTACGTATATCTGTTTTTACTTTTCATTAATACATTTAGAAAACTATTTTGTATATTTTTTCATAAAGCAAATCTTACAAACTAAAACCGTAATATACATACATGAATACACATTTTCTTACACTTATACATAAACGTAAATTATTGTACACAAAGAGATATAAATAACCTAGCTACCAAAAAATAATTCTTTAACAAAAAAAAAAAGCTACCAATTAAAATAACAACAAAAATGGAACAACAGTTAAAGCATTTACAAATATAACCAATTGATGTAAAGCTGAGATTACTTGAGGCTGTACTGTGTATGAATATGATTAGAATGAATGATTAACGTCTACAAATCTAGCACGTATATATTGCTCGACTTGTTCCGTGTCAACGAAGATGTCTAGAGCAATTAAAGACTTTAAAGTACTGTTACTTTCAGTTTTAAAAGTTAAAACCAATTGTCAAGCTGACTCAACCATATTAAAAATAATTAATCGGACTTGAGATATTTTTTACCTTATGTTTGCTTTCATTCAAATTTAAATCTCTATAGTATATGTGATTTTCAAAAATAAAATAAAAATCCACACGACTTCACCGAGCTCACATTTATATACTTTGAAACTACATGTCAGCATTGACATTTAAGAAAAAAAATAATTTACAAGAAAAATAATTGTTTTTTTTTTGGAAAACAATTGTTAGCAGTTAAAGACTAGTCTCTCTAGCTATTATCGTTGTAATATTATTTATTTTATATTTAACCTATTATAATTAAATTAGGCCTTAATGAATATCTCTCTCTCTCTTCCTCTAACCAACTTTATGTGTGTTTGTTGTTTTATAAAATGGCATAAGCATAACCAACAAGAAGACGACTTTCTCAATAAAACCAAAACCTCTTTCTCAATCCACATAGAGAGAAAGAGAGAGATGAGCCGGAGGAACAAGAACGGCCCTAAGCTCGAGCTGAGGCTGAATCTTTCGCCGCCTCCTTCTCAAGCCAGCCAGATGAGTCTTGTTCGATCTCCAAACCGATCCAACACGACTTCACCGACCTCATGCGTTTCGTCAGAAACAAACCATGAGGAGAACGAGGCAATAACCTCAATGGTTCTTGTAGGTTGCCCTCGTTGCCTTATGTACGTTATGCTTTCTGATGATGACCCTAAATGTCCTAGATGCAAAAGCACCGTTCTTCTTGATTTCCTTCAAGAAAACGCTTTTGCCGCTACAACCGCTACCGCTGCCAACACCAGACGCAAGAAGAAGACCTGGTGGAACTGAATTTATTAATGATCCAACCGCGTTTTTTTTGTATGTAATCGAGGGATCTTAAACCGAAATCTAAACTAATCCAACCGTATTTTTCTGGTTTTTCCTTTGATTTTTCTCTTTAGTTGTTTTGTTTTAGAGTAGTGCTAATCACGCTCCACTTTTAGACCAGACTAGAAGTGGAGCGCGGATAGCACTAACTTTGCTTAAAATGGAAGAATGATTATTTTTTAAAAAACTGGTGATGCTTAGTATGATGAAACATATGTTGTTGTTTTGTTTCAATATTTACCTTTTTTAGTATGAAGTTATTACAGTTCAGCTTTTCCGGTGAATTTCCGGTAAAACCATCTTACCCGAAAACGAGTTTCTTTCAGTAGAAATCAATGACTCTCTGTTTCTAATCCTCTGTTTCTCGAATATGTCTAAAAAAAATTTCACATTATGTAAGACTCGCAGCTCGTAAGAGAATTTTTCTCTGTAAGATTAATGAAATTCGCACTTTTGTTTCTCAGTTTTTGTAAGAGCAATATAATATCTTCTGCTTCTTGATTACTGTTTTTATTTTCTAAGAAATCACAACGGTTTATAGTGTATTAATTAAAAAATAAAAAGTAAACGAAAAGTTAGAGATTCACTTTAACAAGGCAGACACATAGAAAAGGAGATTAAATTGCAAATGGTTAGAGATAAACTCCAAGAGGTGATAGTCAAATAATCTATTATCTAGCAGGAAATGTTGTTTAAGTGTTTTGGTTGTCCAAGGAGCAAAGGAATAATTTTGGACTAGGATCCAGATGAAACAACTTTAGTCTCTATGGTCCTACTAAATATAAGTCTTTGAGTTTGTGTACCAATATTTGACTCCCCCACAACTCAAAAGTCTTATATTCAGTAGGACCATAGATGGTTTACGTTTTATGGAACCACCACAAATATAAGTCTATGATCTTTTTAGTTTGTTGCATAAGGATGGTTTACGTTTTACGGAACCTTCACAAATAATACAAAAACCTAGTTCCGGATCTAAAAAAAACTAACAAGATTTTTTTTTCCTGAAAATTGCATTATTTGTCAGTGACAGAAGAAAAAACTTGGAGTTGTTGTGTCCATAAGTTAAATGGCAAAGAAAAAACACTGAAAAATCTAAATGATAAATTTAGAAAATCTATTTTATTTATTTCATAGTGCTTGCTAGGGGTGAAAGTTGGTTAAAATTGAAGAGGAGGTAGTTCAGATAGGTTCAATAGATTTAAAGGTAATGAAATCATTTAAATCAAATATAATAATTGAGGCAGTTGAGAATTATGAGCGTTACGTAAGAATGATAAATACGAATTTAATTCCACCTTCAATAAGATAGTAGTATTAATTCTCCCTTTTGTCAAAGAAATAAAAAAAAATGGTGATACTACAATTAGTGAATTTACTTTTCTTTTTGAGTTGTCTCTTCTTTTTCTTTCTTACCATTATATTATCTTCTCAACTCTGTTTTTCCTCATCATTAAAAACATTCACTAAATGTCACCTTTCTGTTGCAGCCTTCATATTTAAGCAATCTCATTCTTCAAAGCCTCATTTTCTGTTTTTTAAGAGTCAATATCCATTTAATACTTAATTTTTCCCGGGAAAAATCTAGAAATTTCGGTTTATAGTTTACGTAACTAGGAACAACAATTAAGATTTGAAAATAATTTTGGTTGTTCTGCAATAATCTCCTAAACTTTCATGGTAAATAGACCTGATTATAAGTCTAAACCAAACATTTTTACATAAACATCTCCCTGACAATTACTATGAAACTACTCTGTTTCAGTAAAACAAACATTTTGATGGTTGACACTTATTGACAATAAGTTATTGTGTTGGAAGGAAGAGAAAGGGGAATGTACTTTACTGGAGCTGTGAAAACCGGTTCTTGATCAGAGTGGCTACGTGCTGCGCAACCCATGCTGAGCCAGCCACCGTGCAGCAGAATCCGTGCATGTGACCTTCCCTCTCGATGGCCAAGGATGTACCTGGAGCCTGCTTCGAAATCTGTACAAAATGGAGATTCTATGAGAGACCTTCCTTCTATCGTCAGAAAATGCATTTTGGAGAAGGGAAACTAACTAACCTCTTCAAAGAGTTGCAGTGGACCCCAATGATCATCTATGCCAAATAAAAATGCAAGCTTGCTCTGGTTTTCCCTCATGAAATCCCAATCTGGCTCTGCTGCGAGCTTATAAGCCAAAAATGAAACAGTGGGTCACCTAGAATGCTTTAGTTGGAGATCAACTATAGTGCAAGCTTGTCATGTTTTCGAGCTAGCCAGTAAACACTTTGAATTTAAAAAGAAACTCTCTAAACCCTATATGACACATTGTCAAATGATGAGTACCTCTCTAAACTCTGACTTTGCCATAAAGAGAACATTCCGCATGGTGTGATACTGCAAGGAAAGAAAAACAACTACAAGCATCAGATGAAGTTAACTCCTCTGAATAGTTAGTACCTAGGAGGGAATAAGAACTTAAAATATCGATAAAAGAAGATGCAATGGCTATCTTCAAGGATTTTATACAGCTAGGTTCAAGTGCTAAACCCAAGAAAATCAGTGAATATGTAAGCAAGACAATTAATACCTGCCTCAAGTGTGTGCAAGTAGCTTGAACAGCAGTATCAGACCATGAAGCTCCAATGGAGTTGGATACAAGCAGCCGTGAAGCCGACATGGGTAAAAGTCTCAGAGATGCAATCAGAAAACTTGCTGTAGCCGACAGAACAGAAGACCTGAATTTCAATAATTTCTTATTCATCTATGAGTATTGGCAAAGAAAGAGCAACGTGATTTGGTCACATATTCATAAGATTCAGTTATTTCCTATCGACGATTCATAAGATATTGAGAACGAATGCTCACGCTGCAAGTTTCCCAATTAATGATTGCTTTGTTGATTGTTGGTTCAGAGTCAAAAATGGATATAGGCCAATGCAATATACCACCTGCAGAGCACTCCAGAGAATATAAGAGATCGCATAGCACAGAGAGAAATTATGATAGAGAATGTATTACTCTTAGAAAAATCTGTCGATACCTTCTCCGAGAACTTCCTCAATATTTCAAGGGATATATAAGATCCAATAGAATGCCCAACCTACCAAGAGCAATTAAGAATAAAGTTGTAAATTTTCATGAAAGTTTGTGAATCCATGGACGTGTATATCTGGTCAGAAGAAGCAATATGTCAATGGAAACATGTTATGTACCCATTGAATACATGACACAATTAGTCTTACCAATACTATTGGAACTTTCACACTCTCCAACTCCTGTCTGATAAAATCAATCTGTATGGTAACTAACAGATTAAGATCTTAACTTCACTACAAGAACCTGAAGGATTTCAAATCCAAGAGCAATGAAGATATATGATTTCTTTTTCAACTTGATTAGGATTCTGATTACCTTATGATCAATTTGTTCTTGAAACGAAAATAGCCTCCCAGACTCCCAGTCCTAAAAGTGAAACAAAAGAATGTAAATAATCAAGTATCATGCTTATGTACACACACTAAGATATATATGAAGAGAATCATCAAAGTATACACACTGTAAAATCCAAATCAAAGTTTAACGTACCTTGCTTGTGTGAGATATTTGTCCAATAGCTACACAAACCAGACCACCATTAGATAGCAGAAGAACCAAATCAAACTCAGAAATAAACAGCTCTCATCAAGAAAACAGGAGTGACCATACCAATTACAGAAGCATTTCCATCAAGAAACTCGTATAAAGATTCCAAAAACTCCTTGTAAAATGACACAACTCCTGAAAAATTACAAGCCAATGTATGAAGCACACTAGTATATATGTGCATGCATAGGCGTCTTGAGCATAATAATGAAACCTGGATTTCCCGGAATAAACAATACATAGAATGTGGGATTCTCAGCTTGAATTTCCATTATCTCCGTCATCCAACTTTTGATCACAAATTCAAAAAGGAAAAAAGTGTAATTGTAGTCAAAGAAATTAGAAAACTTTTTCGTAAAAGATTAAAGTAACAATACCCAGAAACTCTGCACAATCTGGAATTAACAGGTCTCTTAGCTTCATTCATCAATTTGTCTTGATTCTCCTCCATTTCTGCGGTCACGCGATTCAACCTATATCTTCTCCTAGAACTGGGAACATTTAAAAGGAGAAGATCGAGAGAATCAATGAGATACAGTACTGAGAGAATTTTTTTTTTTTTTTTTTTTTTTTTTTTTTTTTTTTTTTTTTTTTTTTTTTTTTTTTTTAGTACTGAGAGAAATTAACTTGGAGACGAAACTGAGAAACTGAGAAACTGTTAAAAATCAAAACTTTGTACACTAAAATGAGTGAAGAAGAAGCTTGGAGTATCGAACCACCGATCGGAAGAAGAAAGTATCGGAGAGGCGGAGTTACCGAAGGTAGAAGTTGCATAGTTTTCAGCAATCGTAATGCGACACCGTTTTGAGTCACGCGACGTCGTTTTATGAGTTTAGGTGTCATTGGGCTTATCTCAACCTCATACTTCCACTACAAAGAGAGGTGATTGACAGATAGATAAGTCTTTTGTAGCTTCAGAGAAAGAGAGAGAGTCACAAAGGTGTGTGTGTATCAATGGCGTCTCTAGCTTCTTCAACTACTCTCATCTCTTCTCCATCTTCTAGGGTTTTTCCAGCAAAGTCTTCACTTTCCTCTCCATCTGTTTCTTTCCTTCGAACCCTTTCCTCTCCTTCCGCATCTGCTTCTCTCCGCTCCGGCTTCGCTCAACGCTCTTCCCTCAGCTCCACTTCTCGCCGGAGCTTTGCTGTCAAAGCCCAGGCCGTAAGTTTATCTCAATGTCGATACTTTTCTTATTCTGTCTCGTTGGAATCTGAATTCATTAGCCTGTTATAGAATTCACTCTCTTCCTACTTGTTAGCCTTATAGGTAGTTAACGATTTATAGGTTATGTGACTGCGTTTCTGCAGATTACTCTAAAAGTTTAGAAATTTCAGTGACATTTTCTTTGTGGGTTGTTAATTGAGTGACATTTGAGCTTTACTCGTTGACTGATTTTAGTCTGTAAGAGGACTCCTATGTAGTTTTGGTCTGATTGTTGATTTGACTGATCCTGCTCCTTGTATTTGATGTGTTAACGAGCTTTACTTTTGTGTTTATAGGATGATCTTCCACTAGTTGGAAACAAGGCGCCTGATTTTGAGGCAGAGGCTGTGTTTGATCAGGAGTTCATCAAGGTATCATCTCTAAAGAAGCTTCTTTTTCTATATTGACTAGTTTACTTATAGCAAATGTTAATCAGAGTTGCTGCTTCTAGTTAATCTGAGACATCAATTTAGGTTTGAAGCTAAATGACTAGTATGTTTCTTATTGTTCTCGAAACTAATTGGTAACTGATGAATGTATGGTTTCAGGTTAAGCTCTCTGAGTACATTGGAAAGAAGTATGTGATTCTCTTTTTCTACCCATTGGACTTCACTTTCGTCTGCCCAACAGGTTAAAATCGCTCGAGAAGTTTATCAAAATTGAATGTCTGAGGGTCGCTGCGTCCTAATCTCTTTTCTGTTTTTCTCATGTCTTCTAGAGATTACTGCCTTCAGTGACCGGCATTCAGAATTTGAGAAGTTGAACACCGAAATATTAGGTGTTTCTGTCGATAGTGTGGTAAGTATAACTAAACAATTACTATCTTATTTTACTCAGTTTCTCATCCTTGGTTGACATCACCATGTTCTTATCTGTTTGCAAATTGTTTGACTCATCCTTACTTCTGTGTCTCCACGTAGTTCTCTCACCTTGCATGGGTCCAAACAGACAGGAAATCTGGAGGGCTTGGTGATCTGAACTATCCCCTTATTTCAGATGTCACTAAATCAATCTCAAAGTCTTTTGGAGTGCTCATCCATGATCAGGTAATTGTTAGCCTTTAAAATCTAGACTACCTTCCTTTAAACTTTCAAAGTGTATGGGATAAATAAAGAGAAGAACTTTGTTTCTGTAAAAACAGGGAATAGCACTGAGAGGACTCTTTATAATCGACAAGGAAGGAGTGATCCAACATTCCACTATCAACAATCTTGGTATTGGCCGAAGCGTTGATGAAACAATGAGAACCCTCCAGGTATAGATACAAAGAAATACGCACAACTCCGAAAACGCTCCAATAGCGGTTTAACTTAATGTGTTCTCAATGTTGCAGGCATTACAGTACATCCAGGAAAACCCGGATGAGGTCTGCCCAGCGGGATGGAAGCCGGGTGAGAAGTCAATGAAACCCGATCCAAAACTCAGCAAAGAGTACTTCTCAGCTATTTAGAAACTCTACTATGATAGCAAGAAGGTACAATCTTTGTTATATCTGAGCAGAGTTTTTTTTCTTGTACGCTAAAACAATCCTTTGTTTGATTCTCACTTTGTCCCCATATTATAATAAAACTTTTTCCGTTAATGGAAGTCTTATTGTGTTACGCCTACACATTCATATTCAGTTGTCCATATACCTATGCACATACACTAGACATATTAATGGTAAAAATCAAGACCATTTTGTGATCTTCTTTGGCAGAACAGAGCATTTTATATAATTGAGAAATCAATTTATGAAATACTCTATAGTATTTTCCAAACACATACCACAATTAAAGACATGTAAAAAAGCAAAGGACACAACCTATAAACTATCATTTCTCTTTTCGTTAATGTTTACTGATAATTATGATCCTTAAAAAGCTGATGCTACCTGTAAAAAAGTTGCTCATGTGTCCCCCTGCCAACATCATTAATCATCATCAACCCAACCTCCTCCGGTTACCGGTAACTGGTAAACGCCGGTCAACTCTCCTGCTTTAACTACACTACGACCCGGTCACAATTTTTGCAAACTCTTCTTAAACAATGCATGCCCTCACCAACTCCGGCGCCGTACTTCTCGCCGTGTTACTCTTCTTCCTCCTCGTTCTCCTCGCCGAGCTCTCTTACATCTTTTGTCGCCGCACCGGATCTTTACCGTCTCCGGCAAGTAAAGAGGTTATTTTCCAATTCTTGATGTGTTGCAAGAAGAACCACCACTCTCGTATTGAGCCAAGTACCGGAATTGTTTCTGTACAGATGGAGGAGGATGTTGTTGCTGCGGCGGCGCCGGAGGAGGATTTGTTTGCGGTGGACAAGTGGCGAGTGTCGAGGCTTCTCTTCACAATCGAGGAAGAGGATTTGGAACTGGAAGATGAAGATGATGATGTGGTCTCTGCGAAGGAGGATAATGACGGCGAACTCCGAGTCGACATTCCGGTGGAATATTCCGGCGATCCAACTCCGTTCTTGACGCCATGCGACTCACCACCTTACTTCACTCCTTCGCCATCTCCTGGTCGGGATATGGATGACGTCATTGATGTTTATGAAGTCAGCAGCAGAAACTGTTGTTTCAATTTCCAAGGCTCTCAGATGTGTTAACATTTTTTCTTAATTCCAATGGGTTTTACAGATTAGGTGGAACAGTTTCGTAATTATTTACGGGTTTTGTCGGAATTATTTTTGCTTTTGTTTGTTGGTTTATAACTTTGTCGTCGTTTTTTTTTCCGGCAATTTGAATATTCACCAAGACAGCATATATACGTAGAAGGTATATAAGTTTGGTTCTACGTACATAGAGTATTAAAAATAGGACGTAATGTGTTAAGTCGTGGAGATGACGACGCTATGAAGATGTTGATGATGTAAAAGAGGGAGAGACGGTAACGTTTTGGTTTCTTGGATTTTGGATGTGCGTAGAACCAAACTTGTTTTGATTTGGTTATGGTTTACTTTGTTGTTACCTAAATGAACCAAATTGTTTTGGGAACTCGATTTCCCTTGTGTTTGATCTCCGTTTAGTTTTAAGTTGATTATTTTTGTGTCTTTGGGATACAGCTGATCTTAGAGACCATACGACGAAAAGAACACAATGCGAAATGGTGCGATGACTTTCAAGAAAATTGAAAAAGAAGATACAATAAAGACTGCACATATAAAAATGACTCGACAGAGAATTAAAGGACATCGTGAGTCATGACATGACAAGTGAAAAAACAGTAGACAAACTTTTACCAAAAGTGAAATACAAAGATAAATCTAGATTTTGAACTTTTAGTATCCCTGAATGATGAATCAAAGAACAGAACAAAAATCATACTGTATAGTCTGTATTATCTATACATTTACATTATTTAGATTGGTGACTACAAATCAAAAAAATATAATTGAATTAGCAAACTTGCCTTCATTTAAACTCAGATATTAAGTACATTGGAAAAAATCTATATTTTGACAAGAAACTTTGTTTATATGGCAATTCAACTTCTCTTTATTTTCTGAACTTTTGGCTTTTCTTTTTCGAAAACGTTTCTAAAAAGCCAAAGAATAAAAGGCATACAAAAAAGTAAAGGTGTTTAATGCCGTTTGGATTGGCTTTTAGTGCGATACACACAAAAGCAATTTGTTATCCATTTGAAATCCAAATTCTATCCTGCGTTTTAAGCGTTTACTTTAGCCATTGTTCTACCTTCTAATTGACTATAGTAGTGCATTTGGATTGGCTTTTCATAGGAAACAAAAAAAAAAGAGTAAGAACCAATGAATCTTTCTTTTTTTTTGTTAAAGGGTATGCAATTTATTAAAACATATGTCCAATGGGCTATTTCCGGATTAGGCCCATACAAAATCCCTTACGGGTCCAGTCCATTACACCAACCAAACCAGGAAACCAAACCAAAATCGACCCGGGAACTAAACCAATCTAAACCAGCAGATAACCGATCTAAACCAGGGAACATAGAAACCCTAATCTTCTAATAGAAAACCTAATCGAAGCCGCCTTCCACAGAGCCGCGGAAACTCGCCGGAACAGGACCACCGGTGAGCCAGGAAGACGGAGGTCGAACGGAGAAGGCGACACAGGACCATCGCCATCCCGCCACCGTAGAGCTGTGAAGAGAAGGAAGAAGAAACCGATCTAGATCCGTCGGGAAACCACAGCTCAGTCGAGAGAAAGATAAAGCAGTAGGGAGTAGAAGAGGACAACCATCGACGGTGGCATAGCTTTGCCTTACCAGTCGTAGACCTCCCCCGTCAAAGAGCCGGCCGTGACAAAACCTCCTGCGTCTCCAATCGTCTAGATCTAACCGCCGACCTTTCTCGTTCCTCGCCGAAAACCTCCATCTTCACTCTGCGTCGCCACACCGCCGGTAGAGCTCTTACCGGTGGCGTCTCGCAGAACCTTCTCCCCGCCACGAACCCCCTTGATTTGGGTCTGGTAACCTCGCCGGTAAGGAACAACAGACTACGGTTGAAGCGCCATGGACCATAGGTTCCTCATCGACGCCGGAATCGCCAGAGAAACTCAGATCTACGGTGCACGAGGTTGCGATCAGAAGATGAAGAAGAGAGAGGAGAGAGAGACCGAGTAAACTCACGCGCTCTCCTTTTTATGTATATTATTGTGGTTTGAAACTGAAACCAATGAATCTTTCACACACAAGAAAAAAGATATGATATGATAGATCTATCTCTATATCATACAAAAAAAAAAACGTAAATCGAATCCAAACTAAAATTCGCAACACTACTTTATATACTACCTGGTCAAATCCTTGAACAACGTACAATATTAATGGCTGATTTTAATTTTGCAATTCTCTAAAGTATGGCTGGATAAATAATGTGATTTAGAAGAAATATTCATATCCTAAAAATGTTTATCTATTCATATATCTTCCAACTCCAACAACACTACATAATCCATATGGACTGAAGAAACAAAATCTAATAATGCCGAAAAATAGAAAACAAAATAAAAACATATGGAAAATAAAACTTGGAGTTGACTAAGATAAGTCAAAATCACACTTGACCGGTTGAAACTTAAACCCTCCGGTTGAATTAGAGGAACCAAGAGGAATCTTAAGATCATCACACTTAATCTTTGGTTTAAGCTTCCACGACTTAATCACCCAAAACTTAAACCTAACACTTAGCCGCAATTTCGCATCAATCCGATAAATCCCAGATTTCTCATCCTCCTTCAGATCTGTTCTCGCTCCGTCGCCAAGCACCACCAGATTCTGTCCTTCAATTTTGGTTAAAACCACCGTCGTATTCTTATGCCCTTGATAAAACGACGAAACGTTCACAGATCCGAATCTCTGATCACCGTAATAGCCACTCACCGAGATCTCATCGTAGTAAACTCCGACTCGTTGATTAGGGTTACGGATTGTGAAATTGAGATCGAGACTGTAATGGAGATTGCTGTTGTTGTTTGACTCGAAGCTGAATCGGTTCAGATTTGCGTCGGCGACGTAGAATTTGACAGCGTTTGGACGGAAGATGAGCCAGAGAATGAAACCGGTGATTGCGAGGATTACGGCTATAGCTATGAGGATGTTGCAGATCAGGCTTAAGATGCAGCAACCGCAGCAGCGTAGACAGCTTCCGAGGCAGCTGAAGCAACAGCATCCGAATCCAGGAGAGTCGTAGCTGCGGTGAGCTTTAGCCGGCTGGGATTGATGGTCCGTAGTAAGCGCCGTTTAGGTATGGTTGTTTGGTCCCCATGTGTTCGACGAATTGCCTCACAGAGAAATTTTAACAGAGATTTTAGAATACGAAATGTTTAACCTAAGAATAATAATGGTTTAGTGAAGAAGAAGACATATATATATATAGAGAGAGATATGTTTAATGTAACGCGTTTTTTTTTGTTAAGGAAACGAATTCAAAAGGACGCGATTACTTAATTTTTTTTTTGTCATTACTAAGGAAAATTAATTGTGACTATATTTGCAAGTGTTGTTATTGATAGCAACTAAGACCGGTTACTCTTGAACCAACGGTTTAGTTTTTGAAAAAAAGTGCCGTTACATTGTTGTTGCATGGAGATAGGATTTTGAATGTGGTCAGAGCTTTTTCAGCAATCGAGAAGCATTTCAAATCTAAAGTTTATTTAGTGTCGTTCCATGAAATTAGGTTTTAAGAAGGCGTTGTTTTCAAGTTTGTTTCTCAATTCGAAGATACTCAAGTCTACTCTTTAGCGAGGGACTACTTTCTGATTTGAATTAATGAGGAACGAAGGCGCATGCAAGAGAAAAGATGGGCATGAAACTTAAAACTACATTTGAATTCTTGCTCACCCTTAAGGAATAAAGTAGGAATTTTATGTAAAATGTGATGAGTGATAAGCCCAACTTGTAGAAGGCTTATGTCAAATTAGGCCCAACATAAAATAGGGTAGCCCAATAGTAGACGAACATAAAGACGCTACTGAATATAGTCATGAACACCTCTAAACTCAAAATGTCCAAGAGAGAAGATCATAATTATTCACATTCAAAAACAGTAAATTTTGTTTTAATGAAAAAATTGTATTACAAATAGTTGATCAATAGTGTTTTGAGATAGATCCACTGCATATTTAATCAATATTGATAATTCCACTATAACTATCTAAAATTTCCGATTTTGTAATTGTAGATGATTTTTAAGTTAGGTATAGAAAAGGCCGCTTTTTAGAAATTTCTGTGAGTTTGGCAGTGTGTTACTCGGACGTTCTATGCCTGTGTGTGAACACACACATAGCACGTTCATTACCCACTTATTTTTATTTTATTTTTATTTATCAAAGAAAATCCAAGGTTAGGTTTCTCAACTTTATTTAGAGATAGAACGTTGTCTATATATATACTATATCATGCGATTGAAATCTTAAGTAATATTGGTGACTGACTTTCTCCGTCAAGGTTTGCTGATTACATACGTTCTTATACTATTTTCGTTCACCACTACTTAGATATAAGTTTAAGGGACCATATTCCCCTTTCTTGGTCAATTAAGGGACCATGTTTAATATCAAATGAATGAAAATGCGAATTAGCAAGAAATAAGTCTTCTCTCCGGCGTCACATAGTCTCTAGGGTCTTAGAGCCAAGTAAATACTAGTGTACTAGACTACTAGTTGTCTAAAATGCAAAATATAAGAAAACTATATATCAGCTAGATTCTTGTAAGTTGTACTTGTAACATGAGTACGGATTCTGATTTTCTCATTTCAAGATCCAAGAATATTCACGGTAAACTAATCCCTAAGTAACGTTATGTGTTAACTTATTTGAATGTACGTAGCAAAACTTTAGGAGAACGGGCTTTTAAAGTCCAAGAAAACCATATTTAAGCCAGACACCAACAACCAAAAATTTATCTATAATCCATAAATATGACTAACATAACTCCAATCACATAATTATCTTTTTCAAATTTTTTATGTGTTTGTGGAATATTGTACAAATATATACAAAAGACTAATAAATTTGGTCTCTATTTATTTTAAGAAAAAAGATGGAGACAAATGGACAATGACACCATCACACAACGTCCACAAAACATTAACGAGCCTAATCTATATTCAACTAAAATTTTAATTTCCATCGCCGTCCAACTTTACCATACACAAAAGAAAAATCCTCAAAGTTACAACAAAAGTCGATTTGACAGGATCAGAAGATGCATCAAATCAGTAAAAATATACTTCTAAAAAATCACAACTTAAATATAATTTAGAATTCAAAATAATAAATAAGGTATACATATTGAAATTCTTAAAACTCGTTACAACAACACGAATCTGTAATATTTGCTATTTGTATAAGCAAAATGTACAATTCACATCACTAGTGGTGGTATTTATGAAGACAAATTACTTAACGGAGACGTTAGTAGTTACCTTATTTTTCTCCGTCGCCGTTTCACACACTACACTACAACTACTGGTAACGTATACTTAACGGCGTTATCTCCGATGATAACTCCGGCAGCTTTATTACCGAAGTTAATATACGCCGGACACTTCACATAAAGATGATACTTCCCGTGATAAAAGTCCCAACCTTCCACCGAACTCTACCATCAGCACGAATGATCAACATAATGGCGCCGTTATCTTTATCGTCGTCGAGACCAACGCCGTTAAAAGGAGCGATGGGAACGGAGGTTCCGTAGACAAACGGCGACCAGATGTTGACTTCTTTGTGTCCCTGATACGTGGGAGGGATTGATGTGCGGAAAGTGATCTGTTGGCTCCGTTAAGTAGCGTAGACGTCAAGGCGGTCGTAGTAAACGCCGATCTTGTCGTTAGGGTTCCGGGAAGAGAGAGTGATTTGGAAGTTGGAGGTGATGAGGTTAGGTGATTGCCGGAGACGTTGAAGCGTAGACGGTGGCGTCTTGGAGGAGGAAACGTGGCTTTGAAGGTTGGAGAATGCCCAAATGAGGAGGATTGTTAGGAAGATGATGAAGAGGATGAAGATTATTGACCATATTATTCGCCTGCTTCTTTCCGGCGAGAGTGGCCGTGGTTGTTCACAGTCTTTCATGGTGGTTGTTTTTTTTCTCCGGCGGTGAGTGGTGGTGGTGGAAAGAAAGTGGAGAAGTGTTAAAGAGATACATATTTTTTTGTATTAATGAAGTGCTCTAAATAATGGGCTAATTGTATGTAGGATTTATAGGAGTGTGATAGGAAAATAAAGGTATTCTCATATTATAACCCATAATAATAATTCTCCCTAATAATTTGTATCCAAACGAAAGGCCCTTTTAAAAAATCAGTATAACACGCTGTTTTTATTTTCCTTTTCGAAAACCACTACAAAATATTCGAAAAATCATATTAACCTTCTAACATAAAATTTATTGTTTACTGTCATTTTAGATTATCTCTAATTGATTTTATTTTTCTACATTTCTAGAAATGATGAAAATTATGAATACATGATTGATATGGTCGGTGCAAGTGCTATTTAGAAAGGTGACTTTATGTGTGCTCGAAGAATTTTTCATCGGATCCCCTCCAAGTCTCCAACGATAATAAGCAATTTAGCTAATTAATTTCACTTTCAGCTTCACGATTTGAAAGAGCGAAACTTAAAACTTTTAAAAACATTTTTTTCTATTATAAATTAGATTCTCTAATGTGAAATCTAACTGCATATGCGCTTTGATTGTTTCAAACAGTAATTTGTGTTTATATTTCTGTTAAATTTGATTTTTTCATGATCATGGAACTCGGATTTGTTCCATCCCTCAAATTATGCATACACTAACCTGTGAAATTATTTTCATGATCAAATCCATAATCTACAATATTTGGTGCAAAGTGGAAAAACTCATGGATACAAAAGAAGTTCAGATATTTGGAGCTATCACAAGAGTAAATGAATTTACAGTTTTTCACTAACAATAATCAGTCCATTTGTGATAAGAATTTATAGTACAATCTAACTTTTATATATTTAATGATCATATATGTGTGGATTAATAATTGATAGAGATTGAAAGAAGTTCAATATATCCACGTATTCTCCCATATGGAAAAGAGGACGTAAAGTGACCTAACACTAATTGCCAAAGCAGAAACCAACCACTTTTTTCCATAATTTTCCTTGTCGTGTTACGTTGATTAATTATGACTCTTTAATATTGTGTAATTTTGGAGAGAAGTATTAGACGAGGGCACTAATTGTTCTATCGGTATCGGTCGACATATATTTGGTCTATGTTTAACGTAGTTTTCAGAATTTTTAGAAAATTGTAGGGTTATTTTCATCTTTGGCGTAAAAAAAAAGGGTTCGTGAAACAAAAAGAACAAATGTAATTTAATTATTATATAACAAAATATTCCAAAATCACGAAAATATCACAAAACGATTTTATGTCACATTTTTGCCAATATAGTTATTTAAACTACTTTATATATCATCAAATACGCTTGGTATTAATATTCTACAAAAATAACCCCCCCCCCCCCCCAAAACGACATCTAGTATCTACCCTTTCTATTAACAAACAGAGGATATAATAAGGGAAACAATAAACGTAGTGGTTTAATAAGTCAAAAGCCATAACTGTTGCTGTGGAGAAATATCTACCAGCCAAAGATTGGCTTGTGACGTGAGGCGGAACAAGATTCAGATCCTGCAATGTTGCTTATCATAATCTTTTGTTCTTGGTGTTGCTCCTGTGCATAGTCTCAAGAAATCGTTCCCTGTTAGAACATAGTGTGTGAATGCTAACCCTCCATCGACCATCTCGTTAAAGCTCGGAACCGATCTTGATTTTCGCATCCTCCTTCCTCCGTCCCCATCATTTAAGATCTTATCGAGATCTGAATACTCCATGAACCTCTGTGTTGCAGCTTCCCAAGAGAGATTGTACATTTGCTCGGGAGTCAGAGGTAATGGCTCTTTCGTCATTGCTTCTTTCACTTTGGACACAAAGTCTTCGGATGTTTTGTAAGTTAAGCAGTTCGGGAATGATCTGAAGAATTCGTTTGAAGGATGATCTGCACACACCACAAACTTCCCCATGGCTAGTGCTTCTGCGGTTGCTGTGCATAGAACATCGCTGATGCTGGGGTTTATGAACACTTTGTACCTTCATTATGACATGGGAAAAAACAATCAAAGAGCGAAACCTTAACAATCTTTCAAAAGCAAACCCGCATTTATCAGAACTTACTTGTGAAGAGCATCGTCGGCGTGGTCCCTTCCTTTGAGGAAATTGAGATTCAAGTCGTGTTTCTTCGCTGCACGTTGGACCTCGACTGCATCTTCGCCGTTCCCATAGGACATCTAGATTGAAGCTCCCGAGTTCGCTTTTGTGTTTAGCCATCAGATCTATTAGTTCTCTGTATCCTTTAGCCCACACCATTTTTCCTAAGAAGTATGCACCTTTTGAGAAAGCTTGTTCACCACGGGATCTCTCTTCAGCAATTTTCCCCCAATCATAAGGAACTTGGGATTGACACCGTGGACATTGCATACAACAGATTTTGGTAAATCTTGTGTTGCCCCAGAGAGACGAAGAACCTTTCATGAGTATAAAAATATGTATTAGCTCGTGTGCTACTATTAAAAAGGATTCAAGCAACAGAACAAGGCTTGAAGAAAGAGAGTAGATGATTCACCTTGTCACAATATGCTCGTGTGACCCAATTGTTTACATGATTCACAAAAAATGCTTGAAGAGCTCCATTCTTCTCCCTCTTGATGTACTCTAAGTAGTTTGTGTGGACAATTCCAACAACATGGTTGAATTTATCGGTCCAACGCTTGCCGTGATGGTACCAGTTGAGATGCTCAGGTTCTTCAAGTATAGCAATGTCAGCATCTTTTGACGATATAAATTGAGAAGTGTCACCAGCAGGAAATATGCTACGCCTTTCTTTTGAAAACTATAAGAAACCAGAAAGCTCAGTTACTCTTAAGAAATAATTGAAAAACATATTGGCAGCCATAGAAAGAAAAAATAGAATCCAAAATGATCAACTCACCTTTCCTGGGTAAAAGGAGATTTTAAAATCAGCCTTGAAACCAATCCTTTCCTCCAACCATTTACGTATATAGCTCTCTTGTTCTTCAGGTGAACTGAAGGTGAGATTGTTTGGATAAACTAGTTCTTGATCAGATTCGCAGAGCCAAGGAACCACAAGTGTAACACTCTGTTTTGCAGATTTTGCCAAATACGCCGCTCTGAATAGTGGATTTACAGCTGTTCCGGTCATCCAAGGGAGACTAGCTGTTGTAACAATTGCCACATGCCTTTTGTTTTCTGATGTCTCAGGCTTCACAAAATCAGTCCAAAAGCCACCATCATAATGGTGTCCTGTGCTTTGAAGAACACTGGCTATCCTCATATCCAAATCAACTCCATGGTTATCATTTTCAATTAAATCGGATGCTTGTGCAGATGGCAGACGCCAAAGGTGTTGGCTCTTGCATTTGCAAAGGCTTTCTACTATTCGGTCGCACATATCTAAAAGAAAATTCAGCGAAACAGAATCAGGGACTTTGTTTCTCATGTAAACACTGAACTATAAGATAATGTACAAGAAAAGGGGCTTTAAACCATTAACCTACACATCTAGAAAATTTCATGTCGATGGCAGATGTCATTTGATTGATCTGTTACCATACAAATTCTAGACTTACAAATATTTGATATCCAGAAGTAGAGTGATAATGCAAAGCATCAATCTCACCAGCTAAGCTTCTGATGAAGCACGCAACCCACTAAACAAAGACACTCTATTACCAGAGAGAAGATTCAAAATTTTGACGGAAAAATCACCTATGGTAGAGACAAAACCAACCATCCACAACTCAATACATACAACAGATAAAATAATAAAACATCATGAAGAGAAAAATGTAATCTTACCCTTTCTAACACCAATCTGATCAAGAAAAGGTTCAGACTGTCTAACCAAACATGCCAAAAGTTCAGGTACATCCAATGGAGGAACATCCTGCACCAAAGTTAAAAAGGAGGCCAAGTTTAACTCCCAATCCAACACTGAAACCTACCTAAAATATACAGGGTAACAAGAAAAACTGATAACTTCCAAATACCAACCTTAGCCTCATCAGTTTCTTTGTAAATTGATTTCTGCAAATAGAACAAAAGAAAAAGCACCATTAGAAAAGTTGCCAAACACCAATAAGAAACTCAATAATCATTCCAAGAACAGTAACTATCAATCATGTCAGCATATGGCAATGTCGTGGCTATTAAAAGTGAGAGTAAACTACAAGATAACTTGTGAAATAGGTTCCCAAAAAGTTGGAGAAACTTACAAAGCTGGTTTTGAGCTTCTCTACAAATTCGCTGTTCTTGAATCCACTCAATATTTCTAACGAGCTTCGTTTCTCAAACTCTTTAAATCTAGTCTTCAAAGACCTAATTGGTTCCCAATCACCGAAATTACCTTCTCCATCTCTCTCAGCCTCCGCGAAAAACTCCGTAAACCTAACCCTATCACTATTACGCCGTCTCCTCAATCTACCCATCTCTAAAACTCCCTGACGCTCATCCAATTCCATCTCAGACACAATCGCCTTCTTAATCGCCGATAGATCCATTCCCAGCTTCGCTCTCGCAGGTCCCCATCTCTCCATAACCTTACGACTAATCTCCGGCGCCGAATAAACCCTACGAAACTCCGAAATCTTCGGCTGAAGCTTCTTCATGATACCAATTTCACTTGAGAAAGACGACGCAGACGGAGACCCAACGGGAAACGCAGACCTGGCCGAATTATTGAGGAAATTCTCGATCTCTCTGTCGAACGTCGATGCTAGATTCTTAACAGAGTTAGCTCTGTCTCGCATCAGCTGCAAATCCGCATCTGCTGAATCCCATACCTCTCTCCAACCTTTCGACAAAAACGATAACGCGTTTGTTGATGACAACGTCATTGAAAGAGACGAAGACGTCGCCGTCCCGGTCGCCATTGACGTAGAAGACGGAGGAATTAGAGTTTCCTTTACCATGATTTAGGGTTTATCGTTTCGTCACGACGATTTCGTGAGAGTGCTAAGGTTTCTCTATCTGTTGAGAGGAATTGGGGAAGAAGGAGAAGAAGAGGAGAAGAAGAAGAGAAATTGACGGCTGAGATTAATTTGGATTTTTTATTTTTTTTATTCTCTCTCTGTATTATTCTGGAAGATTAACACGTGGAATATAAACAAGTCGGACGATAGGAGCTTATGAAGCCTTGAGTCCTTGACCCGTGACCGACGTGGCATGAGTCCCGCTCGTTGATTACGTGTCGTGTTTTGAGTGGTTGACGAGATTATCCGTTTGTGTCGGATTTAACTTAGGAATATGCTGGAATCGAAGAATCTGGTCCTACGGGGCATGGTTTATGACAAAGACTGAAAGACACCATATAAAAAAAACAATAAAAAAAACAAACAAAGTGGTCGTAATTAGACCGTAACGAGTCCCATTAACGGCTCAAAATAGTGGCCGACTTAGCTGAAATAAACCGAAGGACGCCACGTGGAAACTTGTGACTGATTGTTAGAAATTTAGCAAATTTTGATACAAACAGAGATACAAATGGCTTTTTCTACCAACTAAATTTTGATGTAGCATTATTTGTTTATATATGAAATTTACAATCTTAAGATTTAGTTATAGACACTAAATTTATGTATTAAACCGATTTTACTCCTTTTACTAAATTAAAGAAAAAAAAAAAATTGATTATGTACTTACTTACTTAATTGACTAGACATATTTTATCGGTTATACATTAATCATTCAGTATATAAAACGATGATCTCTTTCTATATTTGACATTTTGAACGCATCACATTAAAAAAAAAAAGTTTAAATCTTATCGGATTTTATCACAATGCAAGACAAAGAGATGGGTTATGAACATGTACATGTACCAAAACAATTATCGTATCAGTACAATAACAGTACATGTTCTTACCTAATATTAAATAAAATTACTGTCATCTAGGACTTTACAAGCGAGAAGATCTATCCACTCTACTGATGTCGAGAAATTTGTCAGATACAGTAGAGAATATTGTTGGACCTGGTGACAAAGTGACACTTTATCTGAAGATCAAAACTTACACTTGGGACCTTGATGTTCTACATTGGTAAGCTCACCACACATCACCAAAGCCGGAAACCGTTATAAGTGAAATAATACTATACAATATAATAATCTTTTTTCTTTTGGGTAAGAATTTTTTTTTAGATTTCAAAGATTCGATAAAAACAGGTTATGATAATGTGTGATTATGTATATTCTTACTATTTCTTTAGACTTTAAAGATTCGATAAAAACATGTTCTGATAATATGTGTGGTTCTGTATATTCTTACTATTTGTTTTTATTTTTTCGTATATAAAGAAAGATTAACATGTTTTAGAGTCATTGTTTGACCGATCAATCCAACAAGATATAAAATCTCTAGATGAGAGATCGGTTGTGTAACTTTAAAGTGCTTCGTTCGATTGACTAAAGCAACAACAAACTTTTGAGTAAAAGTCTTTGATTGGGAAATCAGAATCCGGGGAATAACTTAGCTAAATATTGTTAAAAACCAAAATCATAAGAGTTGATTGAGCGATTTATGTCTCTATCCTACTCCTACTCCAGTATCCGCCTTTCACCTTCACTAAAAGGCTCCAACGCAATTATGCTTGTATATGTTTGGAAAAGTGACAAGGACAACATACTTAGCACAATGGAGGATAAAAACGTAAGTGAACATCTAAGACTTGAGAATTATGGTTGAACTAGGGCTGAACATGTAACATGTACTCGAACTAATTGAGTGTTTTTTTTTCTCACAAGCAAGCAAAAAAAGAAGATAATCAAGCCCACAGCTTTGTCATAATCAAGGTTGATTATATCATATTTAATCACGCTGATTTGATATAATTATCTTTTTAATCTAACTTATATTATCACCAAGGTCGAAGACGAACAAACTGGGACAGGTCTTGTTAATTTTGACAAAGTTGCTAGTTTCCGAGTCAAGGTGGCTGAGCATTTTGGAGTGCCAACTTACAGACTATGATTTTACAAATCCAAACCTCCATCATGTCTCGTTTTACCCAAAAAACGACCTGATACGATAATATTTTGGAATTTGTAACAGATAATAGATGTTGAATATTAAAGCCTCCAACTAATGAACTTTGAATATGCATGTTGAAGACATGGTGGGAGACAGTGATGAGGTCAAATTGTTTTTGCAGTTTGACACATCACGTGGTGCTAGTGGTATGTGCGTCACTTGTCCTCGGGTTGGAGATCGAGTTCGACATCGAAGACGGGCCGCCTAAACGGACATGAAAAAAACATAGATAAAATTCTACAATATACAGTATTGTGAACTCTATTATACAAACAATTAGCAAATATTGATACATGTATAAAAGACTACTATTTTGTTCACTGTTTTTACTCCCCATATCATGTAAGAAAACAAGTTTGGACCAAATCTCTTATATAATAGTCGACTCTTCAAATTAAACACAATTATTCATTTAGTTTTATTAAAATTTATGCTAAGAACCCATTTAAAAAAACCAGTGTTGGAGATGCTCTTATATGTTCATAACTAAAACTAATTAAGATAGTATTATTAGAAGTAATATATCATTGCAAACAGAGCAAAAATTCCTCTGTTTGAGCTTTTGGCTCCCAAAGTTGATTTTATTCTTTTGTCTATGTGTCATACATGCATGTGTGGTCAATTTATTAGTCAAAACACTGCGTTTTAGTTAAACTACTTTTTCGTTAAAGGTTTAATGTTGCAGTGACGTCACGTTTTTATACAGTCTTAACTTGAGCATGTATCGATCCTATCCTATCACTACACATAACACATGACATCTAATGTTATAAGTAGAAAATCAGCTACATTATTATCAATGGTTGATTGTAATTCTATTAATTGGCAATAACTAAGTAGAATGCGGATGTCTCTTATATATTAATTAAATAATGTTATAACAAGTTCTCTTGAAAGAGTTTTTAAAAGTTTGGCAATATTCACACAACATCTACTCTCGTCTTCTCTGCTCCCAAAACGTTCTTCGCAGTGGCCGTTGGTGGCTGTTCTTCATCATGGACAGTGATAAGAACATGAGACGACGAGCTATTGTCTTCTTTCTCGTTGTCGCCATCTAGAACCGGCTTTACACTTCCCCTGTGGAGTAACTGATGTTGTCCTATCTCCGCTGATAATTTTGGATCCAAAGTCTCTTTGAAATGTGCAAGACCAGAGAATTCTTCCACAGCCTCGGAGATCTTCTCGACGCAATTCACGACCTCGATCAGGATTGATGCCATTGTGACTCCGGGAATGATCTTCAAAAGATCTTTCTCTGTCTCTGGATAAGAAGATTTGAGTGCAATCCTTAAGTTTCTATGGCCTTTTTGGAGTTGTCAATGTGTGAGTTCACACGAGCACTGTCTTTGCTCATTGTCTTGATAGATTTGGCTATGGCTTTTAGCGCTTCACCAACTTCTCTGCTCATAGTCGTGATTGGCTCTTGAATCTTACTGTCGAATTCTTGTGGTGCCTGCTTAAGTCGCAAGTACAAAAATACAGAATTTATTGGTCGAACAATTTAGTTTTTTTGCTTTACCCTTTATCATTTGTTAATACTCTGTCCTTTAATTAAAGATTGATTTTCTAAAAAAAATTCACATAAATTAAGAATGTTTGATTATATATACTGTACATCATTTTCGTACTAAACACTTCTCCACAACTATGAAAAAACTAATTTAATAAATCTAAACATTCTCTATATATAATTTTTAAATTTACAATTCATCAACATAAAGTAATATAGATTACATTATAGAATTTTAAAAATCATTGTTCGTCAAAAAAGAAAAATAACTAAAACGTCAATCTCCATGGGGAATGGATGAAGTATGTAACATGTTTTGCTGTAATCACTTATTATGTAAGGCCGTTTTCGTCATTTAGGGGGTTGACATTTTATACACAACGTTTGATAGCTATAAATAAGCCAAGTTATAAACTACCCAACTTATTATAAAGCAGCCATATTTATGCATGTGTGTTAATATAAAGGCACACGAGATAACAAATATACACACGTACCAACTAAACAACAATACTAATTCCCTCAAAAACGGCGATTTAGGTAAATCACACGAACCTTATCGTTAGAGAGAACGTAGCCATTGAGGATTTCGAAATGGAAGGCACATTGGCGAACGAGACCTGCAATTTTCAAGTACTTTTTCCACGGATGCCGTAACCTGAAACGGCCATGCCCTGGTTCCCATCTAGCAAGATTCGCCTGCAAGAAATCAGTAATTAATTAGTATATATATTTTAAAAACGTTAATCAATACTATATTGTTCATACAAAAGATATATACATATATACCAAAGTATCTTCAGTGCTTTTTGATGTCAGAATGCTCTTGTATTCTCGAACACACGAGTTTGTCTCCTTTGAAATCTTCTCCGGTTGAAAATATTCCACCTCGAAACCTTTTTACAAAAAGCGTGTATGCATGCATAAGTAATAGATCTATCAATATATACATTTTTTGAAGATAGGAATTCAAAATGTTACTATTTAGTCACCTTCTAGGTATTTAGCAAGTTTGCTTATGTTGTTAGCAATCATCTTGTGAAGATCTTCGCCAGCCCATACAGGACAAATGAAAATCGACACAAGGATGCAGATCGTGCCACCGATAAGAATAGTCGATAGCCTTTGATATGCCATAATCAATACTTCATCTGTACGGTAACCCGAAATGGCAACCAAACTAAATGTGAGTATGAATATCAAGGCACCGTAGTCATATCTCTGTTTAATCCTTGGGAAAAACCGCGAAAATGTTGCAGCTGCGCCTAGTGAGAACACTAAGATCGCAAGAACTATGGGCTCTCCTTGATGCCCAAAGAAACGAGCAAGGTGTACTGCCCCAACCCCTAAGGCTCCTGCTATTAATGTTGCAAAACCTCTGTTTAAACCTTTGGAAAGTGTTCCACCTACAAAGAAATGGTTATTAGATAGAGTTTTTCTTAATCAGAATCTTTAATACTACATACATCCTATTTTTTCAAGGTAATAAATTAGTACGGTTTGATAGACTTACCAACAGTGAATTCGAAGACCACGACTACGGTAAGTATCGCCCACATACCCGTGACCCCGAAGCTGATGTAGAGTGGTCGCACATAGTACAACAATGATACTAATGTGAGAGCAACTCCAACTTTCATGGAGTGAATGATCCGTCTTGGATCATCTTTCCCAAACTTTTTCACATTCTTTACGCGTTTGGTGACACCGTCTTTGAGCTTCCTAGGGAAGTCCTTAAGCCTTTGAAAGAACCCTGCTTTCTTCTCTTGAGCATTCAAATCCATCTCCATTTGAGAATCTCAAAGAAAATGTTAAATCTAGTGAAACTGGCTTATATTCGTAAAACCTTTGGGATGTGTGGTGCATATGTGGGATAGTTTTGGGCTATATTTATAGGTAGAAAAAAGCTTAGTTTGTGAAAGAGACAGATTTTTCATTGCTGACTAAGCTTGCAGCTCAACCAATATTTTATGGATTTGATTTTCCTTTTTAAGTGATGGTGATTTTTCTTAGTTAGATCTCATTAATTGATGGATGGCTTTTCATCTAGCTAGCTAGGTAGAATATAGATGTACATGTTGTCATTATGTACGACGAATATAAGACTAAAAATTACTTTTAATATTTTTTATTTTATTTACAACACTCGGTAATATTCAGGAAAATGAAGACAAAAGATATATAAAAATTGAAAAGTAGAAGAAAAAAAAAAGGACCAAGTTGATCGAACCCACTAGAGCTCAGCAGAGAAGCTATCTAAATCAGAGGTTGAGAATGTTTTGCTTCTAACTTTACAGCAGTTATGTGTTTATATGATAAAAAGAAAATATTCAGATAACTTTATGTAACAAAATAAATATTATTGTTAAATTGTCAAACTAAGTGCTCCCAATGTGTATTATGATGATTAGATAATGATAATTTATATATAAATAAATAAATAAATAATGATAATGGTAATGATAATCATATGGGCTATGGCTGATAAGTGAATATACTGTAATAGCAAAGAACTTGTAAATTACATTTAAAAATATTTTTAATTGATTATTAATTCATATATTGTCTCAGAACAAAAACGTTTAACTATGGTTCACAAAGAACTATTCAAACATATTTTGATTTCGTTGTTTATTTATTTTTCTGATAGTGATACATATAATTTCTGCATCTAAAAGTTCTTAAAAAATTAGACAAAAAACCTAAATAAAATCAATGGCCTGGCAAACAAATAATATGGTTATGACTGATGCTATGTAATCTGTAAATAATTAGATAAATGGTGCAAGATGAATACAGATTTATAAATTAGAGAATAATGCGTAAATTCGGAGATTGATTAAATTGACGATTCAATCTCTATAAAAACCATTGATTTAATAATCTAAAGGTGTAAGATGAATTTAAGTGCAAGATCTATTTATAGACAATGGTCATTTCGTCCATTCTTTTTTGTTTCTACTTTAGAATTTGTAAAAACACATCCACTTATTTTTTCATTTTGTTGGCACCAAATCTAAGCATTATTCCCTAGCATTATTCCAAGAATATAACATGAATGTATGATCGAGATTTCATTCTGAGTTCTTCACCAATCCGTACTTCGTATATCATATATATTCTTGTTTTTTTTTCATTTTCACATCTTTAAACGTGACAAGATAACTTATCACTACAACAGAACAATTTTGTGTCGCACTATATTTAATTAATGATATATTCTCGTTTTTTTAAAACATGTAAACATGAATAGAAAAAAAAAATGACTATGGCCGAGAAAATGGTTGAGTACTATTTGTCTGAGCCTTATTGGGCCGAACCTTTGATTCAGGCCTGATTAAGACCCATAACCCGTGACTATTTTTTCAGGTATGGCCTGCTTATTTAACTACAAGTATGTTAGTAAATTCCACCCTAAATAAATCGAACTTAATTCGAAACTAGTCTAACCCAACCGAATCAACCAACTTAACTATCAAAAACTGTTTAACTATAGTAAGATATGGAAACATTATTTTTCAGTTTTATTTAATTGAGTAAAAATATCGTATTTTTAGCTATTATGATCTACATTGAAACTCTTAATCATTACCAAAATAATTCAAGGCTACAAATTTGCATTCCAAATAATATCCACCACCCGTGACTGGAATTCTGGAGAATGAATCGACTCGGTGAACATGATTTTTTGGTTTTGGACACGTGTATGATTGTCGTTGTTTGTGTCTTACGTATTTTATCCAAAATCTTAATTCAGTGCCATGTTTTTCTTTTAAAACCAAAACTAATTTTAGTGACATGTTAGTTCAAGATATGAAATATTAGCATTTATGTCTTTTCCATTACTGGTTTACACGTGTAATTTGTATCACTAAAATGAAAGGGACCATCAATCCAAAAACCAATCAACCAGAAAAATCACACTCTCACGTCCAAAAGCTAACCTTTCTAATTAATACTTCACATGTATATGATAGTCAAGTGCAAGTACGAAACAAAGATCCAGATATGAGATTTTGTAGTCTTCTGGAACTTTCTGAAGCTAGAGAGAGAGAGAAGCTAATGAATATGAGAATGCTTATACGATGTCGTTTTCTCTTATCATTCTTGTGCACTTGCGTAACCAACCATCCTCCTCCATTCTTATTTCCTTTTTTCTTTCTAAATCATTTTCTACTTGGAGAGGTTGTGAAATTCGATTAGGAAATTTTAACAAGAAATTGTTGGAATCAAGCTATCATATATATCTAACATATATATGTCTCTTACTTCTCTTTCTCTATTATGACATGTATAATACATAGAGAGATTGCGTACGTGAAGTAGAAAATGACTTGATTAGAACATTAAGAATTAAATAATGTATAAATTTTGGATGCAGACAAGATGAAAAACTGAACCATTTTCTGTCCACATTAGAGATGCATAGATGGTCCACATATTAGTAAGTATATGAGAAATAGACCTAATTTGAAACATGGTTTATATTAGTAAATAATGCCGGTTTTGGTTGTTTCCTCCTATTCTTGTATACTAACAGGACCCATGCAAGTTGTCAATAGGTTCATCGAAAGATAATTTGACGTGAGAGGAAACCAACCACTTGAAGAAAAAAAATAATAATAATGTTTTCAAGAATATGTTAGGTGATAGTTAAAATTTTGAGGAACGTTACATCTATAATCTGATTAATCTATGCGTAGGCGCATGTCTTTTTTGCAGATTTTTTGTAACGTTTTGTTTTGTTTTGTTGTTTTTTATTTCTCAAGCATCTTTTGGTTTCTATTTCAAAAAACAAATGGATATTTGCCTACATACTCAATATGTGTATCAAACTACACAACATAATATATAAATACGAATTCTTGAGTGCCTCTAGATAAAGATACTCGCGCCTCGCAGATATCCGAATGTATTTTAAAATGGAGAAGCAAGAATTCTCTTTATTCTATACGTAATACGTTGTAGCAACCTCTTGGGGTCGTGAGGGATCTTGTAAAGCCGGTCCACGGCTAGTGAAGAGTGACCACTGTAAAAGCAAATCTTTTCAAATTGGTCACTATTTCCTAAATTATAGTCCAATTTACTGTATTTTACCTTTGCCACTTATGGATTGATTCCTCTCGTCTGTTGTGTTTTGGAGTTATTATTAGCATTATCTACTTTTTACATATTTTGGACAGTAATTTAATACTTTCAACGAGAATCGATAGTTTCTATATTAAACGCTTCACTTTAATAGATCCTGGAATTGTTTGCGCCTTTAATTTGCGGTATATTTTTCATGTCATTCTTTACATTAAACGTTTTTAAAATTCTAGTCAATGTAAAGTAAAAATAAAAACAACACTTTAAGATTCTTGGTCCATTTTCCCCAACTTTTTAGTATAGTATATGCGATAGAATGATAATTTCTTAATAAATTTTCTGTTACCAAAATTTTCTTAATACAATGCATCATTACTTTTTCTTGCTCCAGATACGAATATTTTGAAGACGAGTACTTGCATTGACCTTTTACTCTTTTAGCTATGTGAATGTGCCTCGAGGGCATGAACCAGTCCCCAAAATTAAAACTTTTTTTAAAGTTTCAAAGATAATATATACATATCGGTATTAATACTCCTTTTACTTCTTCAACTGATAGTGGTACGCCATACTTGATTTTTGTTTGTTTGTTTTTGATGAAAATATTCTTACAAAGCATCAATTAGTTGACGAGCATTAAAATGAAAAAATATAACCCGAAAAAACAAACCAATCAACATCTAACAACTGCTAGAAGATGACGTCTAATAAATTAATCCAGATATTGTCAGATTTTTAATACACACATACGTGTATATATGATAGTATTGATAGATAAGCTAATCATTATAAATTAAAATGTCATTTTCGTTTGATGATTTTTATTGCGCAAGGATATGCTTTCTTCTTTATTTTTGTAATCAACAAAAAATCTTTAAGAAAATGAAAAACAATTTATAGTCTATATTTTCTGATTGGTAAAGTTTGTATGTTTACAGAAAACATACACAACCGGTTAATAAGATTTCTTACATATATGAATAACATTATACTCTTTTAGGTCTTTCTTTCAACAAATATTACTGTTTCTGTTTATTGAAAATGTTAAAATATTTTAATTAAAACTTTATATATATCGAAGATAAAAATGCGAGACACAAATAAAAGAGGAGGGAATTTTTTTGTTTTGTATATGCATTTATTTATTTATTTCAAAGGAATACATTTAAAGAAATCATTATTGTAATTGAATTTTGAGTGTTTTTTGACTAATGAAAATGTATAAAACATATAAAAAAAAAATCTACAAATGTTACATGAAATTATTTACAGTGACCATAGAAGATTTTCACTGGATATATAATTTGGAAATGAACTAATTAATCATAATTCTAGATTTTGTGTAGTCAAATATTTCTAACAACTAATATGCAAATATAATAATTAATAAAAAGATTTCGTCGTCAAAAAAACCTTTATAGTTATCGAGAGAACACTAACAGAGAAAGCCCAAACCTGAAGAAGATAACAAAATAAAAAACTTTTGTTTAGACTCTCTCTTTGTTTGTATATAAATACACAAATCATATTTATTCATCCTTCCTCTTCTTCTTCAACCTTCCCACGACCCAAAATCTCTCAACAACACACAATAATCCAAAATCCCTAAATCATCCTCTCCTTCCATTTCGGACGACCTTCTAAATTTTCCCGAGAAAACGATTCTTTGCTCTACCGGGAAAATTTCGTATCAAAAACGATTGGATCCAAAATTTCTCGCGCCTAATTTATCGATCTTGTAATTTTGTTTTCACAGGTCACTCGAGTTTATCCATTTTTATTTTTCTTCTCGCCGTCGCCATCACCGGAGATAATTTCCGTGGTGCTGCGTTTGGCCTCAAGGTTATTTGAGATCTCAATTGAAGAAAGAAACAGAGAGAAGAAGAAGAAGACGAAGAACATAATCAAGGAATTGAAATTTGATTCTGATCTCTCTCTCACCAAAAACTATGAACACGACGTTACGTTACGATCCAAGACAGATCTCGAGGCAAACGAAACCGTCTGATACTCCATCGTCTTCTCCGTCTCGTAGTCACCGGAGACAGCCTTTGCTTCAGAGAAGTCTCTCTTCTCCCTCACCAAGAGCTTCTTGCGGCGGATCTACTCCCGCTGAGTTTTGCGGTGGTACGACGGCGAGTTGCGCCGCCGTTTGGTGTTGTTGTCCTTGTGGACTCGTTAACCTCCTCGTTCTCGCGATCTACAAAGTTCCTAAAGGAATCTGCCGTCGCGCTATCCGTAATCGCCGCCGTAAACAGCTCGTGAAGAACGGAATCCTTCCGCCGCTTCCGACGGACGGGAAAAACGAGCGGATGCAGAGAGTTTTTCAGAATTCTGAATTCGCGATTCATCCGTTGGATAGCGAAGATGTGTCTGACGACGAAGATGATGATAATTTCTTGGATCTGAAGTATATCGGAAAATCGGTAGCGGCGGCGGGGTTTACGACTGAGGAGGAAACTGATGAAGACGACGAGGCGGTGTTAGCATTAGAGAAAGAGATGTGGAATAGATTTTACGGCGCTGGGTTTTGGCGAAGTCCGTCACAGAGAGAATCGGTTTCGTCTCCGAGAGTTTCCAAGTCTCTTTCGTCATCGCCGAGACCGTCGTTTACTGAAGTGTACCGGAATAGGGACACAACGGTTAAAGGCGGAGGAGCTACGGTGGTGGCGGCGACACCAAGAGCCGTTAGGCATTTTGATTAGGAAAAATATGTCTCAAAATGTCTTTTGTTAATAGTTTCATTCGTGTGGTGAGTTTTGTTGTGTGTAAGCTCAAAGTGTGTGTCAAATCTTTGGAGTGTGATTTTATTTTCCGATGGTATTGGGGTTATATGACAATTCGAACTGGAATTGGTGTGTGATGTGTGTTTTGTCGAAATGTGACATGACATCTTGATTATCATTATGATGGAGTGGATATTAAACGAGATTAGTTCAATTGATTCTCAAGAAGAAGGTTAGTTCATGTGGTAAATAATTAGTGACATGGAGGAGTAAAATAAGATTCAAAGGGTAAAAAAAGTAGTCTAGGGTTTAAAACAAGTGGAAGCTGTCGTTTTCTTTCAAGGGGGTTTGGAACTTGTAGCCTTGTAGGTTGTGATGTAATGTAACTGTGAGGACCACAACAATCAGTACTTGTCATTAGTGTTAAGCATTAATTCAGGTGTTGCTACCACTACCACCTTCTTCTTCTCCATCTCTCTAATTACTTTCTTTCCTTTTTTCATCTCTTTTATTTTTACTTTTACCTGCTTTGTTGTGTTTCAATTGTCTTTTACTATTGCTCACTAATTCAGCTTTGATGTGACCCTACTTCATTTATTTCATTATTTGGTGAATCTCATGCAACTGTTTTTTTTTTCCAGATGTTTGTAAGAAAAGAAACATGGATTTCTTTTTTTCGACAAACAGTGAACAACCAAACATTCATCGACCATTGATTGTTGAAAGATAATTTCATTTAATCAACAAAAAATCTGTAAACACAAATTGTACAATTATACTATTATTCTAAATGAAATCGTGCGTCTTGTATTGAAAGGAAATGCTCGAGGATTCAACTTTTTTACAAGATAACATTTATAAATTAAGAATGTCTTGGTTGTTATTTTGTTCTTAATATAAAATTCACGAGGATTTTTTAAAGTGTATCTTTCGGCTCTTTCGGCAACTTTAGCTAGATGAAATACTTGGACCTTACAGTTTCTTGTTATTCAAAGATACGAATATTTAATTCTTGAATGAGAAGCAAAAGGTCGTCACCAGTATATACTTCTAACTTTAACAAACAAACAAAAGGGCGTCACCGAAATGAATTCACCAAGTGGTACGACAACACAATATGTCAATATTAATCAAAGTTACCTTAGAATCTTGGCTAGTCATAGATTTTTATGTAGCTCTGTCATCTTTCTTTCGATACCTCATTCAGCTTCCCATTCTCATGTTCATTTGTCAGAAGGCCCGTTTCGGTCCAATATTTTACATACTGTTAGTGGGCTGGGCTTATGCGAAACCCAATACCAACAGATATGTATGAATTGTGTTTCCTATTTTCCAACAGATGTATCGGTGTAGAATTGTAGAGAACCGAAACAAATAATAGAACTCGGGCTTAAGATAAGAGATTGGGTTTTAACTCAGTTGGGCCTTAAAGCCTGTTTTCTTATTAGGCGGGAACAATAAGAATCGCACTATAGTTAGAATTTCCAGAAGACCACAAGTCCACAACCATTAGCCAAAAACGCTGTCCCCTGGCTCTTGATTTAGTTGGACGTAAGTGCACGTGCCAAGTTGGAGAGCGTGAGAGTAACAGGTAAGTGGAATTGAGGTGGGACATTACACGATTCACGAACTTAGCGTAGCAACCAAAAGGTGTCCCATTAAATAAATAAATGATGGTTGTATTAGGTCATACACCGACAGCTTCAATTCAAGCCACGTGTTCTTCCCTTCTTCTTCGGCTTCTTCTCTTTGCTTCACATGATGTCTTTCTTTTTTATGTTTGGTTGGATTTCTTAATTTCACGTTCAATTTAAGTATCACCCACATCATTAACTATAGAAGACTGACTAATGAACTACTATCCCTTTTTTATCATCTAGTACTCGCTGATTGTTTTAGTCCTTTTTATGTTAAGAATTAAAGACTAAGGAAAACTTCAAAGACCATCACTTTCACTCTACCGTATATATTCAATTACAGGCAAATATTAATAATTTGGTTCCGAATATCTTTTTATATTTCAAAAGCACAATTACTTCTTTATTCATTATGTCAAAAGCATGTATTCAATAGTGATATTATGGTTTTCGGAAATTGATGTGACGATTTTTATATATTTGAGATCAATTTCTTTGATGTTTTAGAATATTACTATGAACATTCGAATTGTTGCGCATGACCATTTGATCAAAAATGAATAGTTATTCACTTTGCATAAGTAGAATTCCATCTGAAGAGTTTAATATAAGAGCAGAGCTTGTTTGTTCTGAAATAGTAATACTTTCATGTATTAAAAAAATAGTTTATCAATAAAAGACAAAAACAAAGTGGTGTTTGTTTATACAATAGATCAATAAATAAATAAAAAGATTTAGCCGAGCTGAGCCGAGAGATTTATAAAAGAAAGCTAAAAAAGTCAGAGCTAAAATAATTAAATGTTATTCAGACACCGTGTAGTCCCCACCACCAGCCTGTCCGAAAACCCAAACCTGTTTTGATACACAAACAACACAGACCACCCCAAAACTCACATCTATCTCTATCTCTCTTCTCTGTCTCTCACTCTCCACTTTCCGATCACCGACGCTTCATCAAAACAGAGAAAGTAAATTCTTTTTTTTTCTTCTCCTTAATTACTTCTTCTACAGATATATCTCAATCTTTCAGAGCACCATGGATCGTTGTATCTATGGTTGCTCCGTCATTACTATCTTCTTCTTCTTCCTGCTCAATGCATCCGCTCTCGAATCGGGTCACCACAACATAACCGGGTCGGGTCAAATCAACTCAAACTCCGTCCTTGTTGCTCTTCTCGACTCTCGTTACACTGAACTCGCCGAGCTCGTTGAGAAGGCTCTTCTTCTCCAAACCCTCGAAGACGCCGTTGGTCGTCACAATATTACTATTTTTGCCCCACGTAATGAAGCACTCGAGCGTGACCTTGACCCGGATTTTAAACGGTTCTTGCTCCAACCAGGTAACCTCAAATCTCTCCAAACGCTTCTATTGTCTCACATTATCCCCAAACGAGTCGGTTCAAACCAATGGCCTGAGGAGAATTCGGGTCGGGTCAAACACATCACGTTAGGGCATGACCAAGTGCTGCATTTGAGTAAACTCAAAGGAGCAAATGGAAAGAGATTGGTGAATTCCGCTGTAATTACCCGACCCGATGATTTGACCCGACCCGACGGGTTGATCCACGGAATCGAACGGCTTTTAATTCCTCGCTCCGTTCAAGAAGATTTCAACCGACGGAGAAATCTCCGATCAATCTCCGCCGTATTACCCGAAGGAGCTCCGGAAATTGATCCGAGAACCAACCGTCTCAAGAAATCCGCCACCGCCGCCTCAGTACCCGCCGGATCTCCACCAGCGCTTCCGATTGAATCCGCTATGGCTCCAGGTCCGTCGCTAGCCCCGGCTCCGGCCCCGGGACCAGGAGGTGCGCACAAACACTTCAACGGCGATGCTCAGGTCAAAGATTTTATCCACACATTGTTACATTACGGCGGATACAACGAAATGGCCGATATACTGGTAAATCTGACGTCACTGGCGACGGAGATGGGTCGATTAGTGTCGGAAGGTTACGTCCTCACCGTGTTAGCTCCAAACGACGAAGCTATGGCGAAATTGACGACGGATCAGCTTAGCGAGCCTGGAGCTCCGGAGCAAATTATGTATTATCACATTATACCGGAGTATCAAACCGAGGAGAGTATGTATAATTCGGTTAGGAGATTTGGGAAGGTGAAGTATGAAACGCTGCGTTTTCCTCACAAGGTTGGGGCTAAAGAAGCTGATGGCTCGGTAAAGTTTGGTTCTGGTGATCGGTCGGCGTATCTCTTTGATCCGGATATTTACACCGACGGTCGAATTTCGGTTCAAGGGATTGATGGTGTATTGTTCCCGGAGGAGAAGGAAGAAGAGACGGGTAAGAAAACGACCGGTCCGGTTAAGAAAGTTGTTCAGCCAAGAAGAGGTACGTTTGATTCATCTTTTGTTTGATTCAGTTGTGTGTTTATTGTTTATAGATTCGGTAACATTAGTTATAGTTATAGGTGATATGATCTAATGTAGATTCATCAGATTTCTTATAACATTACCATTGCGACTTGTGACTTGTGAGGGACTAGTTAGGTTTATAATTGTGTCATGTTACACGGTTTTGAGGTACAAGTTATAGTTTTGGGGTTTGTGGTTGCGTGAATTGTGATTTTATTCATATAATCTCCGGCGAAATGGGTCGGATCGAAGGATAATTCCGGTGAGAAGTAATAGAAATGAAGATTTGTGAGGATATTTCAAACAGAAGAAAGAATCATTAGAAGCTTCTTCACATTCATTACCTAAAGCATCTTCTCACGTTTACAAACTTCCCTTATTATATTGGTTAATTAAATTATTGGGTTTTAGCTTTTTTTCTGAAATAATTTAATTAGGTGACAGGAGATTGTGATTGTGATTGGGATTAATTGATTGTGATCATGACTTAATGATTAAAGTTTCTTATTTAACTAATGATGGAAAATTAAACAGGGAAGTTGCTGGAAGTAGCATGTAGAATGCTTGGAGCTATTGGCAAGGACTCATATCTAAGTAGGTGCTGATGGATTCACAAACCCAAAGAGATTACTGAAGAAAAATCTCTCAAGTGTTATTGTAAAACACATACAAAAGGTTAGGATTCGCGGTAATAGTCTCCCGATCTTTAATTGCTTTGAATGATTGTTAACAACAAGTGTATTCATAGTTTCCATGTTGTTGCTTGCAGGTTCTTTGGAGAAGAATGTAAGATTTGGAGGAAGAGCAAAAAAAACAAAAACAAGAGAGGAATAACATCAATGTCCAAAACTTGAAAAGCATATTCTTCAATGGAATATGAAAAAGGGTTTGTTGGTTTTTTTTTTCTTATATAAAAATATATTTTTTGGGTGGGGTTTTGATTTTGGGGTTATAAATACTGTAATTAGATATATGAACTCATTTTTTCAATTGATTTGGTGTATGAAAAATGAATCATAAAGTGGGGAACAAAAGAAAAAGACTTGAGAACCCACCACCACTTTCTTTCTTCTACTTGGCCCTTTATTTGTGAATGAATTCCACTTAATTGGGAATAGTAACATCATTATATCATTTATACAAACAAGCAAACAAAATTTATAACTTGATGTAATAGCTGAGTAATTTTCATAGTATTATGTGGCAAAAATCTCCATTTCTATTGGGTGTAATAATATCATTATATTAGTAGTGAAAGGTATGACTTTATTTTTATTCAAGTATAGCAACAAAATAGAAGAAAAGAAAGGTCTTTGGTAAAGAGCGATAATGAAACATGTGTTGGAGAGAGGAGATGAGTTGGCTTATGGCTGTCTTGTGAGATATGATTATGAATAGAGACCCAATTACAACACAAAGCTTAAAAAAAGCTGTCTGACTTTTTCTATGTGATCATCATTCATCATATTCAATCGGTGACTTATTTTGTTCCCCTTCAATCTTTAGTAAAATAGCTGTATAAAACTCTAAACAAGTTTATCAGCAGTACACCATTTCAACCACTTAGACAACAAATCAGAATCTTAGGTCTAAATATGATAATACAATGGAGTGGACCAAAGTTTTTTATTTATTATTTCTTCTCTTTTTTAACTTGACAATAATGTTGAATGGTGGAAAAGATAAAGGGCCGGCAATAACACTAGAAGAACGACCTGCAACTTGTCTCCCATTCATTTACACTTTAGTTTACTCTCTGTATGTGTAGACCGGTAAGCTCATGTTACAGAAATACATGAATACAAATTCGCTCTTCAATATTAAAGTGAAATCACGACTAAAACGATTGCAAAAAAGTCTTACAAAGGTTTTTGATCATAACTAATTGGTAAATATTTTTTTGAAAAATATGGTCTGCAATTACAAGTAACTTGAGAACAGAGTGCATAATAGCCAATTGACTACCAATCTTTAAAAGCTTAGTCTGAAAACTTGTGTAGACTCTCCTTATTTCTTCTCCTCTGTTAAAGGAGCTGTAACATATAAGAAACCGGGTTTAAATTGCAATCCTGAGGTAAAAGTTACATGTCGATTAATACTAAATTACCAGTTAGTTCGTACCTTTAGGTGCTGACTCGTCCTGTGGTGGCCTCATTGCCGGGAAGAGAATAACCTCCTGTGACAACATATTCCAAATCATGAGTTTTTTCAGTCAAAAAGAATAGATTGGAGGCAAATTCTTTTTGGAGGTAAGAGAGTGACCTTGATGTTCTGTGAGTCAGTGAAAAGCATAGCAAGTCTGTCTATACCCAATCCCCAACCACCTGTTGGAGCCAACCCATATTCTAAAGCACTACAAAATGTCTCATCTAAAGCCATCGCTTCATCATCTCCAGATTGTCGATCCTTGAGCTGATCAGCAAAACGCTGGCGCTGTACCACAGGATCGTTCAGCTCCGTGTAGGCGTTGCAGAGCTACAGTCCAGTTATAACATGTTAGTCAAACAACTTTAAAGAAAGGAAGCAATGAAACAAGTTCCTCATCAGTTTTCTTTTGTTTTTGTTTTTGCTTACTTCATGTTTGTTGATGAACAGCTCAAATCTCTCTGTCAAAACATTGTTCGATCTGTGCCATTTGGCCAATGGACTCATGATCTCGGGATGGTTGATGATGAAAGTTGGGTTCACACATGTCACTTCCAAAAATTCTCCAACAAGCTGCAAAACAAAAGGGACAATATTTCAGATTTACATTTCTTAATCTACGTATGCTAGAAAGGCAGGAGGGAGACAGGAGATTATACTTTATCCAACAAACGAGCTGTTGTCTGAGGAGGAGGGCATTTGACATCAAACCTCGCACATGCATCAATCAGATACTTGTTAGCTTCTTCGCTAGCCAAGTCTTTTGGTATATTGAGGTTAGCCACCTTCTCCAACTCTCCTATCATCTCAATCCTCCTACAAAAACAAAAATTGAGTAAATTATTATCAAAGAGAAGTTCCTCCAAAGGTTGTGGTTTAAATTTAATCAATGAAGATATTAGCTCAAACCTGAATGGTGGCTTGAAGTCGATTTCAATTGGATCCTTATCATACCCATTAGCATGATACTTGATTTTATAACCACCTGTTAACTCCTTGACCATGCCACTCAACATATCCTCAGTCATCTTCATCAGGTCATTGTAGTCTGCGAAAGCCATATAGAACTCGCAAGTGGTGAACTCCGGATTGTGGGTTAGGTCAATACCCTCGTTTCTAAATTGCTTTCCTATCTCGTAAACACGTTCCAAGCCACCAACTATAAGTTGCTTGAGAAAGAGTTCAGGTGCGATACGCATGTACAGCCTCATATCTAGATCATTGTGATGTGTCACAAATGGTCGAGCAGCTGCACCACCAGCAATCATGTTCATCATAGGTGTCTCGACCTATATAAAATTTAAGAATATCAAATGCATGAAAGAACACTCGAACAAGAGGCAAAATCAAAAGAAGGTAAAAAAATTTCTTGTGAGAAATTACCTCCAAGAAATTTTTGCTGTCGAGGAATCTGCGGATGTAGGAGATGATATGAGCTCTGGTCTTGAATATCTGACGAACCTCCACGTTCAACATCAGATCAAGATAACGCTGGCGATATCTTGATTCCTAGCAACAAACAAAGACATCACACGCCCACTCAAATAGAAACAGAATAATAGGGTCACTAGATTCTTAGACAGCTACATGCAACAGCCAACAGATAGTGATCCACAAAAAAAAAGGAACATTTAACAATGTAAGAGTCCATAACAATCTTTAAAGCCCTTTGTAAAATTGATGATACCTGATCTTTCAGAACATATGCTTCAGGATTTCTCGTTTCACCTGGAACCCAGATTTCAGGTTTCTACATTCAAGTAAAAAAGTGAACGAAGTTAGTGTAAAACAAATAAGGTGACTCTTAAGGTATGATAACAGCCACATTAAAATACTCTACCTTTGCATTAACATTATCAGCCTTTCTCGGCATCATGTGGAGGCAATGGGACAGAAGGATAAATGATCGGGGAAAGATACTCAATTCTCCCCTCTTAGTTTTTCCTGAAATTAAAGTAATGCAAACAGTGAAAAAGAATGTTGCGGTAGGCTTTAAGATTGAAAATAGAAGGAAAAAAATAGAGGCTGCACAAACCTGGAAACCCAGTGACTCCAACAATATCACCACGCTTGACATTCGAATGGAGCTTTAAGAACTCAGCTTCATCCAATCCTGACTTACTGGAACAGTAAAAATGCAATAAATCTAAGTAAAAAGCATTAAGTTTTTCAAATAAAAGAAGAGAATCCGGTAAACAAAGCATTCACCTTGCATCAGCCATGACTTGGACCTTGTAATCTTCACCGTGTAGATCATAGAAGAAGAGCTTGGAAGAGGAAGATCGCTTGCTCATTATCCGCCCTAGCAAAGTTCAAAAATGTAAGAATCAAGAGGCTAATAAAACTAATGCGAATAGCAATTAGCAGTTTAACATACCAGCTAGAGATTCATTAGCATCTTCAACATGATCTCCATTGTTTAAACTACCATACTTCTCAATGTATTCAGGAATCGACATTGACACAGAGAACTTGTGAGGGTATGGATTCTCCCCTTTAGCCTTCTCAGCCGCAAGATATTTCAATCTGTTCTCATGGTATTGCTGCAAAAAGAATACCAACATACATTATTACCTGCAAAAAGCTGCATTGCATAAGATAAACAAAGAAATTATCACACAGATTCATACCGTTGCATCCATCTCTTCATCATCTGCTGCCACTGCCTTCTGGCTCTGGGAGCTTACTTTCGGAGCCTGCATCAATAAAATCAAATCTCATTAACTAGCAAAAACTGGAACCCTAAACCCGATCCTACCAATAGAATTCTATCTATAATCGTTTCCCTAGAATGTTACGAATCAGAAGAGTGCTCACTTGTTTAGCCTTCTCTTCTTCCTTGCGTTTCCTCTCTTCCTCTTTCTGCTTCAATTTCAGTTCCTTCTTCTGAGCACTACACATAAATTTCAAGAAAACGCATCCGCTACCATCAAATCCCGTAGGAAGATTCATCGAGAGCAAAAGAATAACATCAGAAGAAAACCTACTTTTTACTCCGAGGTCCAGCTCCATCACCAGCGCTAGACTCAGCAGCATTCGAGGTGGTAGAAGAATCCATGGCTAATTCAGATAACGCTTTCGTAGTTTGATCAGCTGAACCTTCCATCGTAATGGAGGAGATTCCAAAATCAACAAGATAAAACGCTCTTTTCTCAGATTGTTGTTTCAAGTTTCTTCTATACGACGAATTCTAAAGTTAAGTCTACGAGGAAGACGGCGACGAAGAGACTTGCTTAGGGTTTATCTTATTATCCCCGCGAAACGGGTCCAAGCCCATTAGCCGATTAGGGCTTCTTCGGTTAATTCACTAACCGTACCGGTTCGTTTTGAATTAACCATTTTAATTTGCGGTTTATTCATACACAGCTTTATTGTATCTTTCTTCTATTAATGTTTACATTTTTATTGAAACACTTGCTCTCAAAATCAGATTAAGACAGTTGAAAATTCTTAACACTTTCCACAATGAAGTTACAAAACAATTGATGTTTCCACTTCAAAGAAACAAAGTCTTTGGATTTAGCAATGCCAATTTCAAGTCCTTCTTCTCCAAAACCTGAAACCAAAGCAGCTCGGGTTACGTTTCCTCTGCAGATTTGAGCTCTTACCTCCGTTTAAACCGCTCGGTTTGTCGTCACTATTCTCTGTTGTTTGGCTGAAAAGAGTTGTGGCTTGTGAGACTGTTATCCTTGTTACCTCAGAGTTTGTTGTTAGATCGATCTCGGGTGATGCAGGAGCTATTTTGTTGCTGTTGTTGTTGTTGTGATAATGTGCAAAGGATGCTTCATCAAGAAGTTCAGTTTTAGGATCTTGAATACAAACTTTGCTACTAGAAACAATCTGAGTGCTCCCTGAATGCTGCATTGGTGATGATGATGCTTCTTCTTCTTCTTCTTCTTCTTCCCCCGAAGAGGTTGATGTATTATTATTATCTGTTTTGGATTTTCTAACCATTGATATCACTCTTTCTAATGTCCCTAAAGCTTGCTTCACCTCTGGACTTATGCAGAAACGTGTTTTGACTTTCTTGTTTTGAGTCTTCCCAATGACATTTTCATCCTCCTCTGAAGAAGAAGAAGAAGAAGGAAAACTTTTTTCTTCTTCTTTTAGATCAGTACATTCTTCTTCCTCGATCTCAGGAACATCTCTTTTGCTAGGTACAGATTCATTCTCGCAATGGCGAGTCTCATTCTCTTTTGCCATATATGGATCATCAGCTTCCAACTTCGGTTCTTGTTCTTCACAATCTCTTCCTTGTTGGCTATGAAGCTCATTTACTTGGCAGATTTCATTAGTTTTGTCACTAGAATACAGAGCTTCATGTATACGAGTATACAATGGATCAGCTAAAACTCTCTTGTAGTCATCGGATTCAGCCACCGAACCAATAGTCTGCAAAAAATCAAGTAAACACCACAACATCACACAAGCTAGCAAAACGACGATAAACCAGATTTTTATGAAGTAAACAAAACTGAAAATGACCTTCTTGAAAAGTTTGAAACCGTTGCCAAGAAGCTGCCTAGACATAAAATTAATAAGAGATGGAGGTACCAAGTCCAGCTTTATGTCTACTTCCGCTATAAATCTACAAAAGTTTCAAAAAAATCAGAAACATCAAAGACATTCCAAATTTTTGGTTATACAATATGTTATCACTCACTTACACTCACCTTAGGTAACTCCTCTCCGGAGTCACTTTTTGTATCGCAACTCCGCCTACGAAGTCAATTCTCACAGCATTCACTACTTCAGCTATACTGTCGCTCTCTACTTCGATCTAAAGATGTACTAATAGATAAGAGTTTAGGATACTGTCAAATCACTAAGAACTGGATTAAGATGCAAAAACCAAATCTAACATAGTTTTACCGAGTTTAGTAGGATGATGACTAAACCGTCTTTAAAGTATTCGAATAAGAAATACTGCAGAATAGCTTCTCTGTCTGTCAATGGCCACGGTGCTTTCACCCTTTCTTGCCAAAAAATATCATCAGTTTTCAGATTTGGATTAGCTTCACGAATATATAACAACAGAATATTACAATTTGTGAAACAGACCTCAGTAAACATATCTGTTTATCAATCCTAAACTTTTGCAAGCATTTAGTTTCTAAGACCTTGAATGTCGGAAATGTCAACTTTGGCCACCTGAAAGACATACAGAAAAAACATCAAACAAAAATCGCAAACAAGAGACATTTCATAAACCAAAAAGAAACTCTCACCATTTCTCATACAATGATGATTCCCAGCATACACATAAACCTGTATAAACACAGTTAGAATCAAATCGAAAACCTTTTCTTGCGGTCCAAACTCTTGAAAATACTTACAGTCTTCAATAGTCCCATCAATGCAGCCTTCAACTAGCAATGTATGAAATGGACTTCCTTTAAGTCCTTCACGGTACATAACACGACAATCTTCATCATCATGTTTCACCTGTAAGCAAGAAAACACTTTGCTAACATTATGACAGTTCTGTTTTACAAAGTTTAAAGAAATCGATCACAAAAGCTATCCAATAGAGCCAAAAAAGAAACATACTTTCCAATCACCATAAGATGCCTCGTTGTTTGATTTAGACGAGTCGTGATCCTTTGTTGATACACTCCTAAGCTTCTCAATTGTACTGGATAAAGCAGCTACTCTTTGATCCAATATATCAACACTACACTCTGTGAAAACATATAGAACATTATAGCAAAGAAAAAATTAAGAGTAGATAGCAAATCAAGAACAACAAAAACCTTCATTGAGCTGTTTTCTGACTAGAGTTTTAAGAGTTTGCTCATTAACGAGCTCAGGAGACGACAAGGTCTCATTAAGTCTCTCTCTGTACTCCGAAACCTCTCGTTTCTTCTCCATACTCAATTGAATCCGTAGACACCTTTGGAAAACAAACGAATCCTCAAATCAAAGACCAAAGAGAATCAAAGATTGGTTTCAAAAAGAAGAATCGTGGTGAAGAAGTGTGAGAAGAGAAGACCTTAAAACGTACGGCAATTTATAAGAAAGGAAGCTTTTGGTTATAGTTTTGCCAGACAAAACCCAGCTGCTGATGCGTAACCTACGAGGCGGGCAAAGAACGTGGAGATGTCTTTCCCGATTAGAAGATACTTTCTCTCATTTTCTTGGGAATAACATATCTGGAAAGAAGAAGTCTCATTACCAATAATATTACGAATTGGATTTTTGGCAAAGTTTTAGAGTTTATGTCAGACTTTACTTTAGAGGGACCAGGTCGGTTAAGTGTCGTTGTCATGAGATCTTTTCTGTTTTTTTTTTTTGATCATTCAAACAAAACAAAACTAATCTCGAATTAATGTGCACGGTACTAATCATTTAGAAGACAAAAATGATTTTATAAAACTTAAACACAAACAATAAGATGATCACTTTTGTTTCTTTTAAAATAAGGATGTGCATGAATGAGAAATTGTGGGGGTAAATGAATGAATCTAAGTTTGAATCGATTTCATCAAAATCAGAAAATTGATTGTTTCTAGAAAAACATGCATTTGGTTGGGGTATTTGGAAACCACATGAGTATATATGATGAGTTATAAACTAGAATTGCTTTGTACAAAAACGACGAACTAGATCAAATCTTCTTTTAGAATATAATCCACATACTACCATAAGAAAATGGAAGAAGTTGATTTGGACTCGGATCTTTGAAGTATATTTAAATCACATTATTGAGTCTTATCTCTCATATGTTGTGTTTGCTTTTCCTCATTCTATGGACTTAGCTGCAAGTTTTAAAATTCATATCCTATGGTAATGAACATGGTCAGCCTATAAAAAACAAATATATATCACCTACACACAATCAATGCCATGTGTTGCATATCTCCTGTGTAGTCAAAGTCAAGATGGAACTATATTAAAGAGAAGGATCTTGCAACTAACACCATAGCTTATTCAAGACACAGTGACATGGAATATTACAGTTCTTAGTTGTTTTAGACAGCCATTGGTTTTCACAACACTTAGTTAAAAAGGAAAAAGACAAAAAGAGTCTCAGATAGTTTTGATATAACATTTTTTAAACTACTGACCGCAGCAACCGCCATTGTTCTGTTGGATTGGCTGACCTTTCATTTGAACAGTTCCAGGACCAGATGTCTTGTTTGCATTCGTTTGGCTTCCCATTCTGCAAAGAAAATGAGTGACAATAAGATTACACTCAATTCTCCATATTACTTAAACCAGACCGAATCAGTAAATGTCGATACAAGAAATCAATCATATGAAAAATCTTTTAACAGAATCAATCCAAGTACACAAGCTTGAGGAAGGTACAAGGATACGACAGTCAGTTTGTTGATTTGCTTTCAATTAGTCATCAAATCTAGAATAGCGCAATTCGGATTTAAAACTTTACATGAATAGTTTATTTCAAGAAAATAGTGGAGCATCAAGATGCTTTGCAGCAGAAAAAACCCAGATAATGCTTTGATGTATAACAGTATAATGGTAATCAAGGAATATAGTACTAAAACAGCTTCACTAAAATAATATATGCTAAATCATTGCAGAAATTATGAAAAAAGATGAAAGATAGTGAACATACTTCTTCTTGATCTCGCCGGCAATAGTTAAGAATGCTTGTTCGACGTTGATAGAATCCTTGGCACTGGTCTCAAGAAAGGGAATTCCTAGCTCATCTGCTAAGGCCTGCAGTGATTTTTGAGTAGATAAAACGTAAGAAAACCAAGTCACAGTTGTATCAGGAGTAGCAGCCACTGAAAAAATAAGCACTTTAGCTGGAATCAGATCATCTAGCTTTTGGAGTTTGGTCAGTGATCATCTACATTCATAGCCGTAACTTCTGGTATAACAATGTCAATGAATGTAATATCATCACATGGTTTGAGGAACCATGATATGATCAAATGAGGAAAGGGGAAAGTACAATGCAAAGGATGTTATGCATAAGAAAGAAGTAAAATCATAACTGGAAAAAGAATGCAGAAAAATTGTTGGGGATTTAACTACGGATGTGAACTTACCTTACCAGTTTCGGTAGAAACAACTTTATTTTCAACCATATCATTCTTGTTACCGATTAGAAGCTTGCATACACTCTCATTAGCATATCTATCGATCTCACTCAACCACTGCTTGACATTGTTGAAGCTTTCCATCTCAGTACAGTCGTACACAATCTGTTGCAAATTATCATCAGTTAAAGGTTGGATTTCAACATTAAAATTAATCTTACTTCCACAAACAAACATGTTTCAGAGTACACAGAGGAGTGCAATATCGATACCGACTAAACCATAAACCACTTAACATAAGAAATTGAAAATGGGACATAATACTAGTCTAGGTAAACAAAAAAAAAACAAGTAAGAAAGCTAATATAAAGATTGCTCACAATGATCCCATGAGCTCCTCTGTAGTAGCTGCTAGTGATGGTCCTGAAACGCTCCTGTCCAGCAGTATCCCACTAAAGAGAGCAGCAACAGTAAACACAATCATCCAAAACATATCATATAAGTAGTCCTCACTAAAAGTCTTAAGAAAAACTCACAATTTGCAGCTTAATCGTCTTCCCATCCTGCTCAATCGTTCTAATTTTCTGCAATTGCGAAGCACATTGTAAGTAACAATCTCATCACATACAAAAAACCACATAAATAAGGTCAGGAACTCACGAAGTCAACACCAATGGTGCTTATGTAGCTGTCAATGTAAGCATCATCCTGGAAACAAATATCAAATCCCAAAATCACGAAACAGTTCAAGAGAGCCTAACACGAGCTAATTCTCGACGACGGAGTCAATTAAGAATCAAAACAAGTCAAACTTACAGCGAATCGAAGAAGAAGGCATGATTTTCCAACAGAGGAGTCACCGATCAACAAAAGCTTGAACAGATAATCGCTACATCAAAAAAAAAAACGAATTCGGTGTGAATAAAATCGAAAACGATACAATGTTCTCAAGGAGGAGAGAAAACACTTACTACTCGTTGCTCATGATTTAGCTGAAGCTGAAGACTGCGTTTCCGAGATTTCGATTCGAAGATTAGAACAATTTTCTCGGGAAAAAAAGATAGAAGAAACAAAAAAAGAGGTTTGGGATTTTAGGGGCGTGTCAATCAATCAATTCACATGAACATTGAACCCCACGACTTCTATTGTAATTTTTTTTTTTTTCTCGTCAATATTTTTTTCAGTTTTTTTATTATTTCTTTAATTCCTTGTTGTTTGTCCCGAGACAATAAAGAAGCTTTGACCTTGTCTCACTAATTTCTTTACGTGTGTTCTTATTTCGGCCCTTTTAAAGATAATGGGTCGGGCTCAAATCTTGCCTATTTAACTTATCCGTCGTTAACGTCGTGGCCCTGGGATTAAAGGTTGGATTTTGATTAATCATCAATATGTATAATTTATAAATGTTTTTTTTTAGAAAAAAAAAAACAAAAAAGAAGAAAATTACAAGTTTTAAAAATTTACAGAATTTTGATTTAAAAATTCGTGATCAATATGTGATAAATTGATAAAATATGATTACAACCTAAAAAGACACAAATGGAGTATTTAAAATGGATTAAAAGGTATATTAAAAAAAAATGATTGAACATGCATAGATTTTCCGATTTTATATGACACAAAGTATATTTTATCAACAAAATAATTTTTTTTCATGCTCCATTCATATCACTGTTAATTAAGTAATCTTAATCCTACCACAAATCACCTTCTTATTTTAGTTTATTTTTCCCATTGAAAATAGATACTAGTTACTTTCTGGCAAAAATAAGATATTTCCTCAATTTATAATACTGTATAATTTTTTTCCAACAAAATATTTTTCTTTTTATATAACCAAAAAATAAAATAACGTGTAGTAACGTGTTTGCAACTTGGCAAACAGATTTAAAATAAGATAAGTACCAAAAATAAACAAAACAAATATAGACAAAAAAACTCAAAATTTAAACACACAAAGATTTGTTTCACACAAAACTCGGAAGATCCTAATTATAAATAAACTAAAGAGATTGAGAAACGAACACAAATCTCAACCTTATACAAGAAAAAAAAGGGAGAGATACAGAGAGATCTTAAAAAAATGGCGATCGTGAGCCCTAATTTCTGTGCACCGTACCCTATAGAGTTGGGAATCGTACGCAAGGTGATGACTTTAACCGATGGTAACTTCGCCGTCACGGACGTTAACGGCAATCTCCTTTTCAAAGTGAAAGAACCAATGTTTAGCATCAGCGACAAAAGGATTTTATTGGACGCATACGATACTCCAATCTTGACTTTGAGAGAAAATGTAAGATTACATACATCTTTAACATACAAAAAAATCTATATATAGAAATATAATATAACTTGCATGGAGGTACAATTTTTCAATACGTCTATCAACTAATTTTTAGATATATCAAAATAATCCGAGTACATGTTTAAATATTCATAGATCCTCCAATAAAATCTGTCAAAATTCCATTTTTTATCGTTTAAATTCACAACTTAGAACTCTCTATCTCTCTTTTTTAACATAAAAATTGTAGAAGGTGAGCTTGCATGATAGGTGGCAAGTATTCAGAGGAAAAAGTACAGACCAAAGTGATCTGGTATATACATTGAAACGATCGTCGATGATTCAAATAATGAAGCCAAAACTTGACATATTTTTGGCTCAAAATAAAGAAATGAAGATATGCGACTTCCATGTGAAAGGAAGTTGGATCGACCGGTCTTGTGTCGTATACGCTGGCAAATCTGATGCCATCGTTGCTCAGGTAATTGAACTGGTCCAATTGTCTATTAAACCGGACTAGCTAGCTAGTATGATCGTGTTAATTGATTCATTGTTGTTTTTCAGATGCACAAGAAACATACCGCACAAAGCATATTAATAGGGAAGAGTAATTTTTCGGTTACTGTGTATCCGAATGTTGACTTTGCTTTTATAGTCTCTCTTATTGTAATTCTCGATGACATTAACCGAGAAGATTCAGAAGGCTAGGATATGTTTGCAACTAATTTCTTTTTGTGCGTTGCAAAACTTATTTTGTAATATTATTACAATATTTTAAGTGAAATCTATTACCAATGCCTATTAATTTATATCATTATAATAGAGTATCATATTTTTTAAAAATGTGCAAAAGACAAATCCAATTTTTTTTTGGTGGAGGTAGAGAGACACCTTCATCAATGAGAGGAGTCTCAAAACTTAGCTTTATACAATCTCTGAAGTTTCAGCCATTGATTCCTTTAAGAGAATGCAAGGAAAGATAGATGGGTGTGATGCGTCAAAAAAGATACTCGAATCTAAATATGGCAACTGGTTGGGTGATGATGATGATGAATTGGAACATTACTTGTCCCCATTTCTGTTCAATGAATGTGTCTCACTTACAACAAAGTAAACTAATTCTAAAATAACTGCAGCAAAATGGTTCTTCTTTGGGAGACTATTAATGATCTGATTTAACCAATAACAGAATTCAACGTGACAAAAATAATAGCCATAGAATATTTTATCTTCTCTGTTCAAAGCATCAACATAAAGTAACTAAACACAAAGGTACTTTTCTTCTATTTAACTCTTCGGATCCAGCTGCACCTTCTTGGCCTGCGAATCAGAGAAAGCACAAATGTAGTTTCTCTAGTTTAGTTTTTTTTGGTATTTCAACTCCATAATATCTTCCAAATGTTGAAAACCAATAATAAACAATTGATACCTCATGCCGAGCATTTTGCCTCCTGGTAAATTCTGAGGTATGAAAAAACAAAACAAAACAAACATGAATTTGGGTTTTTTGTTTTCTCTAACTCAAAACAGAAAAAAAAAGAAGAATGAATAATCTCAACATTACCCCAAAGATGGAAGCTCAGAGAGCTAGCCACTAAAAAAGCCAATAAACGACGTCTATTTGTCGACGATTTCATCTTCTCCATCAGAACAGACCTTTCTCTCTCTGTTTTAAAAAATACACACACAAATCAATTACACTAACGAATTTGATAGATTTCTTGCGGAATCAGAGAACGTTACCATCAAATTTACAATGCGAAGAAGAGAATTTGCGGCGAGACACAACCGATTTCCCTCCGCGAGTTGCCTGCTCGATGACGTATCTCAGAAGATTCGGCTGCGACATGGTCGGAATCGGAAATTAGGGCTCCTTCTTCTTCGTCTCCTCCTCCTCTGATTTGTGATTTCCGATGAAATGGTTTAAATGGGCCTGCCTTATCCTTTATCCGCCTATTGTCTTGGGCCATAGCCCAATTTTTCCTTTATCCGTCAATTTTTATATTTACCTGTTAGACAAAACAAAACCCATCTGATCAAAGTCTTTGACTATGTTTGAGAGTTTCCTTCATCTATCTCATTAAGGATCTGCACCAAACAGAGCCTCCCGGTTCTGCACGTTTATTTTTCACTTTTAGATGCATTTCACAGCACCAAACACATGAACAGGGGAAATAATGCTCATTGAATCTTTGTGGTGAGCACTGATCACCTAAATGGGCAATGATTTTTTTTGGTTCTTTTAAAAATATAAATCTTTTAAATTTATTAAAACAATAACAACAATTCCGAAAGAACATAAAAGAAAAGAAAGGAAATATTGAACATCTAAATTAGCTCATAACATTGTTCAAAGCTTTTTGGATATGAAAAATTCATGGATATAAGTCCCGACAAGAGATTATCGACACAAAGTTTTGAGGGTTATTCAGTTCCTTGAACTACTGCTCCGCTGTCTGAAAATCTCGACCCCTAAGTAATCAATGGTGCTCTTAATAAGGGCAACATTTGGCTTCGAGAGCTTCACTCGAACAGCGTTTATCTGAGGGAATTTCTCAAGCGTTTTGGAGGCGATGAGTTCCGCGACTGCCTCGAGAAGGTTTCTTGGTGACCCTTCAACAATTTCCTTAGCTAGGCTGCAAACAAAATATCAATCCTTTCAACAATAAATCATAACTATACAACTTAAAGACAAAGCTAATCATAATTTAGGGATACTATGAATTAACTAACCTGAAAATGTCGACATAGCTGATTGTATCTGCTAAGTTGTCTGATTCACCGGCCTTCTTCAGACTCACCCACGCATCAATGTCAACAAGAAACATCTGTCCCAGTGTCCTTTCTTCAGGAATGGCTCCATGGAAACCGTAAAATTTCAACCCTTTTAGTACCAGTTTGTCCCCAAGCATTGACTCTGATGATTCTGTTCCAAGCAAAACTGCTTACATAAGTCGTCATATATAAGTTTTACAAAGCAAGAGTCTTGTGACAATTCATAAACAGAGGCTCTGCAAAAACAATTCTAGAAGAATGCAAACAGAGAAGAGACTCTAAGCAGGACTATCTTTGATTACTTTGTTGACTTAAACACAATTTAAAGCGAACAGTGAACTATTAGATCTCTCGATCTTTGTCACCCAGTCGACTCTACTAAACCAAACAATAAACCACCATAACTATCGAGATTTTTGCTACCGAGGTACGATTTCAAAACGAAATTTAGATATACCTCGTCGCTCAATCGTCGCCGAAGCCGTCGTCTCCAGTGAGCTATGCATCTCACTGTTCGCGGCAATAGATTTTTGGATTTAGATTGAGAGATAGAGAGAAATCGGAGGAGATCAGTTTTAAATTTGAAGGAAAATAAAGAAGATGCTAAGGTGGCCCAGGCTCATATATTTTATAGGCCCAAATTCTAAGAAACATTTATTATTTTTTTTTTATTTTTTTCAACAATATTTATTAATTACTTTCACAAATTAAGAATTGACATATGTATGTTTTTATAAATAAATTTAATTTCTTGCACATTCTTTTCCTTAAAAAATTTAAATATTTAATCTAGTGCAATCACCACTATCCACTAAAGAAAAAAGGTTATATATATTATAGTAATTGGATTTTTTCTTTTATCAAAGTTTTACTTAAAAAATTCCCAATTAATTTTTATATTAAATATAATTCAAACTCTTTCTCATTTTCTACTTAATATCCAGTTAAAAACAAATTGATTGCTACTTAGTGGCTTAGTGCTAATACAAAAAGAAAAAGAAGCTTCACTTTATTTCATGGGATCCACTTGGCATTTTGCTTTCATGTAAAAATTTTAATTTAATTATTCATAAATTTTACATTAAAGTTAACTGAATTTTAAAGATATATTTTTTTACATATAAAAAAAGAAAAGAAAAACTTTCAATTTTTGTGGCTCCATTTAGATTTTTTTTAAAAGTTAGATTTATACACTAATTGCAAAAGTAACACCCAAAATTTTTAATTTTTAAAACATTAGTTGTACGTTGGGCCAAATTCTTATGCGATAAAACGGATGACCATGCGTAATGCAAAGATACCGTCTGTTTCTTCAGTGTGAAGCATAACTATGACCAGTGACCACCACATTCACTGGCATGAACCATGTTGTCGCATAAATTAATCATGTAAAGTGAAACTAATCTTATTCCTATATTTTTTGTGAAAGCCAAATCAAACTTACATATAGAATATTCTTAGGATCGGACAAACATTTAAATAAGTTCTTTTGATGAATAGGCCTAGTAAATAAGTTCTTATGTGTTTGTTTTTGCTCCATAATAAGTTATATTATGTGACATCAAGATTTCAAATCCTTAATAATGAAACGATGAACAAAATATACAAATGCAAGAAAGATTAGAAATATTTAAATTTAGGAATCATGTGACAAAAACACATGGTCTACAAATTCTCAACACATGCAACCAAAATTTAAGTGTTGAACTAATTTATTTTTGTCTATTAATTAACAAAAAACGGAATTTATTAACGCCGTTAAGCAGTCGCTTCCCCCACCCGTGACGTTGGGATAATGATCAAATCAAAGAATTCAATCCAAACCGGAATTAAACGACATCGTTGTAGACAGAACTTAACCACGGTTAATTAGTCCACGCATTGGTTTAACACCGGTTTGGTTTGTTTCATCCGCCAGTCACTGGCTCTATCGCTAGAGAGAGAGAGAGGGACAGATCTGTGAAGTTGGGATCTTTCTTTTTCACTTTCTTCGTTGTCTCTCTCTGTCTACACGCTTGTGCTTGTGTTGTGTTTGTGCGCCACTTTATCTCTCTACTGTTTTCTTCTCTCCTCACGGCTTAACTTTTGCAATCTTTTTAGCTGAAGCTAATTTCAACAAGTTGTTATTTTTGCTTTCAATTTCTAACTTTTTAATCTCTTTCTTTTCGAAGAAACCTCTTGTAATAGATTTCTGGGTCTAAAATCTACTTTCTATTTTTGGGCATTGATCTTTATTCTTAGATAAACTAGATTGAAGGTAAAGAAACCTTTTTTAAATTTTCTAGATTCTCTCTAGGTTTCCCTAAATTTCTCAACTACTTGAAAAGAGTTTGGTTACGTTTCTTTGTTCTTGTGGGATTCTCTTTTTTTTCTTGACGACTCCAAATTTTTAGTTCTGCGTAAATGGTGGTGAAGATGATGAAGTGGCGGCCATGGCCGCCGTTAGTTACGAGGAAATACGAGGTGAAGCTAGCCGTGAAGAGGCTTGAGGGTTGGGATCTGGTGCGGGAAGGTGTACCGGAGAAAGAGAGATTAACGGTGGAGATTCGTTGGAAAGGACCTAAGGCGACATTGGGATCTTTGAGAAGGTCGGTGAAGAGGAATTTCACCAAGGAAGCTGTTGGAGAAAGCGACATCGTTTCATGGGAAGATGAAGAGTTTCAGAGCTTATGTTCACTCACTTCTTACAAAGACAGTTTGTTTTATCCCTGGGAGATTGCTTTCTCTGTCTTCACCAATGTAAGTTTTAATTAGTATCTAAAGATTTGAAATTTCAGTTCTAGATTCTCAAATGTTGAACTTTGGAATTGGTTAATTAGGTTGTAGATGGTCGATTTTGGTACCCATTAATGTCTCAAATGTTTGATTCTAAGACATGAAACTAGAGCTTGATTCCTGTTATTGTAGAGGTTGAGGTTCCATTGTGTTACATTTTCAAAGGATGTTTAGTTGTTATAGATACTTGGTTCTGTATGTTGGTGTGTCAATTTCTCTCAAAGACAAAGAAAGAAGATTGATATTTGATTTTGATTCCAGGGAATGAAAGAAGGGCAGAAGAATAAAGCTCCTCTTGTTGGAACTGCATTTTTGAATCTTGCTGACTACGCTCGTGTGACCGATAAAAAAGAATTCGATATAAACATACCTCTTACGCTCTCTGCTTGTGTGACCTCTGAGCCACATCCATTGCTCTTTGTACGGTTTCTTCTTCTCTCTTTCATTCTACTTTGTTGGCTCGGTATTGGTTTATTGACCTTTGAGATTTCTCTTGTTCCTTTAGGTATCATTAAGCCTGCTTGAGCTTAGAACCACTCCAGAAACATCAGACTCGGCAGCACAAACTGCGGTTGTGCCTGTGCCTGTGCCTATCCCGTCTCCATCCCCACAACAGCCTACTGAAACTCACTCAATTGAGAAGGAGGATGTCTCTGCAATCAAAGCTGGTCTCAGAAAAGTCAAGATTTTTACAGAGTTTGTTTCTACAAGGAAAGCCAAGAAGGCTTGCCGGGAAGAAGAAGGCAGATTCTCAAGCTTTGAATCATCTGAATCACTTGATGATTTCGAAACAGATTTTGATGAAGGCAAAGAAGATTTGATGAGTGTGAGAAAATCTTTCTCTTATGGACCTTTGTCTTATGCAAATGGTGCGGGAACTTCGTTAAACTGTGGCGCGAAAGTTAGCGATGAAGACGAAGATTGGGTTTATTATAGCCACAGAAAATCCGACGTTGGAGCAGGTTGCTCGGACGTTGAGGAAACCGCTGCGGGTTTGGTATATGAGACATCACTGCTTCCACGGCGTAGCATATTGCCATGGAGAAAACGGAAGTTGAGCTTTAGGTCGCCGAAATCCAAAGGGGAGCCTTTGTTAAAGAAGGACAATGGAGAAGAAGGTGGAGATGATATTGATTATGATCGGAGACAACTCAGCTCAGATGAAGCTTATCTTCTTTTTGGGGTAAGATCTTATTAGTGGTAGTTTTTTGCAGTAGCATCATTATTCAGTTTAGTTATATACAGTTTCAAGTTCTCAATGTTTGCATGTTTTATCTGCAGAGCAAAATTGATGAAGATTCATCTGCTAATCCGCGATCTTCGTTCTCAGAGTTTGGAGAAGACAGTTTTGCGATTGGAAGTTGGGAGGAGAAAGAAGTGGTAAGCCGAGATGGACACATGAAGCTTCAGACAAATGTCTTTCTTGCTTCGATCGACCAGAGAAGCGAGCGAGCAGCTGGTGAGAGTGCCTGCACCGCTCTTGTAGCGGTTGTTGCGGATTGGTTTCAGAAGAATGGTAACCTAATGCCGATCAAGTCTCAGTTCGATAGTTTGATCAGAGAAGGTTCTTTAGAATGGAGAAACCTCTGCGAAAACGAAACTTATATGCAGAAATTCCCCGACAAGCATTTCGATCTTGATACCGTGCTACAAGCAAAGATCCGTCCTCTAACTGTTATCCCCGGAAAATCCTTTGTTGGGTTCTTCCACCCTGACGGGATGATCAACGAGGGAAGATTCGAGTTTCTGCAAGGCGCAATGTCTTTCGATAGTATTTGGGCTGAGATTATTAGTCTCGAGGAAAGCTCCGCGAATAGCGATAGTTATGATGATGACTCGCCACCGCATGTTTACATAGTGAGTTGGAATGATCACTTCTTTGTCCTCAAAGTTGAAAAGGAAACTTACTATATCATTGACACACTTGGAGAAAGGCTTTACGAGGGTTGTGATCAAGCTTACGTTTTGAAATTCGACCATAAAACTGTCATCCACAAGATTCTTCATACAGAGGAATCGGGTTCCGAATCAGAACCTGAATCAGAGATTGTGTGCAGAGGGAAGGAGTCATGTAAAGAGTATATTAAGAATTTCTTGGCGGCGATACCAATTAGGGAGTTGCAAGAGGATATCAAGAAAGGATTAGCCTCGACCGCGCCTGTTCATCACCGTTTACAGATCGAGTTTCATTACACCACAAACGCAGAGATTACCAGTCTGAAAGCCTAGGCAGAGTTGCTAACGTTTTGTTGAGTTTCTTGTAAGTTTTGTAACTCTCTCTTAGCTTAACTAACTTGTGAATGTGATTAGAGTTAAACCAGTTTGTATCTAAGGAATTTACATTTTTGTTCCTTTTATTTCTCTGTCTCATTTTGTTTATCCAGCTTTAAATTTGGCGTTGTATCATAATCTCAAAATTTTCAGACCCAAAAAACAAGCCGGGCATGGTTTTATTGAGACAGTATTGTTCACTCATCAAAATGCACAACTGGAAGCAATCAAACGCAATCTCACAAATCCATTTGATCAAGAAAATTAACATAAGTTACATGTTGCTCCGAAAAATCACTGCTGCAATTGATCGTAGACATTGAAAATAAGCCAACCTTCAATGGCTGCAGCTTCAAGACGATCATTAGAGCTTGCTTCATCCCACTTGGACTGAATAGAATCAAGCCGACTCATGTCATACCAAAGAATCTTGTGAGCTAATTCTCTGGTTCCAAGGAATTCAACAATTGGAGTTCCTCGGGCAACCGCAGCTAACTTCCCAATCTCCAAAGAGCTTCGGATCACAATACCGTGGTTTTCTTTAAGCAAAGCGAGGTCTTCTTGGATCTGAACCCCGACAAATGTGACAAATTTGGAAGCAAAGAAGCGGTAAAGATCCTTGAGATTATCACTGAACGGGTTTGGGAGGCGGAGGAAGAGACAGAAGTTTTTCGTGCTAAACTTTACTGAGCATAGACGCCATTCGGACTTTGAGTTAACAGATTCGACATCCCAATACACATCGAAGACAATGGACCGGTTTCCATTCCAGACGGAATCTTCTAGGATCTTGGAAAGGTAAGGAGAGATATCGGTTGTTGATCCAACATCAATGGCTTTGGTCTGGATCCAAGAATTATCAACCATCATAAACCCTTGCCCATCGAATGAGGCCATGTGGTCTGATATCACTGAAAACATGATCAAAATTACACATTAGACACAGCATCATATAGATCCATTAGCTTGGAGAGACACTCAAAATCTGTTTGTTGTGAATGTGCTAAAGAGTGGAAAACTGATGAAGCAGCAAAGAGTTTGAATATGTTTTTCAATTCATATTTGTCTTGTTCTTACCATTTCTACAAGCATTCATAAGTGACATGTGAATAGAGAGATTCGTGAAAACTCGGTCAATGAAGTGAAAGACATTGAACTATCGATTTGCGTGTGTAGCAGCAATTGAATGACCGATTCAAGAAATTTAGACGCATATAGAGCTAAATATCCTTATTGGGTTTTTGCTAGAACAACAAATTTACTCTAGTCAGCTTTTGGATTCCATGAACAAAGAACAGAGGTACGACCTTTATAGAGTGTCGATCAGAGAGACGAAAATCCCCAAATAAGTTCATCAGATATGGAACAAAAATTTGTTGGTTTAGATTGAATATTTCTATATACACATGAGAAAAAAAAAAACTCAAAATCCAAACACAAGAAGACAGAAAAAAGGAACACGAACCTTGAGATTTCGGTGCTTGAATGGTGATCTAGTAAACGGAGCCGGCGAGAGAGAGAGAGAGAGAGAGAGAGACTGTTTCTGGGTTTTTTGTCGGAAGAGAGAGGAAGAAGTAACAAAGTACTGCGCAAGTGAAAGTAAAGGCCTGCCCAGTGAAGGAATGACACGTGTCTAGAGCTACGTGTATCGCACGTGCGAATGTCGCCATGCGTCTTTCGTAGTAATAGAGTCAACGGGGCATTAGTTTTCTACTTTTCTTCACTGTGGTTGATTTTGGTTAACATTTTGGAAAACTCACTCAATTCCTTGAGTTTTATTTTCCAAAATTCCTTCATATTCATTACAGAAATCATTAATTTTAGCGTTTTATTTCATATAAAATAATTAATTATAGTCATATAAATATTTTGTTTATTAAGCACTTACATTAAGTACAAAGAGCGCATTTCACAAGACCATTCTCATTACACTCTATGCATCTCTTCCACATTTCATCCTCTGCTACAACTCTCGACCTCCCATTGCAATTCCAACATATCAAAAACCGTTCGTTCTCGCACCACTCACACTGCCGCGCCTTAGCTGATGAGAACCCTTCTAAAAGCATCTTAAGCTTCCCGTTTTCGTTCAGAGCCACCACTTCGTCTGCTCCACCAATGTACTTACACTTTACGAAAAGCCTAGGAGGTGTAACTTTCTCCCCAAGCAATCTCCACATCTCTTCTTTAAACTCACAATCCATTGAAACATCTCTTTCTCGGAATGAAACCTTATGATTCTCTAGCAAGAATCTCACTTTTCTGCAATCTTCGTAAGTCTTTCTCACTCCTTGCAGACTTGTCATGTAGAAGACAACAGAATCTTCCCCTCCAGCTACACATTTCTCTTCAAAAGCCGAGAAAATCTCTTCAAGATTCTGTTGAAGTTGTTGTTCTTCAGAAGCCTCAAGTGTTGTTGGCGTAAGACACTCTTTATCATCTATTTGATGAAAGATTGTGCGATCAAGGTTGCTTTTGTGGAGAGCTATCGCCTGCTTCAAGTTCCCAAGAGATGTTATAAGCTTAAGTTTCTTCACCATTCTCTCCTTCACATCCTTCATTGCTACAACCTTCGATACAGTTCTGGGTAAAATTTGGAATCTTTAACGAAAACTCAATAGAAATTGTGAAAGAGGAAGCGAAAATACCTTATAAAGATTAGCAAAGATGATATTGGATAAGAGAAAAACGAAATGAGTACTCGAGTGAACAAAAAAGCTACTTTGTGGGTTAGCTTTCAAAAGTTTTTCCTTTGATGTGTCATTGTAGTAATAAAGAAGATAACCGATAAGCTGAATTAGGGAGACAAAGAACATTGAATTTACCCAACTTTAGCCCAAATACATAGCAAAAGAGGAAGAACGAGACTTCTAATGAAGCAATGAAATAATTCATCTTTTTTGGTAAGTTTGGTTGAATGATGATGTATGCCACGTCTTCATAATTCCATGAACGTGGATGCAATGATGTACCATAAGTTAAAGTAGGCTCAGCTTTAAGCTTGCAACTAGAATCAACCACAGCTCTCTAAAACCTAAACAATAATTCATTGCTTTTTCTATAAATGGGGATTCATGAATGGTCCAGAATGAGAACAAGAATGAGAATTTTGAAAGGGTTTTTGATCAACAATTATGTATAGAAAAGAGTGTATTTTATACAAAATAAATGAGAGTGGTTCCATGGTATAGAACAAGATAGTATCTTCCATCGAGCGAATCAGCTCTAAATGTCGGCCACGGATGATAGAAATCCAATCTCAAATGAGAATTTGATGCAAGTTAACTCCTTCTTGCGTCCATCAAGCATCTTCATTTTAAGTGAGTATGTACCCTATGAGAAAGAAAAGGATTAGATTGGTCCTTATATGCAGAAACCAAAAACGAAATTGACAAACGTATAACTATATTGATCATAACAAGCAAATCTTGACAACAATAAGGTTCAACTTCTTCACTTTAGCCACTTTATACTTCCACCTGGAAGTCATTATCAGCTATCAAAACCAAGCTAAACCTTTTCTCAGTCTATTTCAGTTATCCGACTAAACGAATTCGGTTACACTAGGCCATTTGTTCTGACTACAATAGAATAACATCAAATTCAAATGATCCTAATGCATCATCATGTCATTATATCAAAAATGCTTCAAATCAATCAACAAAAAAAGCATAGATCGAATCCAAGAAAGTCAATAAACTTACAGGAGGAGTATATCCGGGTAGAACTTGCGAGTGTTCTATCACGAAATCTCCAACCGCCACAGGACAACTTGTCTCTTTACAAAGATCATGTGTCTCAGAATGAATATGCCATCCAAAGTATGAGACTTCGATCACCAACTTGCCGCTCGAGATCTCAGTGTCTTTATATGAAACAAACCCAAATAATAAAAACATCAAGATCTATATGTCATCATAGCCTCACAGGATATTGAAGTGTACCTGTGTTAGCAGAAATGCTGAAAGTGGCTGGCGCGCCTCTAGCTACAGGATAAGGAATTATTTCAACTCCTTGTACTTGTACTTCATACTCTTCATTATTATCTGCAACCAAACAAACACTTAACAAATCGAATTCATTTCAACGCAACAAGGATCGAAATCAAAATTGGATCTTTCTATCTAAAATCGTAAGATTATAGCTAAGTCAATCAATTGGCAATCATGAATCAAGTTAGGATTTTTGGGAAAATTCGAAAGACCAAACATACCGCAGTAGTGAACATCGGTGGCTGCGACAATCGTTGAAACCAAGAGAAAATAAGAGATAGCGAGAGAAGAAAATCCCGTAAACTTCGACATGATTGATGATAATTAGATATTCTCTCGAAGAAGCAAAAGCTGCGAATTCTCAGATGATGATTGAGGACGAGGAGACTAAACAAGCAAGAGACAAAGACAGATATGCGGAATCGGGGATTCTCAAATCGCAAGAAATGTCGAATTGATCTTAACCGTTCGTTTACGTAGGTCCATTATTACTTAAAATAAACGGCTCAGATTTGTAATTAATCTGTTACGGTGTGGTTAACAACATAGGATTAGCAGTGAACAAACCGTTAGGTGGGATTTGTTTAACAATTTTCAATTCAAGTTACCCACTTGGCACCAAAATAAATAATTGTATTTGCCAGCTCAGATTTGACGCTATTTTCATAATACAGCACATAATTCAACATTATTTGGAAAATAAAAATTTTCTAATCCAACGAATCTGCTTCTCTTATCCAACACTAAATCAAGAGTTTTTTTCCTTCCTAAAAATATGAAAACTCTAGAGAATTATTTAGGCTCTCCAATAGTAATGTATCTATGTAACTTAGTGTATTTTTATAATAAAAGCATTTTTTGTTTTGGGCCGCAAAAGATCAGGCCCAAAGTTTAAAAGGCTTATTTGATTAATGATATTTGAAGATACAATGTCCTAATGAATCGGAGTTTTCGAAATTTTGGAAGGAGCTTTTTGACAGATGGCTAGATTCCTTCTTCTCTGTTGCCTCTTCGCGGCGGTGCTAACGTCATCATTGACGGAGGCCGGCGACAATAATCAAGTCTACTCGCCTTGTTCAGATTCTACTGTTGCGATCGGCGATGGATTCACTTTCGGCATTGCCTTCGCGGCGAGAGATTCTTTCTTCAGTACAAATCGTTCCGATCATGTTCAGTACTCTCCCTGCGATCGTAGCCGTCTCTCGCTCAACGGTAACTCTGAGGTCGCCGTGTTCAGACCTAAAGTCGATGAGATCACTCTCCTTACCATCAATACCTCTAGTTCCTCCAGTTTCCGTCCGGTTCGTGTCTCATCTCTGATCTATCTTGGTGAATTAGGGTTTCGATTGCAGGTTTTTGATCAGATTAGAGAGGATTAGGTCAATCCTAATGAACCTTAGTATAGATCGGAATCATATGCCCAGATTAGTTGACTTGTCAAAATCCTGGCTTAGAATTTTAGCTCTGTTGATTAATTCTAAAATGTTAAGCTAATTCTCGACATTACTTAGATTGATAGATTCAATTTTACCATAGGTAACAAAGGTTTAGGATTTAAGCTCTGTTCACGGAAGATCTGGTTCCTTTCTGCATTTGTTTCTGTGAAATGAGGGTTCAAAACAGAGATTTGGCTTTTCAGATTCCTATAGATTAAGAGTTTTGTTTCTGACGAATTAGGCGAAAAGCAGGTTAACTTATAATGTGTGTATCATTAAAGTTCCAGTGTATATTTCTCTGGCAAAAGTGATTTTAGTAGCCTCATCGTTTTACAGTTTCTCCCAAATATGATTTGAAATCACTATTCGTTTATTTATCCTGGGAAATAGAGGTCTTGAATGTGTTAGCCTACTATACGATTGTTTATCCTCGGAAGTAGAGGTCTTGAATGTTTTAGCCTATGAAATTATTGGTTTGTCTGATGATACTTTGTGATTCCAGGATGCTTCAAAGGGATATATGGTAGCATTCGCTGGTGCAAAATACGCTGCAAGATCAATCCCAATTATGGTTGCAGACAGCAATCACATCGTGACAAGCTTCACCCTTGTAATTGGATAAGCTCATATCAGCCTTCGTTTTCATTTTTCTTATAAAAAATTTCCATCTCTCATTACTTCTGTCATCGTCATATATCTTGGGTGAATTCCAGGTTCTTGAGTTCCAGAAGGGCAGGCTTGAGGAAATGTTCTGGAAGAAAGACGGATGCTCGAAATGTTCTGGAGATTCGAAATTCGTGTGCCTCAACAAAGAAGAATGTGCAATCAAGACGCAAAGCTGCAAGAACCAAGGAGGACAAGTAGATTGTAGCTTGGGGATCCAATTGGCGTTTTCAGGCACGGATAAGCACTACACTGCGTTGAATTCGTGGTATGAGGTTGCAAATCTGAAGCAGTACTCGCTCTATGGCCTCTACTCCAATCTTAAGGACTCACTAACCAACCCATTCAAAAACATCTTCTGATGACTTTCTTTCTCCTTTGTGTGGTGCTACTCTTGTAATTTTGTATTATTTTTCTCGCCTTCTTTCTTTTGTTTTATTTCTTTCCTATGATTTATGCTATATATTGTATTTTATTACTTGGCGTGTAACATTTTCATGAATTAAATAGTCAGAATACTCTCAGATAATATACTCCCTCTTCTAAAATGAAAAAAAATATCAAACTAGGTTCAAAATATCAGTCAACTGAAAGTCAACTTTTTTTTTTTTCTTTATACGTCTGAATGTTCAGTACATTACAGTTTACCAAGCAAGGGGTAATTGATATTTTCTGTCTGAAGCATCTAGTAGGCAACTAGACAATTTTAGCGTTTTATATATAGTTGACTTCGTATATAGTTCAAATATAGTACCGTATCCCTATATACAATTGGATGAGTTTGATATTAATGAGACATCATCTTCATTGTTCTCTACTCTCTCTGCGAGCAGAACAAATCAAAATATCAAATTCTAGATTTAGTATCATATTCGAACTTGGAAAACGCCAAGACTAATTTAGTTTTTGTGTTATCGGTTGAACTAGAAATGCTCATATACTTCCAACCAAATAGAAAAAGAAGTGATAAACCCTGAAATCACATAAAAGTAAAAATAACCCATATAGCAAACATAGATACAAAGAGAATGTCCTACTAATTTTCTCATCTATACCAAATTATAAATTCTTTCAGAAAAATCAAATACAAGGGAGATTAACAACAAACCAGCAGAGAAAGTAGAAACACAAAGCTGGTTTGATTAAAGGTTTTTCGAAGAACGAATATATTTGCAAATAAGGAAACTCAACTTCAACGCAATAGACGCCTTGCCTGAGGAGGACTTGGTGGTGTCCCTGAATTTGGTTGATTTCCTCCACTGTTACCCCCACCAGCCCCAGCCCCACCACCACCACCACCACCGTCTCCATTGTTCCATGGTTTTAAAACAAGAAGAACCACAACAACTATGATGATGATGAGAATAATAATGGCGTAACATGTCCATTTTCGCGTGTTCTTCTGGTAAACCCGAGCGGTGTGTAGCTGGTCAGTTCCGCCTCTGATAAAGGAGTTAGCTCGACCCACATGACTCTCGATGTCATCAAGCTGAGCTCCCTGGTGCTCTACCAGCACCGCCATGTCTAGAAACACCTGGTGAAGCTCCCTGAGATTCTTCTCAATGTCTTTAACCGCATCATGCCTTTCCTGGATCTCGTTAATGGTGTCTAACACCCTTCCCCTTCCTTGTTCTTGTATTGCTTTCTGCAAGAATCTCTCACTCTCTCCTGCAACAAAAACAGTACCACAAATCCCCAATGTCACATACCACTCATGTAACAACATGTCTAGTATTCAGAGATCATTTCCAGCTCTAAGCAACTAAGAACAAGCACAACATAAGATATACAAATCCATTTTCATAGTCTAAACGCAAAAAATATGAAGTTATTGTTCTTTCACAATCACAATCTGAAAGAACATTGTGAACTAAAAAGGCTTGAATCAGTATTCTGAAACCAATTGTTCATCATATGTTAACCTATATGATGATTGGACTTGAATCTGGAAGTGATTTGAATGGAAGATTAAACTAACCAGTTGAAATAAGTCGATCTAGGGTTCCTTCGTCCGGATTCTCGCCGGTGACGGTAAAATACCTCCTCTGTACAGTTTCTCTATACTCGGACGAGATAAGCTCCCTCAAGCGGTTGAAACTATCCATAGATTCCTTCAATTTCTTCCTGAGACCATTGAGGACAGAGGTCCTGGTTCGATCGGAGGAAGAACCAGGTCCACAGCCAGGGAGACTCCGATTAGCAGCATTGGCACGATCTAGCGCCTCGAGTTTAACCTTAATCATCTTCGCCTTCTTCAACGCGACTCCAACGTCACCGTCCATTTTAGACCGGAGATCTTTAACGGCTTTAGCATTGTGAAGCGTCTTGCTCTGCTCGTGACAGGAAGAGAGTGTTTCGTTTAGCCGATCTAGCTCCTTTAACTCTTCTTTCACAGATTCAACATCTTCGAAAAACTTGTCGAGGTTGACACCACCGGTTGATCCCGCGGGATTCGCCATCTGAACTCCGTCGCCTCCTCCGGGAATGTCTCGGCGAGGGGATGGTTCTCCGCGGAAGCGTGAGAATGAGCTGGAAAACAAATCGTTCATTTAAAATTGAAATCGAGAGAGAGATTTCAGATCGGAATCAATCAACGGAAAGACTTAAAGAAGGAAGGAGGAGAAGAAGTCGTACTGATTCAACTAGACGGTTTTATTGAAAAGTCCAAAAGGAGGATTATAAGGTAAGAGAAGAAGAAGTCAAATAAGCAAGTCTCTATAGGTTGACTTGGAAGCTTCTGAGAAAGTAACAATGGCGGAGAAGGGAAGGTGAAGTTGAAAGTGAAAGCGTGTGTGGCCTTGTCCCGTATGTGTGAATATGGTAACAAATCGCAAAATCATGGGAGTTTTTTTTTAGAGTTATTTACAAAAAAGGCATTTGTCTTAGCTATTTCTTTCATTTTAGGTACTTGTTTTGTGCCTTTCGAAAACAGGCACTCTGCACACGCGAAAAGTCTTTTCTGTCCTCAAGCTAATGACATCATCTTCATTCAACAAAGGTGAAGACGAGAAGTGAGCGGCTCCGAGAAGCTGCTTTAACCTGGAATTTCGAGTTGCCTAACTCCAACAGTAGTCCATCGATCTGATGGTCCAAATATCTCGACTACGTCGGAAAGGGTAGTTTCAACCCCCGTAATAAGACCAGATGGTGCAGTGGCGAGCAGGGAACGCAGGCGAATAGTTCGTTGTCCCTTTGTAAATTCGGATCTACTGTTGAAACGGAGGTGCGTTTCCCCAATCGCAGGTAAGAATTTATTTAATCGACGGCGTTGGTATTTGGTTAACGGCGAGCTTTGTAAAGTGAATCAGTAGAAAATTGATTTCATCATGGCTAGGTCTGTATATTCATGAAGGCAATAATGGAGATCTCTATAAAGTCAATCAGTAGAAATTTAGCACTGTTACTATGACTATATCAGATTTGGGCAGTTAAAGGTGTTAGGTAGTTTAATACCTTGAATTCTGTATAATAATAAGCTCTTAGGATTTCTGTTGATAAATTTAGACATTACCAAAGGTTATGCCGTCGATTTCTTCTCGATATTGCTTAGGCATCTCCTTTTATATACACTCAAGTATTGGACACTTGAAATTTTCTGGATTTTGCTAGAGTTGCAAGCTAAAAGTGAAATTATGTTGTTCATATGCTTAGTTCTATAATGAAACTGCTCATTAATTTCTTGGTATTGTTGATGTTTCACGTTCTGCTAAACTTTTCAATGAACAGGTCTATGTACATCGTTGCGGTTCGATCTATGGCGGAGTCTCCAACAGCGGAGAAGAATCAACCGCACTCCTCAGGCTTCTTACAATTTTTCTTTTCCTGCAATTTTGAGATTGATTTCAGTTACGGTTCTTAAAAATAATTTAGCTATATACGAAACAGGGAAAAAGCAAGCTTTGATATCTTTATCCGATAAGAGGGACTTGGCTTCTCTTGCCAACGATCTGCAAGACTTGGGGTATGCGTTCTTTACAACTGTCTTACTTAGAACTATTCAGATTTGAGTTCTGTTTCAATCTTTAAATGTTCATGGATTTGCATCTGATATTTGCCTAGAGGAACTGCCTCGACTTTGGAGAATGCTGGAATCTACGTGACCAAAGTGGAGAAGCTTACTCAATTTGTATAAATGGCAAGTTTTTTTCTCTTAAGCTCGCTGCTCTTGCTTAAGTTTTGGTCTTGTGTTTTCGTTGATTCTTTAAAGATCTTTAATCAAACAAAAGGCTAATGTCAAATTGAGTTGTGACTTTTTCAATAATCATACCATTATTTTGTTGAGTTTAGTATATTAAACTTAGCTCTCCTTCTGTTTTTTCTTCTCAAGAAGCTTGATGGCATCCTCACTAGTAGTCCAAGAGATGTCATATAAAGATGAGTGATACCATTGGTAAACTTGACGTTTTGGATGTCTGATAACACTATATATTTTCCTTAAGAAATGTTGTGATCCTATAGGGAATTATATGTTGATGTAGCCTTATTAGCTAATTCTCTATGTAAAATAATCATGGTGGATAAATGATAGCCAAACATTATCAACAAATATATGGATGAGAAACTATATATTACTCTATTTGGGTTAACAAGTCCTTGACTAGGGTTTAGTGTTATCTCGTTTAGACTTTTATCATCTCATAAGCTAGTTTAGACATTGTGTTTGGGTTCCTCATTTACAATTTAGGGTTTAGTTTGCCCTTTTAGATGTCTATTATGGACTGCCTATTGTAGATTAATCAGTTTGGGTTCATCCGTCCTTGACTAGGGGTAAGTGTTCTCTCGTTTAGACTTTTATCTCGTAAAGTAGTTAAAATATTGTGTTTGGGTTCTCCATTTACTATCTATTAGGGTTTACTTTTTCTCTGTTAGATTTTTTTTTTATAAATAGTCCGCTGTATATAAATTGATTTGGGTTCACCCGTCTTTGACTAGGGTTTAGCGTTCTCTTGTTTAGACTATTAGCATCAAATTAGCGCTGAAACACTTAGCTTTCCTATCTAATCATGAACCACAAATATTGAACAATAATGCAAAATTACAGATCATTACATTGAAGCTTTTAAACACCATTTACCTGCTCACATGTCGGCATTATCTCCTTACGATTATTTGCTTCCATCACAACCTTTGCGTTTGTTTTCCTCCCACTACACCCTTTCTACACTTACCATCCAGACGTATATTTATGAAACGCAGAAACCTTAGTTGGAGCACCCAATTTCGTAGGCTGATTCGTGTCCACAAATTAGCATCAATTACCGTGTCGTACAGTGTCCTAATTCAGCTTCTTCACAAATTAAACTTTGTACCGTAAACCATTTACGAATATCTGCTGACATCATCAACCCACTTGCAAACCTATCTTTCACTTTCCCACTCATTCGCCAAGGGTAAAATCGTCCGAATTTGGTAAGTTATGTGCTACTGTTTAATTTGACTGTGCATAGTGCCTATTTTGAAAGAAATAAATTTAAAATGCCTGTTTTCGATATAAGCTCTTTTTTTTATTGTAATTTGAATGATTTTTTTTTTTTTTTTTGTCAGCTTTGGATAATTTATAATTTATCATCAAAGGGTACATTATCCCACATGGAACACTACTGATAAATCTAACTAATACATAAAATACTTTAATAGGATAAATTGACTTCGAAAAAAAAAAAATGTGAGAATGTTTTTATATCAAATGATTACATAATTTTAAGAAGCCCACCAACTCCTTGCTTTTTTCATATAAAAATCAGTTTGGGATATTACAAAACATAAATTCCGTTAATGGGCCAAGCGTGATCCCATAGTCCAGTATTTGAGCACCGAAAAGCAATTGTAATACAACTCCATAGAGCTCTTTCAATATCTAAAGGTCCATCTCTCTCTCCCTTCAACTTTTTTTTTTCCTTCAACTTTAGTTCCTACAACAATCCATAATTCGACTTAAGGCAACAAGTAGTCAAATTTATTTAAATCTATACCTCTAACATTTCCAAAAATGTTAAAAGACTTCAAAGCTCATATGTTTTCTAATCAGAGTGAAATTAAAGAGTAAGCAAGTCTGTGGAAATGAACTTCAAGTGTCATCCTATAGTTTTGATGGAACTTAGAACACATAATATAATAAGAACACTTGTCTAGAGAGACTAACTAATTAACCTTTGCTTTATCATGTAGCTTAGTAACAAACAACAAGTATTGCTTCAAAGAGTAATCCTTTGAATTCACACAAGAGCCATCTCCATTACCTTCCTTTTCCATTAGAGTTTACCAAATTCAAAATAATAGAGCAAAAGTGAAAAATCAACAAATATAATTTTGTGTCTGCATATATTAACTCCACTAAAAAGTATGGAGAAATTTTTAATTTTTTTAAGTATGGAGAAATTTTTAATTTTTTTTTTTGGTCAAAAAACTTTTAAAATATTTAATTATGACTTTTTAGTTTTTAAGTAGTGTCTTGTTCAGATCATAAAACGCTGCGTTTAAGGTGAGTGAAATTATCGGTTGAACCGGACGGTCCGGTTCTAAGAACATCGGTCGATCTCGCTCCTATATGAACAACACCAGACCTAAACCCTAACTCTCTCCCTCTCTCTCTTTCTGCTCCATTTCTCTCACTTTCTTCACATCTCTGAGCTCTTCTTTACGCATCTACTATGGCGTCGTCGATGATGGTAAGTTGAATCTACTCTCTCTCTCTCTCTCTCTCTCTCTCTCTCTCTCTCTCTCTGCTAGAAACTGACTAACGCGCCACTACTTTGGTTTTGAATTCGTGAGCAGCAACCGCAGATCATACTGCTAAAGGAAGGGACGGACACATCTCAGGGTAAAGCGCAACTAGTAAGCAACATCAACGCTTGCACGGCTGTTGGAGATGTGGTTCGGACCACGCTTGGGCCACGAGGGATGGACAAACTCATTCACGACGATAAAGGATCTGTAACCATTTCCAACGATGGTGCTACCATCATGAAGCTCCTCGATATTGTTCATCCTGCTGCTAAGATCCTCGTCGATATCGCCAAATCCCAAGACTCTGAGGTCTTTGTTTGATTCCAATTTTTTTTTCCCCAATCTCGGTTTTTGAAAATATCGCAATTGGATTTCGTGTGCCCTGTTTCTGATCTTGAGCTAATTAGCGATTCCATCTTGGATCCAGTGTTTATATTAAGTGCGATCTAGTATTCAGATCTTAGAATGTGTGATTGAGTTCATGAACTCTGAATCTTCTGCTGTTGTTTGGTTAGGTGGGTGATGGGACAACTACAGTTGTTCTTCTTGCAGCAGAGTTTTTGAAGGAAGCTAAGCCATTTATTGAGGATGGTGTTCACTCTCAGAATCTTATTAGGAGTTACCGCACTGCAAGCACTTTGGTTTGTATTTTCTTCTCTTTAGTACAATTGCAAATCTTTTTAATTATTGGTTCTTTTGTTAACTTAATCACTATTAATTATCGATGTAGGCAATTGCGAAGGTTAAAGAACTCGCTGTTAGCATTGAGGGGAAGAATGTAGAGGAAAAGAAAGGTTTGTTGGCTAAATGTGCTGCTACTACTCTTTCATCAAAGCTTATCGGTGGAGAAAAGGAGTTCTTTGCTACAATGGTTGTTGATGCTGTTATGGCGATTGGGAATGACGACAGACTAAATCTGATTGGGATCAAGAAGGTAAATGCATCTTTGTTTTTTGTTCTACAAATCTGCTGTGTTTCTTTTATGCTTTGCATATTATATCAGATAGTGCTTCTTGTTTTTTTTTTTTAACTCACTATACATCTATGTCCAAACTAGTGCTATGTTCTGTTTATTGTGGGACTTCAATTTGCCCATTAATGGACTTCTACATGGCTTTTGCAATCCAGTAGGATAGCATATTCTTTATTTCAAGAGTTTTCTAGTCGCAATCATGTACCACAAATGGCCTATTTGCTGCATTCTTCCTATATTCATTGCATTTCATTATTTGGGGAAGTGTAAAGCCAGGTTAATGATGCATCTAAGCTAATCTCATGGTTTGCTCTGCAGGTTCCTGGTGGCAATATGCGAGACTCTTTCCTCGTTGATGGTGTAGCATTCAAAAAGACATTCTCGTATGCGGGTTTTGAGCAACAGCCAAAAAAATTTCTTAACCCCAAAATTCTCTTGCTTAACATCGAATTGGAGTTGAAATCTGAGAAGGAAAACGCTGAAATTAGGTTAGCATTCTGGCTTTTTATGTTATTTTTTTCCCTTCGATTAAACTTCTTTTGGGCCTTATTTGACTTGGCTCCACACATTGTTCACAGGCTGTCAGATCCATCGCAGTACCAGTCAATAGTTGATGCAGAATGGAATATCATTTATGACAAGCTAGACAAATGTGTTGAGAGTGGAGCAAAAGTTGTTCTTTCTAGATTGGCTATCGGAGATCTAGCTACTCAGGTTTGTTGATATCCTTTTTTGTTTTTCTCATCTGCCGGAGGATGTTTTCCCTGCATAGTCAGGCTGAATATTGACGTTTATCTGTATTTCTTGTGAAATCATTTGACATCTTAGAGGCATGATTACATTGGTAGGTTATGACATCTCAGTGTCAGACTATTATGCACGAGCAACACTTTAAAGTTGCAATTATAAGTTTGTATGTTTAGTGTGTTTTATTTCCTCAGAAACATATGAATAAGTTCTTTGCTCTTGGCAATCAATTTTGTTCACTACGGTACCTTGCATCTTGGTGTTTCATTTTTGTATCAATCTAGAGTGCTTGACTGTGTTTTACTTGACATTTTTTTGCAGTATTTTGCGGATCGTGATATTTTCTGTGCTGGTCGTGTGGCAGAGGAAGATCTTAACCGTGTGGCTGCTGCAGCTGGCGGAACAGTTCAGACAAGTGTTAACAACATAATAGATGAGGTTCGTGAAAAATGAATTTCTTTGCTTGCTATACTAGCTTTCGGTGACTTGTTGATTTCATTCATCTGACTCAGAGATTGATTTTAATTTCTACAGGTTCTTGGAACTTGTGAGATTTTTGAGGAAAAACAAGTTGGTGGGGAGAGGTTTAATATATTCAGTGGTTGCCCTTCAGGACGTACAGCAACTATTGTTCTCCGTGGTGGAGCTGATCAGGTATACATCAAATATTGGAGGCTTCATGAATGAAAACCAATCAACACAAATATTAATTCCTTTGAAACGTTAATGGCAGTTCATCGAAGAAGCTGAGCGGAGTTTACATGATGCGATTATGATTGTGAGAAGAGCTGTGAAGAACTCAACTGTTGTTCCTGGAGGTGGAGCTATAGATGTAAGTATCCTCCATTCACTGTGGTTCAGTATTTAAGTTTTTCACGTAGGCTTGAGCCATTCCTCCTGGTTGTAGATGGAGATAAGCAAGTACCTGAGGCAGCATTCAAGAACAATTGCTGGGAAGTCACAGCTTTTCATCAACTCTTATGCGAAGGCTCTGGAGGTACACTTCCTGGTTGACTTGGATGTTTTAACTTTTGTGCCTCTTGATTTCACATATAAAAAAGAGCTTTCTAATTGTGTTCTTGTAATTGGGCACCTATAGAAAAGACATATTTCCTGTTAGCTTGTTGTTGTGTACAATAGGAGTTAGTAAACAACCAAGGAGGGTCCCAATATCTTTGGCCAGGATCTGAAATTTGTTGTTTCACCTATGATACACAAAAATCTGAATTCACTGTTTGTGGTGGTACTACAGGTTATTCCACGACAGTTATGTGACAATGCTGGATTTGATGCAACTGATGTCTTGAATAAACTTAGACAAAAACACGCCATGCAAAGCGGTGAGCCTTCTCTCACAGTCACAAGCTTGATGTATTGATCTTTTGATGGGAGCTGCTTAATCTCATTCATGATATCTTTGTTATAACATGATATCTTTGTTATAACAGGTGAAGGAGCTTCGTATGGAGTGGACATTAACACTGGTGGCATATCAGATTCTTTTGCTAACTTCGTTTGGGAACCAGCAGTTGTGAAGGTATTTCAAGATTCTCTAACATTCCACTCTTTTTTCGTTCTTGGGACTATTGTGCCTGTTATGCATATGTCTATCTTGTGTGGATATCTTTCATTGAAAAATTTATTGATAGTGTGATTCCCTTTGTTCTGGCAGATCAACGCAATAAATGCTGCGACTGAAGCGGCTTGCCTCATTCTTAGTGTGGACGAAACTGTGAAGAACCCTAAAGTAAATAACACATGCTCCCATTTTCTTTTGTATGTTTTGACAATGTATATATATTGTATTGATAATATTTGTTAATTGCAGTCTGAGAGCGCACAGGGAGACGCCGCAGGTGCAATGGGGAGAGGGCGCGGTGGAGGTCGTGGCCGTGGAATGCGAAGGCGATAGGCTCTGTCTCTTATATGCTAAACTTGTGGGATTCTTCTCTAAATTTCGATTTTGTTGAATTTTTGTTTTGAAGTTAAAAAAGCTATTATTGGGTTTGTGTTGTTCAATTAGAATACTGGTTGGTTATGTATGTCTATACAATCTGTGAAACAGAAGTTTTAGCGTGTTTTTGGTTAAGGAATTTACATTTGCTTAATCAAATCTTGACAAGGATAAATCACTGTAACAAATTCAGTTGTGTTGCATCATCATCTTGATTAATACTCATCCAATGCATACACTTGAATATTTCAAAATTGATATGGTGAATAATAATTTCGTAGCTAAGTATGTGTAGTGTGTGCAGCTGATTACATACTTGATCTTGAGTACACAGAAAAAACTCAAAAAGCTAAACGCCAACTCGTGAGTTAAATTCGGTGAGTAGATCTTTGGGTGAGGAGCTTAGAAGCTTAGTGAGAAGAGTTATGTCAATACATGGAAACTTCTTCCACTCATCAAAATGATCTTTAAGTATATCTTTTGCTTTCTCCTTCAAATTCAAACCACAATCCATTCCTAGAACGGAACAGAGCTTCTCTACCGTCCCAACGTTTACCATCTCTTCCACCACCATGTTTTCCGGCGAGAATTTTGACACTGTACTTAGGATAGAGATAGCTCTATCATCTGCCGCAGGTGAAACACGCAGTAGCCGCTGTGTTACAACCGCGATACCGCCCCTATGAGAAAGAATCTCGGCTCTACCGTTGGCGCAACAACATAAACGAGACAAAACTCCTAACATCAGTTCTGTGATTCTTTTCTCGCCTGAGTAGCTCATTTCCAGTTCGATGAGTTCAGAAACCGCACCGAGATCCACAAGGATCGATCGGTTTCTGCTCCACGAAGAAGTCTCTAAAAGAATCATCAGCGCGGCAGTCACCGCTTGTTTAATGACCAAACTATGATCAAGTTTTGATGGTTCCTTTTTTCCCAAGCTAGGCCTTGATGATTGAACCGTATCTCTCACGGTAGGGCTCGTCCGATTAAGACTGTTTACTACATCCTTGAGAAACCCTATGATCCCTTTAAAAATCTCGGGATCCAGTCTCTCTACAATATGAGAGGAAGTGTATTCCGTTAGATTCCTCAAGAGTACAATTGTATAAGCCTTATTGAACAAGTCTTCTTGGTGTAAAAGCCAAGTCAACGATTCCATGACTCGATCGTTTTCGATCAAGATTGTTTTTGCGTCGTTTGATGGAACACCGATCAAGTGAAGAAGACGAAGAGACTCATCTAGCCCTTTGATACGACGTCGTCCCTCTTCGTCTTCACTAGTACACTTGACTACGAACAAGATCAAAGACTTATGCACGCCACCTTCACACATCAATCTCCTGTTATTTCCCTCCATTGCCAAAACTTCAAGCTTCTGCAACGTTTCTTCTCTTCCTAAGGCTGCAAAATTCAATACCCAAACCAAAATTATTTGACCGACCGGTATCAAAACATTAAGTTAAGCTGAACTAAAAATTGGTCTATAAAAAAGTTTTTGCACCTTTGGTTAAATTAGATCTTAAGTATAATTTAGTCACATTTTGATATCTTTTTATCCAAAACCGAACAATAATTTTGCAATACCAAACCGAACAAAAATAAATACACAGATAACCAAATTCATGTACCGGATTTAAAATAAATAAAAGCAAACCGAATAATTCGAAATAACCGGACTGGTACCTTCTTGGCCGAACTTTTTGAGATTCTTGATCTCTTCGACGACGTTAAGTTTTCCAGGAGGAGCTCGAGGAGTAGAGATTCTGACAACGCCACGAGTCTCGTTCTCAACGCACCAATGTTGAATCAGACGGCGAAGCATGTGGTTAGGTGTAAGATCGGAGTCTAAGGGAAGAGGTTGCTTCGTGACGGGACAAGAAGGGACCTTTTTGAGCCATTTAACGATGCTTGGACGGTCGTAAGTGATGCCAGAAACGGTCGTGACTGGATCTTTCATGATCTCAAGTGAGATTGGGCACATAAAGTAATTAGGAATCTCGATCTCTTCCTCTTCATGATCCATTTGTTGGGAAACTAACCTATGATTTGTACCTAGTATATAATGATGATCGAGATTCGAGAATAATAATCGTGAAGAAGAAGAAGAAGAGAAACATGTGGTGGAGGTAAGAAATGGCGGCTCCGTTTACTTGATTGGTCTTTGCTTTGAATTCCACTAACATATGTTTTTTAGACAAATAAATATCCACTATCAACACATTACACGTGTATGTTTTGTTTGTCAAGTATACTGATTAAATTACAATTTCATATAAGCCCTCTCCTAATTATTTTTATTTTTGGTAATCGAGAAATTCAATATCGAAGAGTTCTAGACCATCTTTTTTTTAACGAGAGATTATAGCAAATATGTTAAATCTTTTTTTTTTACTGTCAGTAGAACTCGAATTTAGAACATGGTCATGAATCATTATCCTCCCAAAAAAATGTCTAAGGTAACACAGGATACCTAATTATATTCATTAAGTTACAAACAATTTTTTGGTAACTCTATTCAACTGATGGTCAGCAAACAGAACATTCGATTATATATTTCACGGATATTTTTGTTTCATTTTAAGGTCAACACAAATATATAGGAAACTAGATCATCACCCGTACTGTAGTACGGGTTGAATTTCATTTATTACAAAATTTATATATTATATAGTTATAGAATAAAGTCGTGATATATTATAATAGTAAGTAAAAAAATATTAATTTTTTTCTGTCAGTCCATATATATAATATTAGAATGAATATATTTTTCTTTTTCTGTAATCCTCAATTATGGGTATATTTTTTAAAAATATGAAAACGGAAAATAAAATTATTTTCAAAAAAAAAATATTGTTTGAACAATGAGTTAATTTATGTTAACAGCCACAAAATGAGAGTGCATATAATAGTTAGATCAAAAATCAAAATATCATAAATGAATCGCATCTAAAACGTAGATTATTTTGAATTAGTTAAAAAAGTTAGCTATTATTTTGAATTAATTTAGGAAATTATTTTTTCAAATTATAATTCATTGGTTGTTGAAATAGAGATTTGTTTGAGCTAATTACGGAATTTACCAATTATTCACATAATCGAATATGTTATGAACATATATTTGGTATATAATAATACCAAATTCGATCCGTGTGTGAAGTCTATATTTTCATTTTACAATCCCTATGAAAATATTGCGGCACAATCTATTATTCATTATTTCCAAAATTGCTTGCAGAATTAAATTTTCAAATATTTAGAAGTGTCAAACCTTATTTAACTCATCTCATCATAAAATCTTAAAATATCGTCTATTATAAGGATCTTAACTTTCTATCATATAATACATTACTTTTAACCTGCCGCCTACTATAAATATATTTAACATATCTTTTTAGAAAATCAAATTAGTATTTATATTTTTTTTTATCTTTTTAATCTATTAAATATTTATGATATTCTTTAATATATTAAATTAAACTTTTTTTAAATGTTCCAAATTAAAATCTTTAAAAATTTTCTTGTAGTATGTAAAATTATGAATTTAAAAAAATATATATATGAAATTAAATATAAATATTCAAATAGTTATAAGGATCATAACTCATTTCATCATATAATACATTATATTTAACCCGCCGCCTATTATAAATATTTGTTTCAAAAAATCAAATTAGAGTATTTATATTTCTTAACTTTTTTGATCTATTAAGTATTGATGTTATTAAAAAAGGAATATATTACTCAAATATGAATTCCCGTTAAATTTGTTCTTTCATACATTGAACAATTTATATTCGTTTTTAAAAATTCAAATCTTTGTATATGCGGAAATTTTTTTTTTATTATTATGTAGATGATATAATAATTTATTTATTTTATAGAAATAGAATAATATAAAGATGAGAGGTGAAGTATAATGATTAATAACAAATTAATATGATAAGTTAGATATCAAATCTTATATGTTCATTTTGATTGGTCATTCTTTTTTAAAAAAATTAATAATAGATTTTCGTTTTTATAATTAAATTAAATTAATTAAATTACATAAAATAGTATTTGACTTGTTTATCCTTAATGAGTTGAATTAATTTACTCTATAAATTTTTATTTCTAATGGCATTCTCAAGTAGTTTTTTACAAAAGGGAAGGTTAGTTAAGGGTATCTTATAAAGTGTACTCCCCAAATAATAGTATAGGATTTAGGAATGTTGACAAAAAAGGAGTTTTTTTCTTATACCAAATAAGAAAGAAATAAATAATAGTTTTATTTTCCTAAGAGGGAATGTTAAACGATTATATGTTATTCTTTTATATGTACTCTAAGTTGCATACACCAAAAATAATAATATGAGGAGTTCTTAAATTGCGTTCGTCTGAGAGTTTCTCCGTGACGAAATTGCTCATGCATGTAAATGTCTTCGGTAATGTATTGCGTCATGAAAAATATAAAAATGGGTTTTTGTATAGTATAAAAGATAAAAATACAAATATGCTTTGGTATATACACTTTGGTTGCAATAAAATTAAACCGGCAATTCCGTCGACCGCTTTTGCGTATGGTACATATCACCGAGTCATATAATACTGCTCCATTCTCAAAATACATACGTGCAGGACGGATTTAGCTAGGTACGAAGCGGACGGAATAGTAGTATCAAAATTCTATGAATTTACTATTTGTCTTCTTTTTAAAAGCATTCAAAACGTCACTTCAAGAAAATATTGGTGTCCACTCGTGGCCTATAAAAGTCTCATTACAAAATATCTATGCCCATTAATTTGGTGCATACTAGACTTATGGGTCGTCTAATGGCAACGTTGTTTGTCTGGTGCATGCATGTAAGCAGTAAGCATCATATATGACTGACTTGTATAAGGTAGAACATTCTGAAAATGCAATCAATTTATTTTATATTTCGTACTATAAGAATATCGAAAGTCTAATTTTCGGACACGCGCGTCTATAACAAAATTTTTTAGATCAGTAGTCAACTCCTATAATTTATAATTTGATATTATAATAGTTAAATTCGAAAATATATTTTTTGAAAATAATAATTGGTCCAAATCAAACAAATCAGTTTCTATTGGCCACCACGTATTTACGAGAAACAAATCAGTTTCAATTAAACATGTATGTGAAAAACCAATATAAGTTACGAGAAAATTATCAAAGTCATGCAACAAAGCCCAACAAATGTTTAACCTAATGTGTTGGCCGAAACCCTAATACGGATCCGTATAGCAGCCAGTCCCTAAGTTAGTTCCCGCTGAATATGTCCTCAAATGGAGAGGAGAGGTTGATCGAAATGAAGAAGAAGAGGAAGACAACGCCTAGGATTTCGACGAAGAAGAAGAAGAATAAGCCGTCAACAACGCCGCAATCGAGCCCATTTCTGTCACTTCCCGATGATTTGGTATTGAACATCGTCGCACGCGTCCCAAGATTGTACCATCCGACTCTATCCCTCGTCTCCAAGAGCTTTCGATCTCTGCTAGCTTCACCGGAGCTTTACAAGGTCAGGTCACTCTTAGGAAACATAGAGAGTTGTCTCTATGTGTGCATCAATTGGTTTCCTGAAGGTTTTCGTTGGTTCACCCTCTGCCGGAAACCTGAACAAACCCTAACCAATGATGAGAAGAAGAAATCAAGTGGGTATGTTTTGGCTTCAGTCCCAATGACCAATACTCCTCATGCGGATTTTGCGAGTGTGGTGGCGCTTGGTTCTGATATCTATAACATTGGCGTACCACAACCCTTCAGGGAAGCCTCCTCCTCTAGCGTCTTTATTCTGGATTGCCGGTCTCACACTTGGCGCCAGGCTCCAAGCTTGCCGGTGGAGCTATTTACTGTCTCTGTTGGCCTCATTGATGGAAAGAAGATTTATGCTGCAGGATTTTTCGATGCCAATTCCGAGGACAAGAACTCACTCTCGGTGTTCGACCCCAAAACACAAGCTTGGGATCCTGTGCCTATCCGTTACAGTGAGCCACTCGGCGTGTTTTACCGTCACAGCGCATATATTGATGGGAAGTTACATGTGGCGGCTCAAAATATGAATGTTGCTTACAACTTCAAGGAAGCTAGATGGGACAGCTCTCAACGTATAATATATTATCACATGTTATCTAATTCTTTTTGCGTGGTTGAGAATGTTCTCTACTCGGGTTCTCATGGAGCATTCAAATGGTATATATGACACCGAGGCAGGAAACTGGAGATTTTTGCAGGGTTTGGTAGGACTACCCAAGTTTCCTCATGATTCTTGTGTTAGATTGGGTAATTTTGGTGGAAAGCTAGCTGTTTTGTGGGAGACGATCCCTTATGGTAATGTGCATTGTAGCCTTATAAAGAAGATGATTTGGTGTGCGGTGATTGAGCTTGAAAGACGCCCTAATTGTGAAATTTGGGGGAAGGTTGAGTGGTTTGATCATGTGCTTACAGTCAATATATATAGTACACTCGAGAGTATTGTTTCTGCTACTGTTTGATCTCAAGGCTTGAACTTTTGTATTTTATTGGTAATATCGTTGTTTATTTGGAATGTGAGTGTTCTTTTACTGTATGGGATAGACTTCCAATGCCATATACGTAAGGGAGGAAAAAGAAGAGGACAAAGGAAACCTTGGAGATGGAAGAGTCAGTGAGAAGTCCAATGGTTAATCAGGTGGGAGTAAGGAGGCTCACCTGTAAGAAGTATTGGCTTTGTTTAGTTTATTTAGTCTCACTGTGTTTGCGGTGTTGTTTTGGTTTCTTTTTTGAAGTATTGAAAACGTCACTTCAAGAAAATGTTGGTGTCGAATCATGCCCTTAAAAGTCTCATCATTACAAATATGTATGCCCATGAATTTCGTGCATACTAGACTTATGGGTGTTTGTCTTGTACATGCATGTACAAGACAAATATGACTGACTTGTATAAGGTAGAACATTCTGAAAATGTAATGAAAAACTTATGGTGATGACTGATGAATCGATCTCCAAAATATTGTAAAACATATCCATGAGTGAAACAATTTATGTTAGAAACCATACAAAGATTGTATAGCCTCTGAGTTATATCATTCTTCAACCCAATTCTTTTATACAACAGTTGAAATATTGGGGAAAACCAATTGAAAAGTGCACATCACATACATTTTTTCTGCAACCCAAGAACGAGAATCCAATTCAAGTTGAAGAAAGCCACACAAATGTTACCTCGCAATCCAATCCATCAGTATTTGACATTATGTGCTTCGAATTCTAGAGTCAGGAGAGTGATTTTGTTTGCTTGAAATGGTTTGATCTGTTTCACACTTGCGTGCTCCTAAGACATCGCCATTTTCGTGACCGAGGGACTTTTTCTAGAAGCATTTGCAAGCCGATGTTGTTTCCTGACATTCCAAACATGTATCTGCATATTTGCATTGGAATAGAGATTAGAGACTAAAGTTTCAGAAGCAGCTCCCTAAAACCCAACAGTATTTTTTAACTAAGAAGTGAAACAGTGTCCCTGTTTTTGGAATATCAAGGACAAGATTATAAGCAAAGAGAGCAACGGATGAAAATGGATGACAACTTTATGATAAATCTTCCAATTATTTTCCCTTGTAGTATTTTCTTAAACAGATACACAGATCTTTTTCGTGCAATAAGATATGTGAAGCATAGAGTAACCAAAGTTTGTTACAGGTTACTTACTTGCTTCGACGAGCCTTTCTTTTCCAGGAAACAAAAGATGTGATCCACTGCATAGGAATAATAATCAAAAGAAACAAGTTAGAGAGTGAGAACAGTAGAAAACAAGATACAGCATTAGAAGAAGTTGCTTCCAATCAGAATGTTTTGTGATCATAAACAAACATGACAACAACCCACGAATTGGGGATTAAAAGAGCAAAATAACCTTAAAGACCGGCGTGAAAGTCAATGATCCAGCAATTGATGCTTTACGTAGAGGCAATCTCCGTTGAGGGACAACTTCCTTTGACAAATGTTGAGCAATTTCTTTCAACAGTACCATTTGAGCCTTTTCAGTCCTCATAGAGAGAAGCGCATGTTTCATTGATTCCCTGTCAGCCTCCAGTGCTTGAAGCCTCATGTAGAGTTTTGTTATATCAGGATCACCAAGATCCGTGTGTTCTCTCGGGAAAACCACATTGCCATCAGAAGTGCCATCCTCAAGCTTCTGCTCAGTTACACCACCACTATGAGACACACTGCTGTGATGGACAGAATCAATGGTATAAACTCTATCACTCATGTCATCTCCTATTTCCGATGAGTCGTCTTTAGCATTATTATTCTCCGTATATGAGACATCTTCCATTTTCTTAGAGCTGTAGCTTGCGGACCTCGGGAAATCAACAAAAACATCAGGTCTTAGTTCTTTAGATGCTCCCAAGTGTGAACTTGAACCAGTAGGGGAAATCCTCCTAAAATGTCTTTGACGCCTAGGACTCTGACCAACCATCACCTTCTCTGAAACATCCCTCCCTCTAGCTCTCGGGGAATCGCCATTCAACTGAGTAAAGCTAGGATATGTCTCCATCTGGCTGAGTCTTCGATCCAAAGTCTTTAAATGTTCTCGTCCATGAGGGGAATCAGCTGGTGGGTAGTTTTCATCATCTGCAACATAGATATCAGCCTCAAGAGGATCTTGGTTCTCATTAATATTGCACTTTAGAGAAGGGTAATCATGTATAGGGAAATCATATTCAGAATTAATGTCGACCATGCTCGGGTTACGACTAAGCAAGCTCCTCTCACCATCAGCTTCTGCCTCGGTTAGCCCAAAACTCATCATTCTGTGCTTATAAGCCTGAGTTTCAAATGTAAGAGCCTGAATCGTCTGATCCCTTTGATAAACCACAGCTTCCAATGCCTCAATCTCTGCGTTTTCATAAGTCAATCTGTCCTTAACACAACGCTGAAGCTGTGTCAGTTCCATCAGCATATCAGTCTTTTCCTTCTGCAACTTCCCAATCAGATTCAGTGCTTCATCTACAGCTGTTGATGAAGCAATACGCTCTTCCTCGAGCTCATGATACAAATCCTGAATCGTCTGCTGTTGATTGCTAACAGTCTCGCGTAGTAATTCACATTCGTTCTCGATTTGGACTCTAGGATTAGAGAACATGTCTAGGTCATCCAGCTCCGGTATGGAGAAGCGTTTCTCGGTCTGTAATTCATCGTGTCTTCTCTTCTTCACAGATCGAATCCATGAACCTGAGGAAGAACAACAATCGCATCCACAGTCGCAACATTTGATCGGAGACTCCATTCCCAATTCCAAGATTCTCACACCAACCACAAAATTATGCAGAGAATCGCGAAAAACAACAGGAAGAGACCAAAATCGCACTAAGCCCTAAATCATCGGAAGCTTTATGGGGTTGATAATTTTCTCGGGAAAATAAAAAATCCAGCTGAAGCCAATTCTGCGGAAACCACAAAGCAAAAACTCAATTTCTACGAAAGGTGAATTTCACAATGCAAATTGATGAAACCTTACTTACCCCTTGGCCACCCAGAAATTCGAGAGAAAAATCCAAAATGCTACTTTTGAGAATTTTGTCTCCCGTCCACGAAACAGAAAAAACCAATATCAATTTCTCTGCGCGATCCTCGTTTTTTTTTTCTTTTTTCTATTGCGTAAACGAAAAAGGAAAAAAAAAATATAAGTAAATTTCGTAATTGGAGAGAATGAATCAAAATTTCGTAATCTATGTAAAAAAAAAAACAAGGTATTGATAATTGTTTGATTTTGAGAAACCCTAAAAATCTGTTTTCTTCTTCTGGATTTTTTTTTTGGCGCAGGAAATTTGATTTTGTTTTGTTTTTAGTATAATAAACGGAGAAGAAGGCTTTTCATGGAGTCTCTGTTCTGTCTCTGAGACTCTGTCTCGTGTCAGAGAAGACTATTTTTGGTATAAACGAGGAGACGATGCTTAATCAACGTTCAAGATGAGGTATTGGCTGAGATCAACGGCTGAGATTGATTGAGTGAGGTGTCATAAGTCATAACCTACGAAGAAAAAGTACATGGCGGCATGACCTCGATATATATATTGGATATTTAGGGGGAGAAGTGATTTTTTTCCTCTTCTTTTTTTTGGGTTCATTTGTTCTTTTAAGGCCCATATCCAATAGACCAATACAACCAGCAAAATTGGTTAAGTCAACTTTCTTTGTTCGAAATTCATCAAATAGATTTTTAATTGTTTATTTGTATTCGCAATTTTTATTTCTCTGTTTAACTGTTTATATATGGTTGATTTGTTGCAAAATGTAAGACCAGTCACGAATTTAGGATTTAATGAAGTTCTGTCAGATTGTATATATGAAGAAAAGGATTTGTGTAGTTTGATATTGAGTTTGTTGATTTGAGTAATTATAATATTTTGATTATGGTCATACTTTTGAAAATCATGTAGTATTAAAAATTTAAGATCTTGCTAGTAATGTAAAACCAGACCACAATAAATATTTTGGTTTAAAAAAGTTATAGAATATAAGTAATTCGATAAAAATAAATTTAATATTCTATCCATTTTAGATTAAATGTCTTTTTTAAAATTATTTGTCTAATATGAATTTTGACATAAAGTATCTCATTTAACTTATAAATTAAATTAATAATATGGTAGAATATCAAAAGTCTTAACTTTACTTTTAGGAATTTAATAATAGGAAAAATGTCATTAAAACATCAACTTATTGAAAAAAAATATCAATTTTGCCAATGTTAACAGTTCTCAATAAAAAATTTCAAATCTGTTCAAAAAAAGGCACCAATAGGATTCAAACCCATGAACACCTTTTGGCATAATAATAACTACTTAACAAAGACACCAATAGGATTCGAACACCAAGGGACAAACTTTAGAAAAGCTTATGAATCCACTGTAATTGCTTTAGATTACAATGGCTTTGAGACTTATAAATGTAACTCCCACGTCGACCATGGATGGAAGAAAGTTGTGTCTCGGAAGCAAAAACCGGCGGATCAGTGGGCGAAGATGGTCGCTGCTTATGTGGAGGATGAGTGGAGCGGTGCCGGTGAGGCGATATCTAAAAGCCGATCGAATTGTGACGGTGATGAGGGATATGATTTCGACAACGAGATAGCGACGAAGGATGTGAATCTTAAGGCGGAGGAAACTAACAAACCGAAACCCAACAAGGAGACGAAGCCGAAAGTGTCTTTGGCCGAAGCTGCCGCAAAGATCGATCCTTGGGATCTTGCGGATTCCCTCGCCAAAATATCGGTAAGCTCATGCGATGTGGAATTCGTCACTGGATATTCTGATGTAAATAATCCGATAAGCTTACAAAAATCTTTCGTTTTCTTTTGTGGTTTGTTTCATAGAAATCGTATGCCCATGAGTTGAGAAAATTATATAAGCCGGCACTGTTGGAGGTGCAGCTATTTAGATTTGTCGATTACCTTGGGATAACACTTTCCGCTGTGCAATTTCCATGGCTGAAGACGTTCAAGCCTTGGCCCAAGCTCATAGATCTGATCGATGTGAGCTCTTTTTTCCCCTGAGATTCTAGGTGAAATTCGTGAAGCTGATTATCTTTTTTTTTTTTTTGTAAACAGGTTCCATTATCTCATATCCCTGAACCTGTCTACAAAACATCAGTCGATTGGCTCCACCAATTTCCTATTGGGACACTCGCTCCCTTTGTATTGTGGTCGTTGAATCATATTCTCACGAATTTGGAACCAGGAGGTCCCAAAGGTGGGGACAATGGTCAGCAACGTACTACTTCCAAATCTCATGTAATTATGGAAAACCATTCTCATCTTTTCTTATGCTTGCATCAATTTTCTCCTATGTCTGTCTTGTATGTAAGTACCTTTGTTTGACTAACTCCATTATGTTGTTCTATTTGTTTCACAATTAGGTTGCAGTATTTGTTGCACTAGCAATGATATTGCGTATTGAACCTAATACTTTGGTTATTGTATTGCCGACTCTCAAGGAGTACAAGTATCGAGGACATGACAAGCTTCCGATTATAGTTTGGATGGTGGCTCAGGTTCATGTGATATTTTGTTCCCCTTATGTTTAGGACCAAGAGTGTCCTAATTTGTGTTTTCTGTGATCTGTATTCTGAAAGTTATTCAACTGTTATATGTGGACAGGCCTCCCAAGGTGATTTATCTGTAGGCTTGCATTCATGGGCGTCTAACTTGTTACCACTAGTACTAGTCGATAGCAACCCTCACTCAATGGATCTCATCCTGCAGTTGGTTGAGAAGTGAGTCGAAATTTTTCTTGTGATCTTTTTTGCTATATATATACAATCATCTTATAATTTTCTTGTCAGGATTTTGTCTACTCCAAATGCTCGGACCATACTTTTAAATGGAGTTATTATAGAGGAACTGCGACTGGTTTCACCTTATGCATTTGAGATCTTGATGCGGCGTGCATTCCCATCCGCAAGAGTAAAGGTAAGCAGTAGTATCAGAATTCATGAAAACCTTGATGCGTTTGTCGATTCTGATCACAAGCATGGTCTCTATACGCACACAGGCTACAGAGAGGTTTGAGGCAATTTATCCCTTGTTGAAGGAAGTGGCTCTTGCCGGTGAACCAGGAAGCGAGTCAATGAAACAAGTCACTCAACAAATATTCTATTGTTCTTTGGTAATAGCTGGAAAAGGTATTAGTAACAAATGGAATCTTTAATCCTTCAGTTTCTGGTTCCCTCTCTCTTCTCCAAATAAAGTTGTAATGTGTTACCGTTGTTACAGGAAATCCTGCTTTAGCCACGGAAGCTACAGCAATGGCTATCTGGTCTTTGACCGAAAACGTAGAATGCTGCAAGCAATGGGAAAGACTCAATTGGGAGAATCAAAAAGGTAGTGCTGCTGTTCTTAAAAAGCTTGAAGATGAATGGAATGATATTTCCCTCAAACTATCATCATCACCGAGTCATACTATCACTCTCATTCAAACTATGAAGAACATCAGGCTAAAGGTAATGCCTCTTACTCTTCTAAGAACTTATTTCACCCTCCTTTCAGTTGTAATTTCAGCTCTGACCTAACCTATGATTCTTTTAGAATAAAAAAGCCACCACTGAAGCTGACAAGTCCTGCAAAGTGATCTTGGGTAGACTCTTCCGTGAAAGTGGCTGCGTCAAAGGTACAGCCATTATTACTGCTGTGGTTCTAGCTGCTGCAGTTATACTATCTTCCAACCTGTAGGCTACATCCGTGCTGAAGAAGCTGGTGGACTCATTGGATCTGCACCTATGCTTCAAAAAAAAAAATTAGTATATTTAGGCGAAAGCTTCACTTAGCTCGTGACTTGTGTGGATTATAGAATTACTCTAAATTATGTGGTATTTATAGAGTCTTCGGGTCCAATTGTTGGATTTGTTATGGAAAATATAATATTTGGAACAATTAATTATATATTTATTTCAATATAAAAAAATTTAGACGTACATGTTTTCTGCAATCTCGGAGAGAAGTTTAATAAACGGTTTGTGACTTTGTGTAAGTAGTAAATAAATGAGAGTTTGTTTTTAACTCTAATAAATTTTGTGTTTTGTCAAAGAAAAAAAAAAAAAAAAAAAGGTCTACTCCAATTTACTACTACTAACAATTAATTTTCGGATATTAACTATCGAAACAAAACATAACGAAAAAAAAAAAAAAAGATTTGCTCCGGTCGGAGAGAGATCTCAACGAAAGTCATCGTCACTCCCAGAAAGAAACTCACAGGTAAGAGAAGACTATCCGACTCGTTGACATTTCCCTTTAGCTGCTTCTGGATACGAATTGTTTCTCCACTATCTCAATTTCTCCATCTGCTAAGAAATTAAAAGATTTTGTAATTCTAGGGTTTGATCCTCCCTGATTTACTGGGAGTTTGGATTGTAATATCTTGATCCCTTTCATGAAATTGTGCTGTTTCTGCGATTACAAGTTCGAGAATTGATTCATTCACTGCAAAATTTGCTTTGATTTCTTGGAAACTTGTGATAACAAAATCTTTTCTTACCCAAAATCGTGAAAAACATGTTTTTTTTTCTTGTTGTGATTGTGTCTTTCAAAGCATAGTTCTCCAATTCTCTATGGTTTCTTTCTTGTGATTTGTGTAAAATTTGTAGCAACTGTTATTTTGGTTTAATGTTGTTTGAAATCTCAGGTTATAATGGCGAAGCTAAGGCCTAGACAGTTGGAACTGAGCAAGACTGTTCCTTCCAAGTTGGGATTTGATGGAGAAGAAGACGCTTGGGTCTTTGTTAAAAAGCAGAGAATCATCATTGTTTTGCCTTCTCTTCCACTACCTGAACAACATCTCACTATGGAGAAACCTGCAATAACTTCTCAATTAGAAGCTGAGTTAAGAGAAAGCATGGAGGATACGCAAGAAAGTACTTTTCTTCCCACTGTGGTACCTTCTCTTCCTCTGCCTGAACATTTCATTATGCACAAGCCTGAAAATTCTGAGTCTCAAGTTGAGTTAAGAGACGTTCTTGCGAATACGCACAAAACTACTACTCCGGTTCCCACTGTGGTGGTACCTGCTCTTTCTCTACCTGAACAATTCATTTTGCACAAGCCTGAAACTTCTCAATCACTAGTTGAGTTCAGAGACTGTATTGCGGATTCGCACGAAACTACTCCTCTTTATACAGTGGTGCCTTCTCTTCCGGTAACTGAACATTTCACTTTGCAGAAGCCTGCATCTTCTCAGTCACAAGTTGAGTTAAGAGACTTTATTGTGCATGGAACTACTCCTCTTCAAACTGGGATGTCACCTCTTCTATTACCTGAGCACTTCGTTTTGCAGAAGCCTGCAACTTCTCAATCACAAGCGGATACACAGGAAGCTACTCTTTTTCACACAGCGATGCCTTCTCTTCCTGTACCTGAACATTGCACTTTGCAGGAGCCTACAACTTCTAAATCACAAGCTGAGTTAAGAACGGAAACACACAAAGCTACTCTTGTTCACACAGTGATGCCTTCTCTTCCTGTACATGAACATTACATTCTGCAGAAGCCTGCAACTTCTCATTCACAAGGTGAGTTAAGAACGGAGACAGACGAAGCTACTCCTTTTTACACAGCGATGCCTTCTCTTCCTGTACCTGAACATTACAGTCTACAGAAGCCTTCAACTTCTCAATCACAAGCTGAGTTAAGAGCGGATATGCGCAAAGCTACTCTTGTTCACACAGTGGTGCCTTCCCTTCCTGTAACTGAACATTGCACTTTGCAGAAGCCTGCAACTTCTCAATCACAAGTTGAGCTGAGAGACCTGGTTGCGGATACCCACGAAGCTAGTCGTGTTCACATTGTGGAACCTGAGGCTTGTCCTGATTTCACCTCAGTAGACAAACCAGATATAGTTACGAGTCGCAGTCTCACAGCCAGGAAAGCTCCAGCTCCAAAGAGATCACTGAAAGATTGTAGAATGAATCAAGATAGAAGAGTGGAGGAGATTCACAGGAGACGTGCGGGTCACAAGCCCATAAGGTTTCCAAGAGTGATGTGCAGCTCTGTTGTTATGGATAATGAGAAGCTGAGAGTTTTGAATCTGGAGAAGAAGGTTGAGAAAGCAGGCGGGTTGAACGAATGGGTTGGATCTATAGGATTAGGGAGAGAGTTTGAGAGGATGTTGAGAGGACAGAGGATGAGTAAGTTTCAGATGGCGAATTTGACAATGGAGAAGCTGAAGCAGATGGGTGCTTTAGCAGTTGGACCAAGAAGAAAGCTTATACATGCAATTGGTTGTGTCTATCACCCACATTGTCTACGTGCTTCCTTTAACTATCTATGAAAGTTTAGTTATTTAATTGGGTCCAATAAAACTTAGCTATGCTTGATTGATGTTCAAGTTCAACTATTGTTTTTTTGGTAATTGATAGTCTCTTTGGACCACAGACCAGAGCAAGGTCAAGTTAGTCACCATAGACCCTGGTTGTGATCATGCTAACACCAACTTGAAGTGTGTCACGTGGTGAATGCGACAATGTCACTGTTTGATGTGATAATGTATTGTTGTCTATTTTATAATATTAGCGACTTAGCGTGGCACATGCAATATGATTAAATAGTTAGCATGGCATATATTAATTAATATATAAGTTCTTTTCTTTTGACACAAACGTGTCCAATAAGTATACGACAAAACTATAAAATAAACATAAAGATAACGGAGACATGCATTATTATTCTGTCATCAGATTTGCATTTTCTGTCTCATCGACAGATCTGTGGATATTTCTCATCTTATCTGGGGTTCCATTTGCACACAGATCAATGGACGTAGCGCGTGATTTAGCACGCGCCAGATGTTAGGTACGTTGAGATGCCACGTCATATTGAGGAATCTTTGGCGGGTTTCATTTTTTACCTATAAAAATGGCGGCCGCAAAGTTTTGTACGTCTCCGATGTTGTTTCACAAACAAAAAACAAAAAAAAATTGAAAAAAAAAACAAATAAGAGGAGTGAATCTCGGCGATGGCAATCAAAGACCTGACGGCGACGACCGGTGATTCATCTCTTCCTTTGATAAAACCTCCGCCGTCTGAAACAACCGGCGGTGACAGAACCTCTGCTCTTCAGACGCTTGGTAACATTATCGTCTCCATCGTCGGTACAGGCGTCCTTGGTCTTCCTTACGCATTCCGCGTCGCCGGTTGGTTCGCCGGATCTCTCGGCGTCATTATCGTCGGATTCGCCACCTATTACTGCATGCTCCTCCTCGTTAGTTCCTTTTTCCAAATCCTTAAATCTCTCTCTATCTCTCCCGACATGAAAATGAAATTCCAATTGGTCTCAATGGATCAATCCGGGATTGATTTTGATTTCTCTGCACGATTTCATTAAGTGTTCGTGATTTCCTGGAAGCTCTCAATGATTTCTCAAATCGATTTTAACAACGTAATCTAATTGGATATATTTGCAGATTCAGTGCAGAGATAAGCTAGAATCGGAAGAAGGAGAAGAAGAATCGAAAACTTATGGTGATTTAGGTTTCAAATGTATGGGAACAAAAGGTCGATACTTAACCGAATTTCTCATTTTCACTGCTCAATGTGGTGGATCAGTAGCTTATTTAGTGTTCATAGGACGAAACTTGTCATCCATATTCAGTGCATATGGGTTAAGTATGGTGTCTTTCATCTTGATTCTGGTTCCAATCGAAGTTGGATTGTCCTGGATCACTTCTTTATCGGCTCTCTCGCCTTTCAGTATCTTTGCTGATATATGCAACATCATAGCAATGTGTTTTGTTGTGAAAGAAAATGTGGAAATGGTGATTGAAGGAGACTTCTCGTTTAGTGATAGAACCGCTATTTCGTCTACCATTGGTGGTTTACCTTTTGCTGGAGGAGTTGCGGTGTTCTGTTTTGAGGGTTTTGCAATGACGTTGGCTTTAGAAAATTCAATGAGGGAGAGAGAAGCTTTCCCTAAGTTGTTAGCTAAAGTGCTTGCCGGGATTACGTTTGTCTATGTGTTGTTTGGGTTTTGTGGGTATATGGCTTATGGCGATCAAACAAAGGATATCATCACACTTAACCTCCCAAATAATTGGTCTGCCATTGCTGTGCAGGTAAAATTATGCCAATTCTAATGTTTACTGCTTATGTGAACTTATGTTTCTCGCATTTCATCATGATTATAGATTCATATGCTCTGTTCTTGTTTATGATAAGCCCTTTAGAATAGATTTGTGTGGAAGCTTGTATATCATTTGAAAAATCTGGACTTCTGTTTTGGCATCTTGGTGTTTGTTGATCATGTAAAAGAATTCAGTTGATAAAACACTTTTCTGTTTTCTTTGGTTTAAACAGATTGGGTTATGTGTGGGATTGACGTTTACATTCCCGATTATGGTACATCCGCTTAACGAGATCATAGAGCAGAAACTGAAGAAGATAGATTGGCTTCAAAAGCATCATCATGGGTACAACAACGAAACAGGTTCAGTCTCAAAATGTGCAATCTTTATGACGAGGACGCTTTTGGTGGTAGGACTTGCTGCAATCGCGAGTTTAGTCCCAGGGTTTGGTACATTTGCATCTCTTGTTGGAAGTACTTTGTGTGCACTCATATCCTTTGTGTTGCCGGCTTCTTATCACCTCACGCTGCTCGGTCCATCACTAAATGTATGGAACAAATCCGTCGATGTATTCATCGTGATTTGCGGGTTGCTCTTTGCTGTTTATGGTACGTACAACACAATCGTCGGAGTGTGAAAATGGAAAGCAAGTGATCTGTGTAAAGCAATGAATACAACTACAAGAAGTTTGGTAAGACAAACAAAAAAAATGTATAGATCTTTTACATGAATCTGAAATAGAAAGATGGTGAGAATATTGAGATTGTTGTATGATCATTTAATGGTGTCAGGAATGCAGAGTCGTAAAACAGCATACATACTTTGTTTTTGATAAAAATTTCATTCATTCTATAAATAACTCGGAATCTTATGAATACCACTCCGAATCCATTTTTCCAAATTTTATTGTTTTTAGTTTCGATTTTCTTTTATAAAAACTTCGACACGAAATTGGTCACCCTAAACAGGTTTTTCTGTCATCCAGATAACCAATTCCGTATTTCCACTATAATCACCCAAATAAAGCTTGAAACAATAATTTAGAGTACGAGTATCTGAAGGGAGATTGCGCAATAGGTCATAGGTTATGGTTTATGCCACGTTCAAGGACATAAATCTGAAACCTATCCATGATTTCATTAAGCCAGAGAGAATGCGATAAGAGAAAAAATAAACAACAAAAAGAGTAGAGAATCTTTTAATATTTTGAACATAAAAACTATACCTCGACGAAATACAATCCTAATTGAGAACCAAAAAAGCCAACGCCCTCTCAAATCCAAGAAACGGGGCTTTTGTCTTCAAAATGGGAATTTTGCAGAGAAAAAGGGGGGAGAGAGAGAGAGAGTCTCAGACAATACCATATTAACACCAAAGGACTAGTTTTTGGAAGCAAAAGAGACCAGCCACACTTACTACTGTCAGGGCCAAAATCAAAACCCTTACCTGGAAGATATATATTCATTTTGGTTATCAAATCTAAATTGAGTCTCTCTACATCCTACCCTCGCACCAAAACCACCCTTAAGATTCCTCCATGCATAGCCATGTCTCTCTCCTAATTGTATATTTTAACCGGCTTCTCGTATGCGTGTCGGTTCTACAAAAAGAGCAATCAATCAGATTATTAACTTAAGAGAGAGCTTCTTCTTAAAGAAAGAGAGGGAGCTTCTTACCTGATTCGCAGCATAAGCCCTTTTAGGAGCATTATCAATGTGCTCCAACCCAAGATACTGCTCCCACGCACCGTATACATCTCTTCTCTGTTGCCATTTTTAGTTTCCAAAGACAAAAGAGTTAAATCCTATTTCTTTTTGAGTAGATCTAAGGATAACAGCCTTACCTGAAAGCGATTATAAACAACATCTGTGTCCTGCAAGTAATCAGGACGTCCCAATGAAAAAGATGCAAACTTCCACTGCATAACATAAAACAAAACAAAAAAAACTAATTAACAAATGATCCGCCACGGATAATGACAGTAAAAAATTTACTAACATTTTTTTTGGTAACTGTTATCAAAATCAGACAAAAAGGCATGCATACCTTCGCAAAGTCCTCATCAGGGACATGGAGTTTCTTTTGGATACGGGTCTTGATTTCTTCTAAAGTTTCACCTTCATGGATTACCAAAAAGAAGGGTTCCCCAAAATTTTGTACTTGCTGCAGAAGAAATAATGGTTAAGAAAGTTTGCAAAACCTCCCGGACCCTCATATAGCTTTTTAAGTAACTTAAGAGTAATATGGACTACCACCTGATTTTGTCCGGCCTCTTTAGTAAAATGATAAACATGAATTAACCGATCATTGGGACCAATATTCTTCTCTTCGTCAGGTATCTGAGATTTCATAGGATAACAAAAGGAGAAAGTCAGCATCTTTGAGTCATCAACCAGCGAAAACTTGCATTTACATTTCATTGATGTAGCTCAAACACAACTATTCATCTCAAGCATTCAGATAACCTACACAACTAGGTACACTCTAAAGGAATTATCAATCCAAGTAACCTATGCATGACTATCACATCTTTTTTATCAACCCACCCTTAGTACCGAAGTGGGTACTCAGGCAAAAAGTTCAAAGAAACCAAAATCTACATCCATAGGGAAACAAGAGATAAGTCAAATAACAAAATACAGAAAAGGCTTGGACGATGATAAACTAGAGACAAAGAAGGCGAGGCAGAGTGATATACCTCTTCTGCTCGTAAAGTCCAGTACTGGTCATTGATGTTTTCAATTCTTTCAGTAGATGGAAAGATCTGCAACGCACATCCAAATACATTAGATAAAATTTGATAATTTTCAGAAGATTGCAAAATTACATCAAACGAAATGTGGTACTGTCTACAAGCCATCAATTTAAAATCGTCAAAAAGTTAACTACAGTGTAAAAGTCAAGAAGTTAGCCTGTTACCTTGTAGATCTTGTGGAAAAAGACCTCAAGTAACCTCAGTTCTGCATCTTGATGCGAAAGCTCCACCTGATGCACAAGTGTAGATTATATTTAAACAATGAAAGACACGAATACAGAAATTATGGAGCAGAACCTATTAAAAGACAAGCCCTATGTAAGGAGAAAACAAAGTTCAATATGTGGCCAATTAGCAGAGATGCATGCAATGCAACAATATAACAAACAAAATTGCAACTAGACTGACCCACCTTTGTTTTCAGTTCGTTAATAACATCTCCAACAGTACTCTGCTTAGGTAGTCTGATATTGTGGATTATCACCTGCGTATTTAAGAGTTATTAAGGCTTAAAAGACAATAACATGTGATAAGAGAGCTACGAATCGCAAATTTAAGTTCAATCAATACTTCATCCTTTGTGGCACTATGGAAAGCCACTTTTAGGGTCTTAAGACCTTGCAATTCTGGAAGAGGAATATCCAGAACTTCATAATACAAAATGTCAGACGTCTGCAAAAAGAAGAAACATTCATAATAAGCAATTCTATATTAGAATCAAAAAAAGAATATGTAAGTTCACACAAACCAATGTCAATCACCTGATTGTAGTGAACTAACATATCTGAAAGATGATCTACTCCACGGTATTTGATTGGCTGAGGCTTGGGTTGCTGGGAGTAGCAATTGTGAGATGTAAGTCTAAGTTTTGATGGATCATCAAGGCCAAGCTTCTCAGCCACTCTTTCCACAACATCATCATAAGTGTGCTGCTTTGACCTGAAAGTAGAAGCATTATGAATTCCAATACTGAAATCTAGGAAACAAAGTTGTCCATAAAGGTACATACAGCTCCATAGTAAACTCGTCTTCTTTTGGTTTTTCCAGTGTACGAAAACGCACCAGCTACAAAATAACAAACAAAATAAGTTAGTTACCACCACACCTTCCCAAACAACCATTAAAAATTTCCAAGGAATTTGATACGAAGACAGGAACCATCAAAGTTTAACAGGGCTATAGTGGGGTACTTTCTAACTGCACACCAGAGCCAAAAAAATGGTATGTTGTATCCTCATATTCTCCAATTCAATATGTCATATCTAAATAAGAAGTGCTTATCTGAAACTATAACAGTTGTTGCTCTAACACGACATTCTAGCCTATTTCACGATTAACAACAGTGCCCAGTCTAATTATACCTCTCGATTCTGTACATACTCCAAAAATGATGGCACATCTGGGTAGCGACATTCACTCTCCTGGATAGATAGAGGTTTCTGATAACAAATGATATCTCCATCTTCAATCTGTATGACAGAAACCCATTTCAATGAAGAGAACAAACTATGAAACATCACATTTGATACAATGAGATTAACATTACTTGACACAGCCTGAAAGAAGTCTTCTTATCCAGTTGTTCACACATTACACAAGGTTCAAACTTAATTTCCTGAAAATGGGCACAAAAAGAATTTAAATGGAATGTTTCATGGCCATATGCATGATGAAAAGGTAGAACTAAAAGGCACCAGCCCTAACCTCAAAAAGGTCTATTTCCTCATCAGGAGCAAAACCAGCCATTTTATTCAGTTGCCCTACTATATCCATTGGCTTACTGGAACTTTTAACCATTAGCCTGCCAACATATCTGCAAAATATGGACAAAGAAATGTAACAACGATGAAAGATACAAATTCCAGTGAATAAGGAAAAACGCAAATAAGAAACGAAAACAGGTGACAGATTCTCCATTAAAGAGGAAAATGGAAGAAAAAAATAGTGCTTTTAGAATGTAAAATATGAGAGTATACAACCTTTTGCGTTTGAACGGATGTCAAAATGAAAAATTGGTGGGTACACGAATTACCTTAGTACTGCGCTCTCAGGGTCATAGAGTTTAAAGAAAAGAAGGATATCTTCAGAAGATTTTTCTGGGGGAGGAATAGGAAGATCATCCTGAATAAATCAAGAATTAGTAAGACTATTTAATTTCTTCCCTTTGACCTTTAAGATTTTCATTCAGTGAATAGGCCTCAACAATTAAACTTGACAACAGGGTAGTATTACCGGTCCACGCTCTATTTCCAAAAACAGCTTTAGTTCAGCATTGTTTGCCTTGTTAGATGCCTCTCTTATTTGTCCAACCTACAATTAAATCTTCAATATTAAAATTTCCAAGATAAAAACACTATTTATAAAATAACAAGTTGGCTTATGCAAATACAGTTGTTGGCAGGGGGGTAGCTGGTCCACTAATAATGAGTATGAGATCAGTATATATATATATACACAGAAAACAAGACAAACCCTTAAGTTCGTGAGAAGCAAATATACCTAGGCATTGCAGTAATGAGTAAACTAGTGTAATAACGAGACCCAAACAGGCACCACACCTAATAATACAAGAATAATCCCAACTAGTAATATGTCTTAGAGCAGATAACTAAACACAGAAATAAAAAAATCAGTGACGATTCTAATGTGTTGTATACTTTAATCTCCAGAAAGAAATAATACTAAATGAAAGAAGCAAACCATAGAATTGAAAAGAATTTTTGTTTTAAAAGAAAAGAACAGCTACCGTCTGTAATTCTTCATTAGGTAATAGGGGACGATTGGGGCGATAAGTATGGTTTTGACGCTTTGCCCAGATCCAGAACCGCTGTAGTTGAACCGGGACACCAAACTCTTTGGCTACCTCTTCCTACACGAGGATAAATTTAAAACAATGTTACAGCATAAGTACACAAGACACTAGGTAACTTGCAACAACTGTAAAAGTCCATCGAATACAGCATCTTAAAAATAAAACTTAAACAAACTAGATAAAGTGCATTTTCTGGAAATAAATAGGAAGATACAGGCATGTACCTTAAATTGTTGAAAGGGGGTCTGTTTCTGGATTCGAAAACTCCGAACTTTTTCATGATCAACAAGATCAAAATATATATTCTTTCCAATTTGCTCAGTGATGTCATCATCTCTTGCGACCTTTATAAAAAGTATAAATTGCATTAGTAACATCAGTATCAAGTCTACACCAGCACCAGGTAATTGCGACTGAAAATATAACACATTTTCACACCCAAATTTAATAGAAGTAGAAAACCTTGATTGTCGTGAAAAGGTGAGCTTGAGCCTTGTATTTTCTTTTATCTTCCTTTTCTTCTTGTTCTTTTTTCAGCCTCACCTGGTAGAACATAATTAGCTGAGTCAGGCAAAATCCAGAAAGGTACAAAGGAAAAAGCATGTAAATGAATTTCTTACCCGCAAATGTTCCGCAATGTCTTTCTCATCAACGTTGCAGATTATCTTGTCCTTGTCACTTTCCCGAATATAAACAAGCATGTATGCATTCGAGTATTTTGTGAATTTGAAAGGTGGATTATTGAAACCAGGATTATTCTGCGGTAACTGAAGAGAAACGAAATTTTAACGTATATTAAGTATTAAAAATAAAAAAAAAAACACAAAACAAAAAAAGAAACCTAGAAAGAGAGTGCTACCTCTTCTTCACCACCATATTGCTCTTCCAGTGCCCTTTTCACATCTTCCTTCGTTACCCGTTCATCATCAAATTTATACCTGAAATAATTAGAAGTTGAGATAGTTTAAAAGTAAAGCACTGACAAAACATGTTCATCAGTGTCATCTAAACCCACGCTAGAAACCACAGAAAGACGTAACAACTATGTATTTCAGTGGATATTTTGGGAGAAGAGGGAAACAAAAAGAAACTATAAAGATCACTTATACAGTGAATCTTAAGTGTGAAACTAATATCAGTACATGCACGTTTAGATAGGTGGATAGATAGATGAGCCAAAAGAAATTCGACAATAATTGGGCCTTGCTAGCCTAGATGATGAGGACACTAGTTTTTCAATTAAAAAAACTTCAAGATTACAAAATACAAAACGTATTTTAGCATAAAAGAGTTGAAGGGTACATACCACTGATCTGAAAGTGTTGGCCTTATAAAAGCATAATAATGCCCTCCATGCACTCCTCCACTGTGAACCAAGACACTGCATAGAAAATGAGCAGCAAAATGTTCAAGCAAACCCATAAGGCAGCACAAAATATTACTGAAACATAAATCATCTCGTCTTTCACTATCATAAAACGAAATGAACTGTCCATCTGCTTAGGGAGACCTAAGCTACGGCAATCAGATTCCTAAGAAGTGGAGCCTCGCAGAGGATCAAAAGAACTTGATACTTCAGGAAAAATCCAGACCAAATCTGTATAGCCCTGTCTGAATCTATTGCATCTGAAATTACAAAGGCAGAGATACAATAAAAATATATACCTGTGGAGGGTGTAGAGATTGCGAACACTCTTGTCTGCATCAGGGGATAAATATTTTCCATTCTCTCTGTCGAGATCCAGTTGAAGAGGAAACTCATACCGATCATTGATCTGTAAAGAAAGTAACGTCAGCTTAAAATCAAGTCTAAACACAGTCAGCTCTAAATGCTGTTTTTGCTGGGTAAGTGGAATTTCAAAGACAAACCTTCACCATTGTGTCCCTCATAAAATCGTATTCAAACCTCTTGAGCTGAAGTTGAAGAACTGGTGGAAAGTCTATGAATAGAACACCTTTTTTTGCATCCTGAAAATAAAAAATAATTCCAATATAAGGTAAGTTAACAGTAACAATGAAATTAGTCAAATACAACTTTATCAGCTGCTCCTGCTTTGATATGTACTAAATACAGTTTCCTAATTTAGCTTGCTTGGTAGCATCACACACACTATGAACCGCAACACCAATTAATATGCAGAAAAAGAGAGACTATATAGACTTGCATGGTACCAATATAGGTACATTGATACTTCTCAACATCCCCAAGAACCAATAAGAGAAAGAAAGAAGACAGCCGACCTGCAAATCATGTCCTTCTGCATGGTATTTGTTGTCTCCTTCGAGACGTTCAACTTCAACATACTTGTCAAAAGAAGCATATACATCTTTGCAGCCTTTGACATCAAGCTGGAGGTCTGCAATAAGTCAAAGACACAGCTGTAAAGTTAGTTTGATATTAATATATTAGCTTCCAAAAAATTAAGACAAAAGAAGATGGGTTACAGTTTCACACTACATACCATAGAATGATTCTTTTCGTGTAGATTTGTAATCTACATTAATGCACTCAATGTAATTCATGTGGTGACCCTCAAATAGCTTTTGTATTGTTCCCTCCACAACAGTTCCCTTGAAAAAGAAAAAAAATTAAAACATAGAACACCAACTGAGAATGGAAAAAAGGCCGTGCTGAAGAAGACAATTTACCTTCATCTTGTCCTCAAGCTTTTCACAGAGAACTCGGTTGAGTTCTTGGACATCATGTTGCATGAAAGAATCATATGTATCCCAACCAAACGACTTTGTCAGCTCCTTTGTCGCTACACTGGTATCATTATACTGAAGCTTGTAAAACAAACTCTGGAGCGCCAATGGGATACTAGCAGTAGGTGCATCATTTTCAGTCGTTGGCATGTGGTACACAGCCTACAAGCATGGGTGCATTATTCAGATGTCTTTCCCTAGACTTTAGTGAACTCATGATAGCAAATAGAAGAAGAAACAAGACATGCATCCAACCTTTCTGAAGTAAGGTATGTGGTATAAAGTCTGCAGGAGAGAATTCATGTAACAGGTAGCACCTTGGTTTTTTAGTCCAACAAAGCCAGTCTCTTTTTTTGAGTCATATGACCAGTAATCAAGAACTTTACGCACAGCAACTTCAGCTTCAATCAGAACAGTGTCATTCACTAAATATCCTCGAGTGGGATCATAGAGCTCGCTGAGAGGCATGAATGATGTAAACCCCCAATCGCTTTCTCTTGCATTGAATTGATGTTGCGTCTCTGCAGCCACGCGCAAAGATAGTTAACTCAGTAAAAACTGCATCTACTTATCAGATAACAAAGTCATTGGCTGTTTAGAAAGTACAAAAGAGTAAAACACATATTAATAATTAATCATTTTCAATAAAGTTTTCAGGTAAGGCATGGTCAATGTTTAAGAAGCTTGACTCCATTTCAAAGTCTACCATATACTCCTTTTACAAATCCAAAATTATTACTCCCAGAAATAAATATCTGCCAGGAAATTCACATCTTCCGCAGGCATTCAGAATTTTATATATGTATGAACAAAATTAATAAAGTAAGATACCCTTTCTGATGGAATATCGGTTGTTGACTTGATTCACTACAGCCAGACTGAACTGTGAATATCTGCTCCACCCATACGGCAAATTCGCGGCGTCAGCAACATCCAAGTACATTGACAAATGGTCGACATTGTTTCCTTTGGGAAAAATCAATATACGCCTGCAAGAGAAAAAATCAGCTCACATGACGTCAACCAATAAAATGCACATCAGGGAATGAAATTGCAAAAAAAATGCATCAAAAAGTGTATATGCCATTACCATTTATAACCGCCAACAACAAATACATCAGAGTAATGCTTCCTGGTATTGAGCCTAGTGAAAATTGGGATGGTCCACGTGAATTTCAGAGTTGGAGGATCCTCGGGTGGGGGATTCTCCACGGCGGTAGCAGCAGGCTCAGTTTGGGCAACTACAAATGCATCAACAATCGTTAAGAAATCCACAAACCAAAAAATTGACAAAACCCTAGCGCACAGTGAAAACATGAATTCTACACCCCAGCACTATCGAAAAGTGCTAAAGCATCTACATCAAACCAATCAAAGTAGAACACAGACGAGAGTAGAGTAAGCAGATCGAATTCTCAATTAAACACGAAAATCTTACCTTCCATAGGCTGAGGTCCCTCGACCAAATCCGGATTCGGAACAAGCATCTCCTCGTCTTCCTGCTGCTGTCAAAACCGGAAGAAGAAAAATCAGACTTGTGACTATTTAGAAACCCTAATCTCCCAACCCCGTGATCAAAACAGAAACCGCAATCACCAAAAACGACACAAATACAGAAGCAAATATAAAAATCTAAGAAAACAAAACCCCTAAATGGATCAGCGAAACGAAGAGAACAACGAAGCCGAAGCAGGTTCAGGTCGAATACGCGTAGAAACCCACGAACACGACATCAAATTGACACAAACTAACAATAAGAGGTTAATCGGAGATTACATCGAGCGGCGGCGGAGTCATCATAGTCATTGCTCCGAGAGCGATTCACGGTCGGATCGAGAGAAGTAGAAGAGAGCGCCGAACAGAGAACAATGAAAAGGGAGAAGAAGAAGAAGAAGAAGAACAAGTGAGGGAGGAAGAAATAGAGAACTTGCACAAGGAGAGATCAATCGCTTTATTTCTCTGCTTACTCTTTCTCACTTTTCGATAGGATAATTACGATATTTTCACTAAATTAAGGGTTTCTAATGTAATTAAAATTACTATTTGGATTTAGATTTTATGTTCCCCTGAGTGTTCGTCTGAGAAACGTGACAGGCTAATGAGAATGCGACAGATACGACTCTTAAGATGCTGTCACCAACTAAATCTCTCCACGTGTCTTAAACGTGACTGTGACCGTGACCGTGTGGGAGGTCTTCGGTGAACTTTTGGGCTTCTCTACTCCCTTAAGTTTGTTTTGAATTTCTCTTCTACATTATTATAAAGGGCTAAATAAGGTTAAATGAAAATGCAAGTTTCATATAATTTAGGAAATTTCAAACAGAAGTTAATGCTTAGATTTTGTTATATATTCTTGTCACATTACTTTAAATGTGAATAATTTATACTAAAAATAGTAGATCAATACTTATCCACCTTCATTTATAAGTTTTGCACTTTTTTGACAAGTTTGTATTTAACATTAATTTGTTACAATGTTCTTTATTACAAAAAAAAAAAAATATATAGTTTGATTTTTATAAAACATTCAGACTAACATATGGCACTTTGCTAAAACTTTACATTTGCTTTCTCCATTTCATTAAAAAAAAAAAAAAACAAGAATCCAAACCAAGACCTAAATAATCAAAATCGCTAGAGGCAATATTTCATATGATAGGATCAAACATTTCTTCCATTCCATGATAGATAATGTTTAGTTGTCTAATTATTTATAAATAAAAACTAGTATGGAGCCCGTGCTCTGCACGGGAAAAAGTACCTTATCTATGTGTGAGCTATAAGCATGCGATACTAATCTTCCTCCACATGTATAATCCAAAGTTCTCGGAATGAGAAATTGAAATATAAGATTGTTGGCAAAAATAAAGAAATAAGTGTGAGTTACAGAGAGAATCAAGCAAGGAAAAAATGATAGAAAGTAAAATAGCAAATAACCTTTTATCTGCTTCTCCAAAAAATACTTTGTAATGAGAGAGAAGAACAACACAACAAGATTGTAATCAAAGCAAAACTTGGATGAGTCAAAAATATTTTTTGATAAAAACACATAGGTAGATGAAGAATAAAGAAAGAAATTTTCCAGATTTTGAAATTAATTAGCTTCTAGGCGAAGAAGAGAGAAATAGAGATCGTGGAAATGTGGAATGTGTGGGAGTAAAAATAGGGAACAGTTGCAAAAGAGAATCTCTAATAAAGAAAAAAAACTGAAGGAAAAAAGATTTTGTGGAGATCGTTAATGACAAGGGTTTTTTTTTTTCTTTAATTTTAAACAAAATCTTTTCATTAGAAAGAAAGAGTAAAAAAAATGTTGTAAGCTGATGTGTCAATTAGAGAATGCGTCAGTTATTGAAAAAGTGACTGCTGATTTAGTAGAAATAGACATAAAATAACAATTATACAGTTTTTTTTATGTGGTAGCTTTCTCGTGGTTTTACCACTTGGTTTTTGTATGAAAAAAAAACTGTCGGTTTCCGTCGGTTATCACTTTTTAAAGATCTTGTTTCGTTCATATAGAGAGTGCCTGTAAATATCCGTTGCACTCTCGTCTCTTTTTTTTCACATTTCAATCATCCTTCTGATATTTCAGTTGTCTTCATTTTCTCAAACTGATGATGATGAAATCAATATATATACATATGCAGATATGCTTATGGGTTGTCTGGTCATGGCTTTTTATTTCCAGTGTGTTGTTTTATATTGGACTATTATTGCAATAGACCATAACTTCAGCGATGATTCCAATGTACAAACATTCGTGGAATTATTCACTTAGCAAAAAAAGAACATTCATGGAATTATATTTTAATACATTTATCGTATGTTTTTCCTATGATCATTGTCGAGAAGGACAATGCTATTATTTCATGGTACCCTAAGGTAAACATAGCTTCATAGTTTACTTCTTAAGCATATCCCTACATACTGTATTTAATTTGTTTCATATACTTTAATCCCTTAGTAGTGGCTCTTCCTTAAGATTCCCTTTTAAAAACAAACACTTCCTTCTGTGATCATATTTATGGAATTGTTGGGCTGACTTTAGAACAGTCAGAGTTTAAATCCAACAAAAAAAAATTCAAAACAGAGGAACAAAATGCCTAAGAAATTTAATTGTTATTGAGGTTTTCTTTATATATGGTTTGTCTGGTTTGATACAATTCGGTTCTGATTTGTTTTGTTTTTTTAATTCAATCTTGATTCGGATAATTTCATTTGGTTTGGTTTATTTCTCATATATATGCAAGTTTATAAATGAGTTAGATTGTAATTTGACTGTGGACTAATTAATGCATGATCTAATTTTCACACTTACCAAAATTGCTTATCTTCAACTAGTTGAAATCTGTTTCTATATTTCTCCATTTCAACATTTTGTTTTAGGTACAAAGAACTCTAGAGATGGACTTCTCATATCTAGAAAAAAATCTCAATGTGGAAAGTAAATTTTCTCGTGAAAATCCAAGAAATTCTGAGAAAGTAACAAACGGCCAAAGTTGCACTATCTCTTCGGATATTGTTTCTCCTCCATATTCAAATTCAAATCCTATGAGCGATCACGGACATCCCGCCACACCAATTCGTGAAGCCGTCTCTCAAAATCCGATGAAGGAAATCTCAATCGATGATCAATATCTCCCACCACATCCTCAGCTACCGAAACTTGAGCCGCCACGTGGCCGTCGTGTCTCTTTAGAAGAATTGTTGCATCCGCCGGAGAAATTCACCGTTGATCTGATGAAATTCGTACGCCAAAGCGGGAACGCGATTTCGAAACGCATCTCGGTTTTGCTAGAGAACGACGACGACGACGACTCGAAGAAGAAGACGATCGATGATGACGTGACCGAGTTCAAAATCTCTGGAGTCAAAGTTCTCGTGAAGATGAAAACCGAAGAAGAAATCAGAGGTCGTATAACTTTCTTCTCCAGATCTAATTGCCGAGATTCAACTGCCGTCCGATTGTTTCTACGGGAACGAGGCTTCGATTTCTCAGAGATCAACATCGATGTGTATACGGCAAGAGAGAAAGAGCTGATCGAAAGAACAGGGAGTTCTCAAGTCCCTCAGATATTCTTCAACGAGAAACACTTCGGAGGATTAATGGCGCTGAATTCTCTGAGAAACAGTGGTGAATTTGATCGGAGGGTTAAGGAGTTTTTGAAGGAGAAGTGTTGCGGCGATGCACCGTCGCCGGTGATGTATGGATTCGACGAAGAGAATAATAAGGATGTTGTTGTTGTTGATGAGATGATGAGATTCGTTAGGGTTTTGAGACAGAAGCTACCAATTAAGGATCGTTTGACGAAGATGAAGATCGTTAAGAACTGTTTCTCCGGCGCCGAGATGATCGAGATTCTCATTCATCACTTGGATTGCGGGAGGAAGAAGGTACGTGATATTCAAAATTCTAATCCAGTGTTACGCACCTATGTTAACTTTACGTAGACATTGACTACGTTAGGTTTCAAATTAATATTAAATTAAATCAAATCTGAAAAGATTTTCTTTCCAACTTCTGATGATTAGTTGACCAATTAATTAGATTTTTTTTGGTAAATTTAGTTTTTTTTTTTTCTTTGGCACTATAGTCAAAATTCAAACGTGATGATCTATGCATAAATTTGTATATTTTGAATTTTTTTTATGTTGGTTTCATTTAACGTTGCCTATAGTAAAGAAAGTTTTTTTTTTTTTTTGGTCATAGTTTACGTTATTTATGCAGGCTGTTGAAATTGGCAAGAGGCTAGCCAAAAAACACTTTATCCACCATGTCTTTGGGTACTTCTCCTATTTTTATTTTTATTTTGTAAACATAACTAATTTTTTTTTTTTTTTTTTTTTTTTTTTTTTTTTTTTTTTTCATAACTAAATATTCTTGATTTAGTGAAATGTTCATATATAAACTTTATATTGTTGTTGTAGAGAGAACGAGTTTGAAGATGGAAATCATTACTACCGTTTCCTAGAGCACGAGCCGTTTATTTCAAAATGTTACAATTTTAGAGGTTCTACCAACGACATGGAGCCCCAAAGTGCAGCCATCGTTGGGCAGAAGCTTTTCAAAATCATGACTGCTATTCTTGAGTCTTATTCTTCCAATGACCGTTCTCGTGTTGATTACCTGAGAATCAGCCAGAGCGAAGAATTCCGAAGGTATAATTTCGATTTAAGAGTGTTGAAACGGATTTTAGTCTAGGAATGCTTCATTTAGTTATTTAGACAATTTATCGACATTAATTTGGTTATGCTTTAATTGTGTATGAATGAAGGTACTTGAATTTGGCTCAAGACTTTCACCGTTTGAATCTTGTGGAACTCTCAACGGAAGAGAAGTTAGCATTTTTCTTGAACTTGTACAACGCAATGGTGATTCATGCTTTGATCAGAATCGGATGTCCCGAGGGATTGATCGCAAGAAGGTCGTTCTTTACCGATTTTCAGTATGTTGTAGGAGGCTACTCTTATTCACTTAGCTCCATCCGAAATGACATCCTTAGACGCGGTCGCAGACCCTCTTATACATTTTTTAGTCCGTTTATCAACGACAATGCACGACATAAGGTAATTTTAGAGTTCCAGGTCTGTTTGATACTCATATCGGTGATTTTCGGATATATCCAATAGCTCTAATCTTATTGTTTAGTGGCAGCTTGGACTTCAAAAACTGAATCCATTAGTACATTTTGGCTTATGCGATGGGACCAAATCAAGTCCAGTGGTGAGGTTTTTCACACCGCAAGGAGTTGAAGCTGAACTCAAACGAGCAGCTAGAGAGTTTTTTCAAAATGGTGGAATTGAGGTTGTCTTGGATAAGAGGACCATACATCTATCAAAAATCATCAAGTGGTAACTAATTCTCCTTACAATAATCTCTACATTGAAATTATAAATAGAAGACCCATTGAGATTTATATGAGTCATTAATTGGTTATTAGTCTAATGGAGTAAGAAAGGATACATTCATGCATGTATATGTTTATTGGCGGTAAGTGTAGGTACAAAGAGGATTTCAGTGAAGAGAAGAAGATGTTGAAGTGGATAATGAGTTATATAGATGCAAACGATGCAGGTCTTTTAACCCATCTTCTTGGTGATGGAGGAGGTTCTTTTAACATTGTTTACCAAGATTATGATTGGTCTATCAACAATTGATATTTAGCTTCTTTTTTTGGTATATTGAAATTAAACTATTGGTCCATAAATTTTATATTAAAATTAAAGCCATCTATTTTGTATTCATGAATCACTGGTAAGTACTATCTGGATCCCGGATTTTGGCTCTTTACTCTTTAAGAATCAAAGACAATAGATGATGAAAGAAAACTTAATTTACTACCATTCACAATTTCAAAAACAACCAAGAAAAAAAAACTTTAATCGTTGAACAAAAAACTATTCGGATAATGTCTTATAATTATCATGCATCTATACACTAATATAGGTCACTTTTATTCTTACGTGGTTGATGTAGAAGCCTCTTCTTTTTGGAAAAATGAGTAGAAGCTTTTTATGTTATCATAATATCATCGTCTAACTTTTCTCCTTTTTCTTTCTTTTCTTCACGTACATTTTTACTTTCTTTGGTTTCGAAACCTTAAATTTTAAGCTAGTTCAAGATTCTCACAAGAAAAATCCACATGAACTTTCATTTTGCTCTGTTATCTAAAACAAATTTTGAATATAATTTTCTGATGGCAATTATTTCACGGTTTGATTTTGTAAGGGAACTTGTGAAGATATAGTTAGTTTTTAGATGTAGTAAGTATAAACTAATCGAACGGTTAGATTGAGAAACGAACAAAATACATCTGATTCCTTTCCAATTGGTTGTATTAGCTAGTTACTCCTATTCCCCACTTCCATTTCTTTTGACAAATATAATTTGAGTGTAATCTTCATTTATTTATATTATTTTTATATCAAACAATAGATCCTTAATCAATTAGTTTTTTAGATTATATAATCTCCGTCTAATCGGCAGCTAAACTCATATAACCCATTGTTTAGCCCACTTATATAACATTGGAAATTGCATAATCAGCTTAATTATTGTCTACTACTAAAAACTAACGTTTCTTTTGAGCCTTCAAATCCAACTAAAATTTTCTTTCAGCTTCTTTTTTTCCTTTTTCTTTATTGTGAGTGGCGTTTAAAAAAACTAAAAGCAAAAGGATCAAGATAGAGATGGTCCCACGATCAAAGCAAAACCATAAGCAAACAAACAACAAACCACTTAAGCATATCGCACACAACATTTTTAATTCTATCAACATCAACTTACTTTAAAAAATAAAAAAAAATAATAAAGTAAGGATTATGTATATCTTATTGCACTTACAAATATCAGCCATGCATGCCACGTGTCCGGTGCACTTTGAGACGGATCATCCACTACATGCAATATAAAAAGCATTGCAATTGAAACAAAGTTTGATCACATCCATCCATCACTTATAGTAATTAATAATTAAAAACACTATTATACTCAAGATCAATGGCGGAAGATCAAGCAACGACGGCAATGGAAACATCGGCGGTGGAGAAGCAGCCAGAGACGACGAGAGAGGCTGAAGCACCAAGTTTGACGACGAAGAGGATGGTGGTTGCGATCGATGAGAGCGATTCGAGCTTCTACGCTCTCCAATGGGTCATTGACCATTTCTCTAACCTTTTATTGACCACTCAGGCAGCCGAGGCGGAAAGTGGAATGCTCACCGTGGTTCATGTGCAGTCCCCTTTCCATCACTTTGCTGCCTTTCCGGCTGGACCTGGCGGCGCCACAGGTCCCGTCCATTGATCTCTCTTTCTCTCTTGTTTTTTTTTTCCCCTTTTTGATCGAATTTTAATTGATAATCACATCTTAAATATAATCATAGATTAATAGTAGATATTTTATTCCTTCGTACACCCTAGTAGCATTTTTTAATTTAATTTTTAGTAGTAGGCGGAAAAAATAAACATATTTAAAAAAAAACAGAATTGTTTAATTTATAGGTATAAATATTATCGTGAATAACTTGGTTTTGTAACGGTTGTAGCAGCAGTGTACGCATCTTCGACAATGATAGAGTCAGTGAGAAAAGCACAACAAGAGACCTCTGCTGCGCTTCTGTCTCGTGCTCTCCAAATGTGCAGAGCCAAACAGGTCCGATTCAATAACACATATCCTAAATATATTTCACTATATAAATCTAATTATTAATTATTGGATATGAAACGCAGTTACAAATGTTGTGTGATCCATATGTAGATACGTACTGAAACTCTAGTCCTTGAAGGCGAGGCGAAGGAGATGATTTGCGAGGCGGTGGAGCAAATGCACGTTGATCTTCTCGTTGTCGGTAGTCGTGGCCTTGGCAAGATCAAAAGGTATTGTATCATTAATAACTTTCTTCTTATACATGTTATTAACCAAACTCAAAATGTATTGACCGCTTTTTAATTTGTTTGATTTGTGCGTTTTGGAAGAGCGTTTCTTGGGAGCGTCAGCGATTACTGCGCTCATCACGCCCACTGCCCCATCCTTATTGTCAAGCCACCTAAGGAGATGATGACTAAGTAACATGGATCTTATACATGTTTGGGTTATTAATTTTATAAAGAGTGTGTCATAAAGTTACCAAAAAAAAAAAAAAAGAGTGTTGTACGTTCGTGTGTTTGACTTGGATAATTAGTGACATATTAAGCAAAAGTGTATTTGGAGAAGTAATGTGTCAATGAAATATGAATATAGGTCGAATAATGAAGCCAAGACTTGTAGTCTGTTGCTTCTCTGCACCTGTTGTATTTCCAATCAATATTGTTGTAAGTTTATAATTTATTAAAAGCATCTTTTCTTTCTAATTTCGAATCTTTGTTAATCGAACCACAATTTTTGAACGAGAAAAGGAGATTGTGAATAATAGCAAAGAACATGTAAAGAAGTTGTGGCTAAAGCTGTAAACAAGATAAAAGAGAGACATCTATAAGGAATAAAAACTTCGTCAATCATTTAGCCTACCAAGACGAACTGGATTGGTATTGAAGGAACAATTTGAGAAAATGAACTGAAGTATCAAATCAGAGAAATACATAGACCAATAGCGAACTCTTTAAAATTCTAGCTTCAGGTGGTCTATAAGATAAATCCAAAAACTGACAATAAACTGATGCGAAATTGCTTAAAGCATCAAAATTTATCTATTCAAAGTAGTTCAGACGAAATAAACTTCATAAAACAAAAGAGCAAAACATCTGAGATACATATTTCAATCTAAATGAAGATAAAAGTTTAACATTAAACTCATTGATAAGATTGCAACCCTCAGGGCAAAAGGAAAATCCTTAACGATTGGCCTTGGCAACTCTTTCAATCTCATCCTTCTTCTTGATGGCATAGCTGCAAGACAATAAAGTTTAAATCATTAGCTTCACTTGAGTATATATGAACAATAGTGAAGTCATTTGGGAGTGTGTTTACCTGTTGGAAGAGCCCTTGGCTGCGTTGATCAATTCATCAGCAAGGCACTCAGCTATTGTCTTGATGTTTCTGAAAGCAGCTTCACGAGCACCAGTGGTAATCAAGAAAATAGCTTGGTTAACACGTCTTAGAGGAGAGATATCAACAGCTTGTCTCCTAACAACACCAGCAGATCCAATTCTGGTAGCATCTTCACGTGGACCACTGGCTCAAGCAACATACAAAACATTAATGAGACAAGATGCTCTTCGTTGCAATGACATTTCTGCATAAACACGCTGGCTGCTTTCGCAAATCACAAGGTCAGTAATACCTGTTGACAATGGCGTCAATGATGACCTGGATTGGGTTCAAGTCAGACAAGAGGTGGATAATCTCCATGGCATGCTTGACGATCCTCACTGCCATCAATTTCTTACCGTTGTTCCTCCCGTGCATCATGAGAGAGTTGGTGAGCCTCTCAACAATGGGACATTGAGCCTTCCTGAATCTCTTCACAGAGTATCTTCCAGCGGTGTGGGGAACAAAGGTAGCATGTTTAGCTGCCTGAACTCCAATGTAGTCAACAAGACTGATGTCTGTGACCTACAAGATGAAAAAAACAATTGTTACTAACAACACTAAGAATCTGATATAATAACATCAAAATTGAGATCCAATCATTTAGGGAGTAAAAGAAAAACAAATCTCACAATGTTCCTGAAACTAAGCTATATAACTCAAACAAAAAGAATCCAACTACCACCAAAACAAGAGTATAAAGTTATACCAAGCAATGCAAGATATGAATCGCAATGACAAACGCTTAAGGAAAACAATTAAATCTGACAAAAACAATAGCAGTGAAACAATAAAAAAAACCTAGATTCCAGAAAATCTTATACACTAATCTAAGATTGCAAATGATTCTCACAGATGAAACAGAAGCTAAAGAATCAAAGCTGAAGAAATTACCGTAACGTCGTCATAGGTCCAGCGGTTGAAGAGCTTGACCTCGTTAGTGAGCGCCTGCTGAATCTCAGCGTCAACATCTGCGGCGGTGGCCATGGCTGTGAGAGTAACAGAGTGTGAGCTCAAATACACGAATACGAAATCAGAGTACTGAGAGAGGATTTGGAGAAAGAAGATCACCTGAAGATCGTTTGCGTCGCGCGAATGAGAGAGACGGCAGAGAAAACGATAAGCTTTAAGAGGACGAACAAAAACCCTAATCTCACTCCTTTTATATAGAATGAGAATTTAGGGTTTGGGCTCCTAATAATGGAGCTGTCTAAATGGGCTTTCATTTCTTTATCCAGTACAGAACCGGTTCCTTGGTTTATACGTGGTTCGGTTATCTTAATAATAATATTTTAAAAATACATACCGTAATTAATATTTAAACAAAAGTATATGATAATTTAAAATTTTCTGCTGAGTGAAATTCGTATTATTTTGTAGATGTAATACATATATATTTTACTGTTTAAGTCAGTGATCATCAAACTCAAAAAGCTGGTGTTTGCATTGGTACAAGCATTTTTATTGCAAGATAAAAAAGTTCAAAAGGACATATCCCTGTATGTACATGAACGAAGAGATTTCGACTCCAAGCTACAACGAAGGAGAAGAAGAAGAATGATATACAAAGAAAACTGCATATCCTCACCATGAAAGCTAGAGGAAGGGAAATAACAGATACTCTGCGTAGAAGAGATTCCATATAAACCGGTAATATCCTGAGATAGCTTCCTGCAATAATCAAATGTTTCTACACTCCGTTAGACACACACTCCATTGATGTTCCATAATAAGAGTTTATGTTTGTACAAGCAGGTACTTTACCTTGGTGTAGTTTGCTTTTTCTAGTACCCATGTCTACCAAAATCAACAACAAAGACATATTAGAGATTAATGAATTTGGCAGTGTCAAATGCAGAAACTAAAGTTTATTATAGTTAAATAAGAGTATCTCACGATGCTTTACCTGGAAAATTAAGCACGAAGCCAAGATCACATGTGCAGGAATCATCAAGCTACCTCTGAAAACCTGTTCATTGTTAAAGGATAAGAGGGATGGTCTTTTCAAAGCTGCATACTGGGAAAGTAACAATATCGCAGCAAAAATAAATTGGCGGAAACAGTTGATCAAGCTTATACATGTAGTAATGGTGTTCATGCTTTAATTAACCGAAATAGTTATTGGATGTGTTCACCTGAGGCATGTAGAAAGCTAGTGATATGGCAGAAACATAGTTCACTAGCAGAAGTCCAGAACCGAGGAATGCAATGTTTCTCACTCCAAGTTTTGTTGCCAAGGTTGATATTTGGAACCTATTCACGATCAATAAAAGAAACAGGCACGATTAACTAAACATGTTTGAACAAACACATAAAAACAATATATCAAACGGAGGTGGTTAATTCGGGACAAAATATTAATTGCGTTTTGAGAAGACACCAGGACTGTAAAATAGATTGAGCCAAAGAGCGGAAAGAAAATGGTTACGCGTGCAATTACTTACTTGCGATCTCCTTCAACATCAGGAAGATCTTTTGTAATAGCAATGACCAGTGCAAACAGTGTCACAAAAGATGTGATGAACGCCACAGGGGCACTGCAAATGGCGAATCAAAAGTTGAGTTATATATCGACTCATGATGAAAGCAAAGAACAATTGGTCCATCACATATTTTAAAACTCTATACATATAAGTATGCAAAGTCCATTTCACTATTTCGACCTGTTTATCAAGTATTGTGCGTTTGACTACTAACCTCCACTGAAATGGAAGTCCAAGAGCAGCTCTTGTAGCATGGTACACACCAAAGTTAAGAAGGAAACCTCGTACCTGATAAGAAATGTCAATACAGAATATTTTATTAAGATTTTGCAAGCCATGTTGATAGTTGTATACAGATTGAGAAGCATAAGACAGCCTTTACCGTGGCAATAATAAGAAATGCTGCAATTGGGAATCTTTTCATTCTAAGCGGTGGAACAGAATAGATGGTTCCCAGAAAAAGGCCAAGAGAGTATAGGCTTGTAATGAATGGACCAAAGTTAAATCCGACAACTAAAAGCCCTGCTATCGCAAAAAATATCACTAACAACCAGGCAGACTGCACTGATAGATCTCCTGCTGCTATTGGCAAATATGGTTTGTTCACTCTGCAGAACAAATAATTCAAATTCAAACCAAAATAACGAAATTTTGTAGATGCACATAAATGATGAATTTCTAGAATTAGCTTAACATTATTGCACAAATGTCTGCTCTATAAATGCTACATTAATGATTGTGACCAATATACATCTGCATCTAATGGTGCCACATACTTGTCGATACCAATGTCGTAGATCTGATTGATGCCGACTATATAACCATTCCCACATATAAGAGCAAGAAGACCTGAAAGTGCCTTGAGTACAAGACTCCATTTGATCAGATGAGTATTCTCTATCAAAGCTCTTGCCACCAAGGCACTGCCATTAAAATTACAGTCAAGCTAAATGAGAGCAAAGAATATGAAGTCCCTTCATAAACCAAAAATGCAACAAAATACTAACGTGGATCCTAAAGCTGTTCCACGGATTGTATGGGGCCTAAGAAATCTCCAGCAAGCATTTTGGAACCGGGCAATTCTATCCAGCACTGGATCAGTCCCAGCAGCACCAACCTGAGAGCATGCCTGATAGAGTATACTTTTGTGAGTGACATTGCAAAACGCACAAACACTGTAAATCAAAACTGAATGATAGAGTTACATGATTACTGAGCAACTCTTAGAGAAGCAACATAAGATGTTGTTCAAGAGAATAAAATTTCCAGATTCTACCACAAACATTCACCATTTCCAATCCTAGTAATACTATTGGACCTCCATATCAATAATCCCTTAAAGAAGGCATTTTTCTAATTGGAGCAGATAGATGGCCAAAAGATTTGAACTTTCTGAGCTGCCCAGTTCCAGATAAAGTATACCAAGAATTTGATCTTTAGGAATCTCTTAGTTCACATAAAAGCAACGGCTAATATGCTTGTCAACGAAAGAGAAACCTAGAATGAAACCATACCTGGATCGAGATTTTTCTATAATTGGTTGAAACAAATTTGGACCGCATTCTTGAAGTTGATAAGCTCGTGAAGCTAACATCTCGAGGGAGGCTTATAAACTTCCCAGCTAAATGCACAGAAGAACGATGATGATGAGAAGCTGCTAAGAAACGAGGCGCCAGAGACGAGAACCGAACACACGGTGATTGCGAGATCGAGAGCTCCATTGATGCCACTAGCCACACAAAAACTCTTTACTCTGCTACTTTCGTTTGCACAACGAAATTTGTTTGACTTGTGTCCAATCCTCTTTCTGGTTCGGAGGTAAGTAAAACATCGACCAAATCCGGTTTGTTAATGAATTGATTTATTGGGTGAGATCTTGATTCCGGTTCGAAAAGGTTTATCAGAATTGGGCAACCAAACCAGTAGGACAATCATAATCAAGTAATCAATTGATGAAGTACGGCAAAAAAAACCAATCAATTGATAAGCAATACAAAATTGGATACATTCGATGACTCAAATATTTTCAGACAGAAAACAAACAAACTGGTTAAATGTAAAAAGAAAACATGTTAGCTTCAAGATGTTAAGACATATGGGGTACGGTTTCAGCTTGCACGGTAGAAAAACCTTGAGAGCTCTTTGAGAGTGCTTCAGCTTCATCAGAAGCACGAGCCCTTGAGTTCATTGTCTCTTCATCATCCTCAGTCTCCATGACTATTCTCGATGGAGCTTCGGTTTCTGTTTCAGTTGATTTCTTTACCTCTTCATCCTCCTCTTTGTCCATGACTATTCTTGATGGAGCTTCCGTTTTGGTTTCAGTCGATTTCTTTGTCTCTTCATCAATCATCTCTAAACCTCTGGTTGTTTCATTTGTTCTTGAGTCTTTTGTCTCTGCCCTCTCCTCCTCCTCCTCTCTATCTTCATCCATGACCACAACTTCTGGAGCTTTGGTTTCGGTTCTCTCTGATAAATCATCTGTAGAGTTGTTGTCTCCTTCTTTTATGAACTCGCCTATTTCTAAAAGCTTCTGCGCTTTTAATTCTCCTTCTTCATTAACATTGTCTGCTATCTCAGCTTCTGAAACTTTCTTTGCAACTTCTTCCACCATTGCATCATTTAATTCTCTTGAAACCACTTCATCTTCCGGAGCTTCCCTCGCGGTTTGCTCCAATGAACCAGCTTTTAAGTTGCTTGTTTCCGGTTTTTCTTTGATCTCAGCTTCTTCTAATGCTTCCTTTTCTGTATTTTCAGGTTTATCGGACTCCGAGTTAGTAACAATCTTTGGTTTGATTACTAAAGGCCCCAGCTTTCCATCAATTTCCTTGACCAGATTCGTTAGTGATCTTGCATTACGAGCTTCAGATAACCGAGTAGACAACTGCAACATACCACAAAAGTTTTAAGCAAAAGTCATGTTTTGAGCTCAAGCAGTTTAGCTCAGATCTGAAGCGATATAGTGTCTAAAGATATTGAAATCAAACAAATTTTTTTTGCTGATATTTCACCTGCTGTATCTGTTCAGCTCGGGGTGTGAGATCATCCGGAGATGCTTCCTTGTAGATGCTCCGAAGAATGTACATCAAATGAGAGCTTACATTATCCAAATGATGTTGTTGGACCTCACATTGATGCACATCAGATAGACAACCAACAGCATGAAATGGACAGTTGACAAGTTTCATAGGACATACGGTTATACAATGCCTATCCATATCACGTCTCATGATACTCTCTGAGCAGTTCTGCTCACACGGAATGATCTTGAACGGGCAAACTGAATCGTGATTCTCCATCTGATTCGCGCAAAAGACCGCAGTGCAACCCTCGTTCTCACAGTTCATGGTTCTATACCCACAACTCATGGTATGCTCTGCGAGTTCTCCCTCGGTTTGGAATTTCATCTCACAATGAGCACTGCTTTTAAAATCGACGTTTTTAAGCAAAGTCTGAGCGATCCCTTCTCTATGATCAGTCAACCAGAAGCCGCTTATCTCCATCTCTTGCGCGAAATCATCTATATTATCTTCTCTCCTTTCGCTAAGCATCCAACCCGAAACCCGGCTGAACAAATTCCGCTTAGAAGTCGCAAAATCATCGATGAAATCAGATATAATGTCAAAAGGATCATGAGAAGCTTCAATCTCAGAACCACCTTGAAGAACAATGTGTTCAGCCACAAAGCTCTCGCTTCTACGAGTCAAATAATCGATCATTTCTTTTCGAATGTCAGCAGCCACAGAACCAGGACTCCTGAAGATATCGCCGGTAGTGTTATCGACACAAGCAGTGGCTAATCCAGGGAGAAAAACCTGAGCAATCTTGTGAACTACTTGTGTATCGTAAAGATGACAGTGAAAGGAAGGTCCTTTATCTTTCTGATCTTCGATACTCTCAAGATCCGAGACAGGAGGATCCATTGCCTGTAATATCAGAAATCGTCTGCAGAAAACACACAAAAGGAAGAACCAAGCATCGCTAGATCAGATATCAAAGCATTGAAATAAGACACAAACTCCATTAATCAAAATCTCTACTTTTGCTGGAATTTGTGATCCTAAATCGGATCACAGCAACTATCACGATCCATTAATTTACAGATTATAAACGAAAGTTTCAGAATTGAGTCAAATTACAAGCAAAAATTCAAATGTTGGATTGAGAAAAGAAATGTCAAAACAAAAAAGAACACGACAATTACCCTAGAAAGAAATCGTGTCCTAATCAGACAGGAACAAATCGGAGCAGGAACAAACAAAGCCTGTAAGGAATATCTGACGGCGAGATCAAAAAAGGAAGAAGAATGGAAGAGGAAGAGAGAGAGAGAAGCACCTCTGGTTTTGGCGCAATAAACGGGTCTCTTTTTCTTTTGCCACAACTTGGTCGCCTCTTCTATTAAACGGACTCTCTCCTCCCTTTTTTTTTAACTGGTTTCTTTGTTTCTTACAAGTTACAACATTTTTGTAATTAGTACAGTGATTAGTGATTTTGCAAGCCCAAAACTATTTAGAGCTAAAAATCTCTTTGGAAATTTGAATACCTTTCTTTTTTCTTATCTAATTTTTTTTTTTTTTTTTTTTTTTTTTTTTTTTTTTCTTATCTAATTACCACCAAGGCACCAACCAAATTTACTCTTTAAGAATTTTGATGCCACCAAGAGACTTCATTATTAATTATCCAGAATTATACAACACACAATGAAACATAAATACCAATAAAATAAATAAAAAATTTCTCTTGCACATTTTCCAAATTAGCAAATCCGTTTTGTGTTATTTTTTCGCACATTTATATTTTACTAGTAATCTCTTAGTAATTTCTTGCGTCTAGTGAATATATATCATCGAAGGATACTATTGATGAATTGATTAAATTACTAAAATTTAGATATAATAAATCTAAATTATTTTTATCTTTTTCTTAACGCTGATATTTTATTCATGGTTATGATTTTATCTTTTGTAATATGGATTTAACTGATTTTTTAATAAATGGAACAGTGTCACTGCAAGATTTTTCCCCTTTAATTTGACAAGACGGAGAGGAAATTAAAGAAGGAAAAGCACGACCTTTGCCGTTTTCCTTCTGTTAATCATGGCGGCTCCGGAGGATGAATCTTCCGCTCAGTCTCAATCATCATCTGCCACAGCGGCTCCTACGCCTCCTCCGTCCTCTTCCCCTTCCTCTGCTGGGGATCATTACCTAGCTAAGTGCATCCTCCGCCCCAGCGTCGTTCTCCAGGTTGCTTATGGCTACTTCCGCTCCCTTTCCTCCCGCGACATAGTTTTCGGCAAGGTCCGAGTTCCTTCTTATTCCTCTGATCTCTACTTTTGGATTTGGATTTTGGATTCTGATTTGTCTTGTGGGAAATGCTTTTTTTGATAAATATCTCTCCTTTAGGGATTGGGATTTTTTGGAGTTGATATGCTATCTGCACTTGTTCAGCTGTTTTTTTATGTTGAGGGCATTGTGAAAGAGTAAAAAGTTGTATACTTTTTTTATGGGTATGGTAGTGTTGCATCAGGATGTTGTTATAAAAGATTTGCAAATTTGTTTGTTTCAAATGGATTTATAGTTTGTAGAGCAGAAATACAGTGAGAAAAGCTTAGGTATGTAGTGTGTGCCAGGTATAATGCTTTTGTTGATTTATCAGTAACTAGAAATGTTTTTTTTTTTGTCTTACCAGGAGACCTGCATAGAATTGGTGGTTATTGGTGAAGACGGGATTGTTGAATCGGTGTGTGAACAGTATGTATTTGGAACAATTAAGGATTTGGCTGTCATACCTCAGAGTAGCAAGCTATATTCGAATAGTTTGCAGGTAAGCGTTTTCTATTTAGACACAGAATACTGTATTTGATTGATCAGGTATTTTACACCGGCAAAGATTTTCAAATGGGTAACAACCAAAATTTTGTTCTGTTAGTAATAGGAATGCAGATCTTTGTGATTTGATATGTCAACCATCCGTTATCGTTTACAGATGGGAAAAGACCTTCTGGCTGTTCTTTCTGATTCTGGAAACCTCTCATTTCTCTCATTTAGCAATGAAATGCACAGGTTTCTTTCTCGTGTTTTCTTATTTATCCTGCAAACCTAATGTCACCGTGCTCATTTCACTGCTGTTGAGGTGTAGGTTCTCGCCCATACAACATGTTCAACTTTCTACTCCAGGTAACTCAAGGATTCAACTCGGAAGAATGCTCACAATAGATTCCAGGCAAGTTTTCATTAACCATGATTTTGTTACTTCTTGATCCTATTGATGACTTAGATCTACTTTTAAAATAACAATAATTGCTAGCTGTTTCTTTTTTTTTGGGTATGTTTTGGCCTTTGCCCAAGTACTCACTATTGGATTGTTTAGAAAATTGAATTGGAGCGTTATGTTTCTAAGCCACACCTTAATGGTAAAGCTTACATTTTTTTGTATCTTGAATAGCAACGAGTGATTTTGACTCCTGTAATGCATTTTGCAGTGGTCTGTTTCTTGCTGTCAGTGCTTATCATGATCGTTTTGCTCTGTTTTCCCTCTCAACATCGTCTATGGGTGATATTATTCATGAGGTATTGATTTCTGCCACCAACTTCGGGATCATCTTGTAACTTCAGTAGACAGGAGGTTTACTTTTAGTTGTGGCATGAGAGATATTGATAGAGTGGCTAAAAATATATTTAATTTCTCTCATTTTAGAGGATTTCTTATCCTTCTGAAGACGGAGGGAATGGTAGCTCTGTACAAGCAATATCTGGTACTATTTGGAGCATGTGTTTCATTTCTAAAGATTTTAATGATTCCGAATCCAAGGAGTATGCTCCTGTTCTTGCCATTGTTATAAATAGGTATAAATCCTTTCAATTTGAAAAGCTCTGCTTTCAGTTATTGTGCTTCCTTTATAAGAGTGTCTGTCATCCCAGGGTTGCTTACCTCAGTATTTTTCTAATCGTATAGGATTGGGTCTCTCATGAATGAGCTGGCTTTGTTTAGATGGAATGTCAAAGAGGAATCCATGTGTTTAATATCAGAGTATGTTGAAGCTGGGGCTCTGGCACATAGTATTGTCGAAGTTCCTCACTCCTCTGGATTTGCCTTTCTGTTTAGGATTGGTGATGCTCTCTTAATGGATCTTAGAGATCCTCAAAACCCTTGCTGTCTGTTTAGGACATCCTTAGATCTTGTTCCTGCTTCACTAGTGGAAGAGCATTTTGTCGAAGAGTCGTGTAGAGTACAAGATGGAGACGATGAGGGTTTTAATGTTGCTGCATGTGCTTTGTTAGAGCTCAGTGATCCTGATCCCATGTTCATAGATACTGAAAGTGACATTGGAAAGTTGAGTTCTAAGCATGTCTCTTCATGGACTTGGGAGCCGGAAAATAATCATAATCCTCGGATGATTATATGCTTAGACGATGGTGAATTTTACATGTTTGAACTCATATATGAAGATGATGGGGTTAAAGTAAATCTATCAGAGTGTTTATACAAAGGTTTACCATGCAAGGAAATTTTATGGGTCGAAGGTGGATTCTTGGCTACTTTTGCGGAGATGGCAGATGGAACGGTTTTCAAATTGGGAACTGAGAAGCTACATTGGATGAGTTCCATACAAAATATTGCTCCAATCTTGGATTTTTCGGTTATGGATGACCAGAATGAGAAACGAGACCAAATATTTGCTTGCTGTGGTGTAACCCGTGAAGGCTCTCTGAGAATTATTCGTAGTGGCATTAATGTAGAAATACTTCTGAAAACCGCGCCTGTTTATCAAGGAATAACTGGTACTTGGACTGTTAAAATGAAGCTTACTGATGTATACCATTCATTTCTTGTTTTGTCATTTGTTGAGGAGACCAGGGTTTTATCAGTTGGATTAAGTTTTAAAGATGTCACTGATTCAGTTGGTTTCCAGTCTGATGTTTGCACCTTGGCATGTGGGCTTGTTGCTGATGGTTTGTTGGTTCAGATTCACCAAGATGCAATAAGGCTGTGCATGCCCACCATGGATGCTCATTCTGATGGTATTCCTGTTTCTTCACCATTTTTCTCGTCGTGGTTTCCAGACAATGTCAGTATCAGCTTGGGGGCAGTTGGTCAAAATTTGATAGTTGTCTCTACGTCTAACCCTTGTTTCTTGTCTATCCTTGGGGTCAAATCAGTATCATCTCAATGCTGTGAAATCTATGAAATTCAACGAGTAACCTTGCAGTATGAAGTTTCGTGCATCTCAGTTCCTCAAAAACATATTGGAAAAAAGAGATCCTGTGCTTCTTCGCCGGATAATAGTTGCAAAGCTGCGATTCCTTCTGGTATGGAGCAAGGCTATTCATTTTTGATTGGCACACATAAGCCTTCTGTTGAGGTCCTCTCCTTCTCAGAAAATGGTGTTGGTGTTCGAGTCCTTGCTTCTGGGTTGGTATCGCTAACAAATACAATGGGAGCTGTTATTAGTGGATGCATTCCTCAAGATGTAAGACTCGTGTTAGTTGATCAACTTTATGTCCTTTCTGGGTTGAGAAATGGGATGCTTCTCCGTTTTGAGTGGCCCCTTTTTTCAAATGCATCCGGGTTGAATTGTCCAGATTATTTTAGTTACTGTAAAGAAGAAATGGACATTGTTGTGGGCAAAAAAGACAATTTACCCATCAACCTTCTATTAATTGCTACCCGACGCATTGGCATCACACCTGTTTTCTTGGTTCCGTTCAGTGATTCACTGGATTCAGACATCATAGCTCTTAGTGACAGGCCATGGTTGTTACAAACAGCTCGACAAAGCCTTTCTTATACTTCCATCTCATTCCAACCTTCTACTCATGCAACTCCTGTATGCTCGTCTGAATGCCCTCAAGGAATTCTTTTTGTTTCAGAAAACTGTTTACATCTGGTAAATATTCTTTTTACAAATTTTGATTTCAGATTTTCACTGACCTTTTTGTTGTGCTTTGGACAAAGATATGCAAATTCCATAGATCAATCGTTAATGTTTTGATATGGTTTACTTGAAAAATAGTTACATATGAACAACAACTGTATTTGCTAATTGCTTTCATCTATGTTTTTGTAGTCTTATACAGTATAGACTATAGACAGTGGTGGGAATGCGTTGGAGCGATTAGTTGGGTCCGGCTATGATCGCCTGATGTATATTCTTCTTTTGTAGGTGGAGATGGTGCACAGCAAACGGCGTAATGCGCAAAAATTTCACCTTGGAGGCACCCCACGAAAGGTTATCTACCATAGTGAAAGCAAACTATTGATTGTGATGAGAACTGATCTGTA